TTTGTCTTTCACTTGCTTGCATATTTTCTGCCTTTTTTTTTTTGCAGTTTCCTGTTTTTTTTCAAAATAAAAGATTATATAATGAACATTTCCATAGGTCTTAAATATTTCTTTAAATATACAATTTAGCCACTGTATAATATTCCATTTTATTTCTATTTTTGAGTTACACCAATCTCTACCAGGGCTTCCCAGGTGACTCGGTTGGTAAACAATCCTGCAATGCAGGAGAGGCAGGCAGACCCCGCTTTGATCCCCGGGTCACGAAGGTCTCCTGGAGGAGGGCATGGCAATCCACTCCAGTATTCTTGCTTGGAGAATCTCAAGGACAGAGGAGCCTGGCAGGCTACAGTCCACAGGGTCAAAAAACAGTCGAACACGACTGAGTAACTGAGCATGCACGCTTGCACGCTATCTCTACAAATTTCTTTTGGAAGGAAGCAACTTCGCAGAAGAATTGACCATGAACTGTGATGGGAATCATAAAACTTTGTTCCTTACAGTAACTAAGTGAAGCCAGTGGGCCCATTTTATTTCTGATATGCTTTGATGGTGTTATTGGGCCTTTTGATTTGCAAATAGGAGAAAGAAAATTCCCTAAGTAGAAACTTCTCAAGAGCCAAGAAGAAAAATATACCGTGTAAGGACATAGTCTGTCCATGAACTCTGTAAATGGAAGATCTTGCAAATAATGAACTGCTATCATCCAAGGCTTCAAAAGAGCCACCCCGAGGGGGAAATAACAGAAAGGGATGAAAGGCTGCCTTGCGTAACTCAATCTCTAATTTCTGTGGGGGTTCTCTCTTTCCCATCCTCACACCATTTTTGTCCATAAAGTGTCACAGGGGCAAAGCACCACACAAAAATAAAAGAGAGGGACAGAAGAGGGGGAAAAGGGAGGAAACATACAATTTGTATATGTCTACATCTGACAGCTATCAAACCACAACTCTTCAATACCCATAATTCTTAAGCTTGGCAATGAGTCAGACTGATCATCACATCCAACTGTTTCATTGAATCAAAGTTATGCCAGGAAGCTGTCTTCTAGTGCAAAAGTCAGAGGACCACCTTCTCATTGAGGTGACTACTACACTATATTTAATCAGTTATAAATGGCACTTATAAGTAAATAAATGTAATTCTGAGCATCTGTTACACTGCAAGGCCCCATGCAAAAGCAATGAGGAGTCACGGGTAAGCCAAGATAGATGTGGGCTCTGTGTTAGCAGAACGTCCAGCCCTTCCTGTGCAATGAAAGATGTGATGTTTCTGATATGCATCAGATAAGTGAGCCCATGTGTCATCCTAGACACATCCCTATAGGCACCCAGTGTGGGGCTGCTCTGGGAAGAAAGAAGGCTTGAGGCCAAGATCCCAAAAGATCCTTTTCCCTTTCTTGTCTCCAGTCAGAGGAAGGGACGCTTCAAACTCAGGAAATAGAGAGAGCCTTCCAGAAGAAGCAAGGCAGAGGAGGCTTCCTGGGGATAGAGAGCTGAAGCACCTCAAGAAACAGTCTTGGGACTTCCCTGCTGGTCCAGTGGTTAAGAATGTGCCTTGCAATGCAGGGGTTTGACCCCTGGTCAGGGAACTAAGATCCCACATGGTGAGGAGCAACTAAGCCAGTGCACCATAACTAGAGAGTCTGTGTCCACAAAGAAATATCCCACACGATGCATTTAGTTGGTGCTGCCACTAGGACCCGATGAAGCCAAATAAATAAGTATTTTTTTAAACAAATAGAAAACAGTCCAGGGGCTTCCCCTGTGGTCCAGTGGCTGAGACTCCACACTCCCAGGGGGCCCAGGTTTGATCTCTGGTCAGGGAACTAGATCCAGCATGCTGTGACTAAGAGCTCACAGGTAACAAAGATTGAAGATCCCCTGTGCCTCAACTAAGACCCCGCACAGAGAAAGAGAGAGAGAGAGAAAAGAAAGAAAGGGTCTAAGTGGGCAGATCACTTGGTCCCAGCCATGAGCAGTAAAGTGGACATGATTATCAGAATGCTGCAAGTGTGAATTCTTTCTAAGCCGCCAACTTCCTCAAACAAGCACTGGAAAACTGTCAGTTTCCTATCACAAGCTGAAGTAATTTCTTCTGCTTTTAAAACAAAAGTGCCCCTTAGTGATTTATATTCTTGATTGCATCAGCGACTTACTGAACCGAACTTGGGTCTTCTCACCCAACGAGCAGCAAAGCCAATCTACTGATACTGGGTTGTGGCGAAGAAAAGTGTTAGTTGTTCAGTCATATCTGACTCTTTTGCAACCCCATGGACTGTAGCCCAACAGGCTCCTCTGTCCATGGAATTCTCCAGGCAAGAGGACTGGAATGGGTTGCCATTTCCTTTCTCCAGGGGATCTTTCCAACCAAGGGGTCAAACCTGCGTCTCCTGCATTGCTGGCAGATTCTTTACCATCTGAGCTATAAAAGTATACTGCATTTAGTGCAGAGTCAAGCAGTGAGAACGGGCAGCTCATGCTTAAAAGACCTGAACTTCCCTTTGGCTCTCAGGCAAGGGTTTAAAAACAACGTTCGGGATAAGTTATAGGATGTGTGCTCAGTTCGTGGACTTTCTTCTAGTTGGTTGGTGATGACGTAACAGGGTGATGCATTAGGAATGTCAATCTTCTGGTTCCAACCAGACGGGGGTCTACGTGCTTATGGTCAGCATCCTCCGCCTGGGTGTGTATATGGGGGTCTTAGTTTCTGCAGAACAACTCAAAGACACCTTGTGTGCATCCCTTGAGGAGGAACTTCAGACTCAGTGTTATCACTCAACCATTGTCTAAGCTATCATTACTTTTCTCGCTTGACGGCTTTGCCTTTGTTTCTGCATTCCCTCACTTATCTAATTAGTAACTGCTCAAGTCTGCTCTTGGAACTCAGGCAAGGCCTTTTTCTGCCTTTTTCTATACAAAGAAGAAACAGGGAACAGAGGGGTTTTTGTACCTGGGGAGGCATCACAGGATCCTGCTAGGTTTCAAGCCCCACTTTTCTTGAGATGCCTCAGTCCTGGGGCAAACAGGGGTCAGACCAGAAAGGGAATGAGGTTGTGGATAGAGAGGATAATCATAAACTTAGCAGGGGGAGCTTGGTTTTAGAAGGACTCAGTCTCACTAACTAAAGCAAAAATGCAAAGTAGAGCTATGTCGTAAAACCCATCCCTTCACTACTGCTCATGGCAAAAGAAGAGCTCACCAGGCTGTGGACTTGGGAGTGCCCCTGGCACACCCAGACTCCCCCTTCAGCTGCCTGGAGGAGGATAGTGGGTGATCATCATAGAGGCAGCAGGTGGCTTCATGGGTCCCACCCCACCATCAGTCATCTAGGCACAAAACACTTGATCAAGATGAATTGATTGCCATCTAGGATGTGGTTAAGAGTCATACGACTTAGCCTGGGTGTCCCAACCTACTCGTTCCTCTTCTTTGTTTTCTAGAACTCAAAAAAATTTCTCCCCTGATTTCTCACTGTTTATTTTCAGTATCTTAATTTCTTTGTGCTGTTTACTAATGATGAAGAAAAGAAAGGCCCTGAAGATTAGATATCTTGAATAAATTTTGATTGCATAGAGAAGGAAGTGGCAACCCACTCCGGTATTCTTGCCTGGAAAAGTCCATGGACAGAGGAGCCTGGCGGGCTGAAGTCCATGGGATTACATGACTGAGCATGTGTGCACGAGGGTGGAGGGAGATGGGTTGATAGCAATAAAGTGATAGAACTAAAAAAAAAAAAAATTTTTATTGCAAAGCATTTCTGACACAATACACCATAAGAAAATGTCTTGCACATTCTTAAGTTAGTGATAAAATGCACTTCATCTTTTTCTTTTTGCTTGTTTTTTTTTAAATGCAGTTTGGTAGAGAAGGAGAGATGGAAATGTTTCCGAGAAAAATTAACTGGCTGCACCACTTAACTTGGTCTCTGTTTTGGAATAGCAAAGTTTAGTTGATACAATTTTGTGTAACTCCATTCGACAGAAAGGAGAAGAGGGCAGCAAAGGATGAGGTGGTTAGATAGCATCACCGCCTCAATGGACATGAATTTGAGCAGACTCCAGGATACTGGAGGACAGGGCAGCCTGGTGTGCTGCAGTCCATGGGGTTTGCAAAGAGTCGGACACAACTTAGTGACTGAACAACAATAACAACCATTCGACAAGGCACCATCTGAATGAAGTCACTGAGTCCCCAGACTTCAAAATTGAGAAACAAGAGCTACTTCCTACCTTGTCAAAGATTTTGCTCAGGACTTCACTGGTGGTCCAGTGGCTAAGACTCCAAGTTCCCAATGCAGGGAGCCTGGGTTCAATTCCCGGTCCGAGAACTAGATCTCATGTGCCATGACTAAAGGTCCTGAATGCTGCAACGAGCCAAATAAATACAAATACTAAAAAAATAAAGGTTTGCTCAAATAGACCAAGACAGAAGAAAGAATAATTTCTCTTTTTAGTTTTTTCTAACTTTGCAATATTTCTAATTTGCAACTTTCTAATATTTGCAAATATCCCATTAGCTATACAGAGCTAAATATTCAAAACCTCTGTCTTCTGAACCCAAGACTGATATTATTTATTGATTGATTCAAAGCACTGTGAAAGATTATGGCTATTATTTTAATCATCTGTCTTGAGAGATGCCAAGAGCATACCCCCTTTATTGGTCAGGGGTGTGTGCCTTAATACATGTTAAGCTATCCTCTGAGAACTTCAAAACTGTAAAAAGCTGAAATCCTGCCTGAAGCCACACTAGGGAGAATGTTTAGGAGTTCATGCAATGGACCTAGCACAGTGTTCAAAACTGGGTACCCTCACCTCCTGAGCAGAGCGGTGAGGACAAATCAAAAGCCCCCCCATCCTCTGTTTGGTCCTCTGGAAATAGGATTTTTATCGCGTGGCTGTTGGGAGGATGCACTGTTACCACATGTAAACCACTGAGCAAATCGCCTGGCACATGGTGAATGGAGGAGAGTTATTCACAGTTGTTATTGTTACTCACCACTTCAGTATTGCAACAAATTTGCAGTCAGGTCCAAGAGCTTTGTCTTGCTTTTATTGTGTCCACTGTTGTAGGAAGCTGACCATCTACTGCAGTTCTTCTTTCCAAATAAGAAATATAAAGAAATATATATCAAGAGGGCATGTGCACAACTCAGAATGACTCTAAATATGATCATCAGGGAAGGATACGGGGCTCATGACTTCTAGCTCGATTTTCTTTCTACCACTTCCCAGGAGAAAGCATATGCCTCCATTGGCTGTTTAGGAGATTTCTTCCTCTTTGTTGCAAAGGAATGTATTTTAAGACAATTCAACGAAATCTTTGGGAGGATTAATAACCCTATAAAAATCAACTCAGATCATTAGGCAATGCGATAATAAATTACTGCTTCTTCCTCAGAAAGATGAAATTAGTAACTAATTCCATACCCTTTAATTTTTTTCAGATGTTTCTTAGATCTAAAAATGCTTCCTACAGCTAACTGTGGGCCATACATTACACTTGAGAGTTCAGTGCTGTCATGCTGATGGTGTGGTTTTGAACACATTTTTTCTTCATAAGAAATAAATGACAAAAATAGACTCTTAGAATTTTGTTTCCAAGAGAATTATAATAGCTTAGGCAGTAATGCCTTCATATATTGTAGAGTTCTCTTCATATTGTAGAGTTCATCATTTATTTATGGAATGAGAGTTGATTGTTCTGGAATCAACAGAATGTTTAAAAGTAGGCAGAATGGGTTTGAGGCCTGTATAATAAATTGTTAAATTTTAGGACAATCTTGGTCCACACTCATGAGAATGGTATTCATGAGCAAATTAACTTTCTGGTATTTTAGATCGGGCCATTCTAAACCATGTTTCAAGTATTTAAATAGAGTCAACTTTCATTTGGTCTAGTATGTTCTATTAAGCTACTGCAAACACTGAATTTGTGAATTCTGAACAACTGCTTGTAGAGGAAATGCAGGAGTAGGAAGCCTCTGGTCACAATGCTTTTGTCAACCAGTCAATACATACGCTTGTTTTCTTTGTGTTTCTGTTTAAAGACACCTTGTTCAAAATATATTCTAGATTCATTAACAGTGAACTCAAAGTCAACACCAGTGTAACTCGTGCCTAAACAAAGCTTATCTCACACACATATTTTCTCCATAAGGCATTTCACAGCCGTCTTGTGCTAAGGAACACAAGGCAGCACTTCATGTACTTGGGGACCATTTTAAACAACAAAAAGCACAAAAATACAAAAACCATGGCATTCAATTTCCCATGAAAAGGACGCTTCTTTTCATACTTTTAGTGTGAGACCTAAAGCAAGAAGGCAGAGCATTACCTTGTTGGACCTCAGCTGGAAACGTGCACAGTTAGGCAAGTTCATTTTTTTGACCCTGCTCAAGTCCACCAATGGTCAGAAAGGGCTGCAGGTGTTGCTTTCAGAGTTACAAATAAATGCAGTGAAGAGCCAGCTTCATAAACATGGAATCTGTGAATCATGAAGACTGTATTTCAACTTAAGTCTGGGAACAGTAAGAAAATACTACATTGGAGAATGGGAAAGGAAAGTTCTTGGAATTTTGTGGCCATCAAAAAATTTGTTGTGGACTTCTCTGGAGGTCCAGTGGATAAGAATTCACCTGCCCATGCAGGGCACATGGGTTCAATCCCTGGTCTGGGAAGATTCCACATGCCTTGGGGCAATGAAGCCTGTGAATCACAATTACTGAACCTGTGCTCTAGAAGCTGGGAGCCTCGACAAAAGAAGCCACCGCAATGAGAAGCCCCATACAGCAACTAGAGAGTAGCCTCTGCTTGCTGTCTCTAGAGAAAGCCCACATGCACCAATGAAGACCCAGCACAACCAAAAACAAATAAATAATTTAAAAAATTTGCTTTATCAGGAAGCATATTGAGGAAGCTCTGCATATGGAACCCTGCCAGGCAACATGTGAGCCAGAGAAAAAAGAGATTTAGTTCTTTATCATCTTAACTGGCTGGAAAGCGAAACACATATGTATGAAATGAGTTCACACATACAAAGTTAAGTTCAGTAAATAGAACATAGCACAATAAAGACACCGTGTATCTAGGTGATGATGAAGAAATAGAGCTTGAAACAGTCAGAAAAGTTCGGTATTAATTAGGAAAGACCATGGAGAAGTATGGGTTTGAGTTGTTTTATTTTTTGTTTTGCTTTAATCAGCTATATCGAAATGAATGTGATTTGTAAGAGAGGAAGGAGCAATTAAGCGACCTTGCACATGGTATGTGTTTAATAAAAAAAAGGCAAGGGCCAGCTGGTAGATTAGCTGGGCCAAAGTATGTGGCCTTAGAAGTAGCCAGGAGGTTGCAGGAACATGGATGGATCTAGAGATAATCCTACTACATAAGTCAGACAAAGAAAGACAAATATGACATCACTTATATGTGGAATCTAAAAAAATAATACAAGTGAACTTACTAACAAAACAGAAATAGACTCACAGATGTAGAAAACAAACTTAACGGTTACCAAAGCAGAAAGGAGGTGGGGAAGGGATAAATTGGGAGTTTGGGATTGACAGATACATTCTCTATATATAAAATAAATACACAACAAGGACATCCTGTATAGCACAAGGAATTGTAGTCAACATCTTGTAATAACCTATAATGGAAATGAATCTGAAAAAATATATTTAATTTTTATTTATATATATATATGTATAAACGAATCACTTTGCTGTGCACCCAAAACACTCTAAATCAACTATATTTCAATTTTTTAAATTAAACTTAAAAAAAAAAGTAGCCAGGAGTTAGGTAAGGTAGGGAGGCTGGTTGGGATTGAGGGGTAATGAACGTGAGGAAAGAGTGCAGGACATGTCACTGTTAAAAAGCATAATATAGGCCTGTGCAAAAACAAAACAAAAACAGAGAAAAAACCCTCTAGTTCTTTTTCCCGCTCATCTAAAAGAGAGGTGGGATGACCAGATGTCCTGATTTGCCCAAGTCAGTCCCAAGTTACTCCTGCTGTGGATCAGTTAACACTGTTAATTATTTTTAGTGTCTCCTTTCATCTTCAAAAGTGCCCGGATTTGGACAATAAGTTGTATGGTCTCTCTAAGGACCCAAAATGAACTGAAAACCACAACTCTGTTTAGCATAAACAAACTGTTTATAAAAGCTAAAGAAAACACTAATAAATATCAATGCAAATAACAAAATCAGAAAATAGGGACAAAGCGAACTGCTGCAAGTCCTAACTTTACTCAGGGCAAGTTTCTGTTCTGTTATTGCCTCATGCATTTTGGTAACTTTTTGAAGTTGATATTATAATTGAGAAGTCTGACTAGGCTCTGGAGACTTGGTTTGTTTAGTTGGTTGCTGATGAAGCTGGATATCTGCATGAACTTTCCTTGGCTCTGTCTTCTCAGACGTAATCACTTTAGAACTCATCCCTGAGAGCGGAGGAAGAAAAACACTGCTGTGGAGACATTCTGCTTTAACTGCTCCGGCCACAGCTCCTTTAAATGGAGCGGACGTAGGAGGGCCCTTCTCAAGAGCAGCTCACAGTCTGAACCCACTGACACCTCGGAACACTTACTGGTTACAGAGACTAAAACAACGTAAATAATAAGTCGTGAGCAGACAGAAGCTGCTAATAATGTCTTATGACTAACGGAAAATACAAGGTGAGACCGGAGTTTCACCTTCAGGGAATGTTGAGGGGCCGAGGAGGAAACTGCCTTCGTTTTCCACGACATCTTCACATGTTTTCCTCCAGCGTTTCAAAAATATAAAAACAAAATAGCTTATTCCCTGAGTATTCTGAGGTTATACTTTCTAAAGTGCTGTCTGGGGGCAATGTGTGGTGCCAGGTTTCCTGGAAGAAATAGGAAGTGTTAGTCTGTCAGTCATGTCTGACTCTTCGCGACACCATGGACTGTAGCTTGCCAAGCTCCTCTGCCCGTGGAGTTCTCCAGGTGGAATACCGGAGTGGGGTAGCCATTCCCTTCTCCAGGGGATCTTCCCAACCCAGGGATCAAACCTGTGTCTCCTGCATTAAAGGTGGATTCTTCACCATGTGAGCCACCAGGGAATAATCCCAGAAATAGGAAGGACACTAGAAAAAAGTCACCAGGACTCAGTTCCAATGGGTTTCAATCCTAAAAGAATCTTCAGTTTCTCACTGGCGATTCCAAATTCACAAAGATTTTTAAAACATAAATCTTTGTCGACTGTGGTTTTCTAATACACATTTTATCAAAGCATAGCATTTCTTCAAAATGTGATCAGCTCACTGAATTTTCCACAAAATGCAGGCAGTTACATAAACAGCACCCAGATAACAAAGCAAAACATGACCAGCCCCTCTCAGGGCCCCTCACGGTCCTTGCGATCATTAGCCCTTCCTTTCCAAAAGACACAGCAACTCTGACCTCTAACACCATCGCTTAAACATTTGTTGAAGAAAAACTATTGATTTATTTTGTTGGTAATAACTAGCACAGTGCCTGGCACAAAATACTTGTTGAATAACGTTGGTTGAATGAATGAAAGAAAGCAGACAGGTGTCTAACTTTTATAAGACTAGTGCATCAGGTTAACATACATAATATATTGGGGCAAGGGACATTAAACTTGAGTGAGAACTGGAATAATCTGGGGATGCTAACTTAGAATCAAGTTGAAAACTCAAACTTTGAACAGGAGTGTATGCTTTGGTTTAACTGTTTAACAAATATAAACAATGTGAATACATCCTATCCCCTCTAAGTTTTCCTTGGGCCTTAACCAACTCTGTTCACATCACATCCACTGTAACTGGTGAAACCAACCTCCAGAGATCTTGTTTCTCTTTCTCACTTGTAAATGGACCCACGTAGCCAAGAAATGACTATTTTCAGCCCTTCTCCACCAGACTCTGAGGCCCCATCTGTTAGAAAACAAAATAAGAGTCACCCTCTCCCTCGGCCAAAGCATGTGATCTCTGGCCGGAGTGCCTCCCGCCCTAATGAGTGAGGTAATGAGGGGCCAAATAAGGTTTCAGAGGCATTGATACGTCACCTCAGAATTACAGTTCTTCTTCACTGTACTGTTAAAAAGCTGGAATGAAGAACCTGGCCCTGCCAAAGCACGGCTTCGTCAGAGGCAATCTGTCAACCGTAGAGATAATAGATAAAAGGAAAATCCATTTCGAGCTTTGAACTGCTGTTCTTAAATGATTCCCAGGAAAACACAAATAAATTATGTCTTTAGAAGGACAGATCCACTACGAAAAACCTCCCAAAGGTGGAGTTTTAATTATTTCTTTAAAATATTTCCAACATTGAAAGGGAACAAGTCTGGAAATGGAAACTATTTTGTTCAGAGGATGATTCAGTCCAATTTGCAACCCTCTCCAGATATGTCATGCTTTATCATAGATGAACCTTCAAAGGCTGAGGTGCAGAGATAAAGGACAGACTGGAGAAACACACAAATCCACCAGAGCCACTTCGTCCACATTAAAACTAGTCTTCAAAATCAGGAGCGTGAAATCCAGAAACAAATCTCATTTGCCAAAGGAGGGAAAGCAGGTCTTTTTACCTTTTTTTTCCCTAGTTTCTTTCGAGGCCCTCAAGCAAACATCATCTCTGCATAAACTATTCTCTGTGTGGAATTTTCACTATGCCTGGAGAACTTCAGCTTCACCTATAAGACCCTGACAGTCCTTGTTCACTCTCTGAAGCTTTCCAGGAGCCAGACTGTCTCACATGTTGCAACATATAACTGATAAAGAACTGATAGAGGAACTGATTTAACAAATCAACAAGTCAACAAGAAAGAGACAAACAATTGAATAGAAAAATGGCCAATCTACCCTTCACAAAAGAGGAAACTCAAATGGTCGATTAAAAAACATGTTCAGCCTCTTAATAATCATGGACATACAGAGCAATATCTAAGTAATTAATGAAGATCTAATGCAAATTGATACCGCTACCACTATGTATTACCAGACTGACAAAAATCTAAAAGTCTGACAACACCAAGTGCTATTGTGAACACAGAGAAACCCTACCTCACTGCTGGTGGGGGTGTAAACTGGTACAACTGCTTTGGAAAACAGTTCTGCACTGCTTTTCTTTATAGTTGCACAGTCACATACCCTAAAACTCATCAACTACACCCCTAGATGCGTAACCTAGAGAGATGAATGATAAACTTGGGGCTGCCAAGGGGAGAGCCTCATCATTCGTTTCAACAAGCCCAGACTCAGCAGTAAGCCCAACGCCATGATGATGGTTCTATCTCTGTGCACAATGACTGCTGTTCTTCTCAGTGAATTAAAGCGGCTTCACAGAGTTGTGATTAGAAATAAAGCAACATGTTTAGCACAGTTTCTAGGAATTTGTCTGTTTCATCTAGGTTATCCAACTTTTTTGGCATACAATTGTTCATAGCACTCTCTTATAATCCTTTATATTTCTTTATAATCTTTTATAGTCTTAATATATATTTATATATAGAATCATTTGTAAAGTCCCCATTTTCATTTCAGATTTTAGTAATTTGTATCTTTCTCCCATAGTCCACTGAGCTAAAGATAGTCAATTTTGTTGATCTTTTCAAAGAACCACTTTTTATATCAATCATTAATTTTTTTTTAATATTCCATTTTACTTATCTCTATTCATCATTTCCTTCCTTCTCCTAGCTTTGGGTTTAGTTTGTTCTTTTTTAGATACTTAGGTTGTAAAGCAAAAGTTGATTTCAGTCTTTCTTACATATTAATACAAGCGTTTACAGCTATAAATTTCTCTCTGTTGTGCTTTCATTGTGTTTCATGTGTTTTGGGGTATCATGTTCTCATTTTCATTAATCTCTAAGTATTTTTTAATTTCATGTTTTCCTTGATTCATTGATTTTTTTAAATATGTTTTTTTTTTTAATGTGTTTTTAAATTTCCACAAATTCATGAATTTTTGGTCTTCTATTGGGTTGGCCAAAATGTTTGTTTAGAAAGATGCTAGAAAAACCCAAATTAACTATTTGGCTAAACCCAATATTTCTCATTTATTTTTAAAATTGAAATATGATTCATGTTCTATACAACTGACCCATTTAACATTAACAATGCAATAGTTTCAGTACATTTACAAATATGTGCAACCGTTACCGCAGTCATTTTGGGAAACTTTTTGTCATCTCATGTGAAAATCTTACATTCTTTAGCTATCACCTCTGGTATTAATTTCCTAGGGTTGTCATTTTAAAGTACCAAAAACTAGATGGCTTGAAACAACATAAATGCCTCAGTTTTGGAGGTTACAAATCTGAAATCAAGGTTCTGGCAGTGCCATGCTTTAAGAATCCTTGTTTTAGTCTGTCTAGGCTGCTGAAAGAGAATACCATAGATTGGCTGGCTCATAACTAGAAAAATTTCCTTCTCACTGTCTGGAAGCTGAGAAGTCCAAGATCAAGGTGTGGGTAGATTTGGCATCTGATGAGAACCTTCTTCTTGGTGGCCATCTTTCTGCTCTGTCCTCATGGGGTGGAAGGAGAGGGGGAAATCTCTGGTGTCTCTTTTATAAATAAGGGCACTAATCCCATTCACCTGGGCTCAACCCTCATAACCAAAGATCTTACCTCCAAACACCCTCACATTTGTGAATAGCTTTCAATATATGAATTTGGGGAAGACACATTCAGTGTCTAATGCCTTCCTTACCTCTTCTGGTTTCTAGTTGTTCGGTTTGTAGATGCATTATTCTAGTCACAAGGCCATCTTTTCCCTGTGTCTTCACTCTGTCTTCTGTTAGTGTCTGTGTCAGAGTATTCCTTTTCATAAGAACATCAGTTCCTTGGGGGTTAGAATCCACCTTAATGATCTCATTTTCACTCGATTACTTTGTTTTTCAAAGAAGACCAAATTCTGAGGTACTAGCGTTTGAACTTCAGGATCTTTTAGGAGCACACAATTCAATCCATAAGGATAATTCTGTACCTTTTGTCTATCAGATGAATCCTACTCCTCCACACCCTCCCACCACTCTAACAAGCATCCACTAATCTTCCTGTTTCTATAGATTTTCCTATTCTAAATTTTCATAGGAGTGGAATCACAACAGTATGTGGTCTTTTGTGACTTGCTTTTCTCATTTGATGTTTTTGTGGTTCATCCATATTGTAACATGTATCGGTGCTTTCTTCATATTTTATTCTTTCCTGGTGGATATTAAAAATTTCATTCATCCCTTGGTGGATACCTTTTAGTTATAGGAGTCATGCTGTTATAACATTCATGTACAAGTTTCTGTGGGGACAAATGATTTCATTGCTCTTGAGTATATATCCAGGAATGGAATTACTGGGTTGAATGGTAATACTGTGATGAATCATTTGAGAAACTGCCTCATCAACACTGTTCTCCAAGGTGACTGGATCATTTTACATTCTTACCAGCAATGCATGAGACTTCTAATTTCTACATCTTCTTGACCAAATTGCTGTTATCTGACTTTTTGATTAGCCATCCTAGTGGATGTGAAGTAGTGTCTCAGAGTGGTTTTGATTCCCTGATGAATGATAAAGCATCTTTCATGTGCTTGTTAAGCATCTGTGTTTTTTTTTTTTTTTTTTTTTCAGAGAAATCTCTCTCCATATACTTTGTCTGCTTTTAAATTGAGTTTGTATTTTTATTATTCAGTTACATGGGTTCTTCATATAGTCTAGATATGTCCCTTATGAGGTACATGATTTGGAAATACTTTCCACCATTCTGCTGGTTGCCATTTCATGTTGAGAGTATGCTTTGAAGCAAAATTGTCTAATCTTGATGAAATCCAATTATCCCCTTTTGTTGCTCTAGATTTTGGTGTCATATCTAAGAATTCTTCACCAAATCCAAAGCCATGAAGATTTACCTCTATGTTTTCCTCTAGGAGTTAAACTTTTTTGCTTTTCTATTTAGGTTTTTGATCTTTTTTAAGGTAATTTTTGTACATGAAGTGAGGTGGGATCGTTTCGTTTTTGCTAACTGTCCAGTTGATTCAGCACTATTTGTCAAACAGATGACTGTTTTCCCTTTGGTTGATTCTTGACACCCTTTATGAAAATCAATTGACCATAGAGGCAGAGGTTTTCTGAACTCTGTCTGCATAACTATTGCTTTTTATAATAAATTGCGAAACTGAAAAATATGTCCACCTACTTTGTTAGGTGCACTTTCTCTTAGCCTCTACTCATTTTTCATTCTTTTTTCTCTGTTTGAACTGCCTGCTGCCGCTGCTGCTAAGTTGCTTCAGTCGTGTCTGACTCTGTGCGACCCCATAGATGGCAGCCCACCAGGCTCCCCCGTCCTTGGGATTCTCCAGGCAAGATCACTGGAGTGGGCTGCCATTTCCTTCTCCAATGCATGAAAGTGAAAAGTGAAAGTGAAGTCGCTCAGTCATGTCCGACTCTTAGCGACCCCATGGACTGCAGCCCACCAGGCTCCTCCGTCCATGGGATTTTCCAGGCAAGAGTACTGGAGTGGGGTGCCATTGCTTTCTCCATCAAACTGCCTAGTCTCTTATTATTCTATCTCCAAGTCCACTAATTCTCTCTTCTGCCAGATAAATGTTCAGTCATTCTAGTGAATTGCTTATTTCAGTTATCGTTCAAGTCCAGAGTTTCTATATAAAATTTTTTATTGATATCATCAATTTGACAAAGACATTGTCATTGTACCTTCAATTCCTTAATCAAGCTTTCCTTTAGTTCCGTGAACATATTGACAATGGCTACTTCAAAATACTCTTCTGTTAAACCTAACAACTACTAGTTCTCACAGGCAGTTTCTGCTGCCCTATTTCCAGTGTGGGAGTCATACTTTCCAATTTCTTTGCATCTCATATTTTTGTTGGAAAGGGCACACTTTAGATAACGCATTGTAGCAACTTTGGGTACTGGTTCAACCCCCTCTGGGGCTTATTTCCTAATTTAGTAACTGGTCATGCCCCTCTGTCCATGGGCTTCTCCAGGCAAGAATATTGGAGTAGGTAGCCATTCCCTTCTCCAGGGGATCGTCCCAACCCAGGGATGGAACCTGGGTCTCCTGCATTGCAGGCAGATTCTTTCCTGTCGGAGCCAGCAAGGAAGCCCTACTTTTTTCCCCTCCCAATTATTTTAGTGAAATCCACGTCCCCACCCATCCTCCAGTGTCAAGTTGGACGTTCCTCTTCAGGGAGGCGCAGCTCCAGGCATGCCCTGTCACTTTGGGATAACACAAGTGTTGCTGGGACTCTCTTCTTTCCTTGACCCTGCAATCAGATGTTAAAGGTGTTAGATCCATGAATAGCTGGTTCATTCCTCTATTATTTATATCAATGTCCTAGAGCAAAAAAAAATTAATCAGATTATAGCTTTTTTTTGAGGGGGATGAAGTTTCTGAGGCTGTTCCTATGTAATCACTAAGTCGTGTCTGACTCTGCGACCCCATGAATGCAGCACGCCAGGCTTCCCTGTCCTTCACTATCTCCTGGCCTATTTGTTCTTTGATATTTAATATTTGCTCCTGGTGTTTGATGTTTAAAGACCCAAGGAGGGCTTCTTCCAGGTTTCTTATTCCTGAAAGCTAGCCAGCCTATATACTTTATCTTCGTTAGATCTAAGGACCTCTTTCCTATTTCCTATACAACCTCCATTGTTTCTTGAGAATGCTCTTAAATTTCTCCATGTTGTAAACAAAGCCAGGTCCTTTGTGAAGCGATTAGGAACTATTTGTTTTATGTGTTTATCTCCCCTCCTTCTTCCCAAAATCTGAGCCAGGATTCTGAAGCTGGGGATGATGGCAAATTTCTGAGTAACACTGTACTCTATGGGCTAAACATGGTAGGGAGGGGACTACCTGAGGTCCTCTTGGCTTACTTCTCCTGGGCTGGAACCACCACCTCGCGGGCCAGAGGAAGGGCTATCAAGGCTACATTATTCTCAGCATGCCACATCCAGGGCGGAGCCTCCATTCTACAAGTGGGGCCTGGGAGGAAGAAGACAGCCCTCGCCACTTGACAACACTGACCTGGGACTTGTTTCCAGCAAAACTCAGTTGTGGGCACAGTAAGAAAGCACTGAAGTTTTGCTCCTCCTGGCTGCGAGGCAGAGGGACGGGGCGTGAGATTCCTGGCTGCAGCAGTCTGGACTGGGTTCTCCGCCTCGCTGAGCTGGGAGGTGGGACAATCAGGTTTGGTTTAAAATACCAGATTCTTAACTTTCCCTGCAGAATTTTCTTTTATTTTCTTGATTAAATGTTTCTTCATTTACCAATTCTGTCCTTAGAGTCATTCTTAGAAGTTTTAGGTTAAGTTTTTAAAAGATATTTATTGCTGTGTTGGGTCTTCCTTGATGCATGAGCGCTTTCTCTAGTTGCAGTGATCAGGGGCTATTTTCTAGTGGCAGCGCCTGGGCTTTTCATTGCGGTGGCTTCTCTTGTTGTGGAGCATGGACTCTAGGGCATTGTGGGTTCAGTAGTTGGGGCTCACAGGCTTAGTTGCTCACTGGCATGTGGAATCTTCCCGGACCAGGGATTGAACTCGTGTCCCTGGCAGGTGGATTCTTAACCCTGAGAACACCAGGCAAGTCCCTAGAGATTTTAAATGGTTACTTTAATACTTCTCACCAGTTACTGGGGAGCAGGGTCAGCAGAGCTCCTCAGGCTGTCTTAGCAAAAGTTGCACCCTGCACATTTAATTCTTTAATATTGTCATAGAATTCATTTTTCTTTTTTGGTGGCACCATGGCAGCATCTTAGTTCTCGGATTAGGGGTTGAGCCCATGTGCCCCCCCACCCCCACCCCTACAGTGGAAGCACAGAGTCCTAACCAATGGATTGCCAGAGGACACCCCCACATTTAATTCTTAAAAGCATAGGTTTAATTAGGACTGCTGAAAAACTTACATGTACTGATTCAATACTTCCTTCAAAGCCCAAGGTCTTAGAGATCTGCTTCCAACTTAGATCTGATTTTACTTCCCATTGGACTTGAGTCAGTTTGAGTTCCTTCCAAAGAAATGCTGCCTTTTATGTCTCATTGTCTTCGCTTGTAGCATTCTACTTTTCCTTCCCCAAATCGCAGCACACATAAATACTACAAACCCATTTCCAGTGTCACATGCTCCATCATCTCCCTACAATTCACACGCCTCTAATCAGGTGTAGTGATCGTCTGTATAATTGCCTAACAAAGGGAAGAAAATGACATCCATAGGAAATCTACCAAATGCCAAACTACATTCACCATTCAGTTGTTTCATTTGATTATGAAACCCTACAAAATAGGTATATTGTTGTTCAGTTGCTAAGTCACGTCAGACTCTTCCTTACCCCATGGACTGCAGCACACCAGACATCCCTGTCCCTCCCACCTCTTGGAGTTCACCCAAGTTCATGTCCATTGAATCGGTGATGCCATCCAACAATCTCATCCTCTGCCGCCCTCTTCTCCTTTTGTCTTTAAACTTGCCTGGCATCAGGGTCTCTTCCAATGAGTCAGCCGTTTGCATCAGGTGGCCAAAATATTCGAGCTTCAGATTCAGCACCAGTCCTTCCAATGAATATTCAGGATTGATTTCTTTTAGGATTGACTGGCTTGATCTCCTATGTTGTCCAAGGGACTCTCAAGTCTTCTCCAGCACCATATTTCAACAGCATCAATTCTTCAGTGCTCAGCCTTCTTTATGGTCCAACTCTTAACATCCATACATGAGTACTGGAAAGACCATAGCTTTGACTAGACAGACCTTTGTCGGCAAAGTGATGCCTTTGCTTTTTAACAAACTGTCCAGGTTTGTCAGGCCTTCCAAGAAGCACACTTTTAATTTCAAGGCTGCAGTCACCATCCGCAGTGATTTGGAGCCCAAGAAGAGAAATTCTGTCACTGCTTCCATTTTTTACCTTTCTATTTGTCATGAAGTGATGAGACTGGGTGCCATGATCTTAAGTTTTTGAATGTTGAGTTTTAAGCCAGATTTTTCTATCCTCATTTTAAAGATGAGAAAACCCGCGATATAGACAGGTTAAATAATTTGTCCTAGTCTTGAAGCTGGTGAGTTTTAAAGCCTAGATTAGCATAGGCAGAGTTTATACAGTTTCTTTAGCTTGGTGATCAAACAGGTATGAAATTACATGTAAATGTTTTACTCAGCATGTGGTAGCTATTATCTTCTTCCATAGGTTGGACACACTGGTTTGCATATAGCAGATATATGTATTTGCTAAATTAATGCATTTATGAATGTTCTGATAAAAACCATTCTGGATTTCAAACTAAGGCCAAGTACTTTTTAATTTTACACTTTGAAATAGCCCAATAATCCTATTTATAAATGTCTTATGAAATTGGTATTTCATTCTAACCAATTGTTCCTGTGCAATTAAGTCATGTCCGATTCTTTGTGACTCCATGGATTGTAGCATGCCAGCCTCCTTTGTCCTTCACATCTATATTCTACTACAAAAACACCAATCAACACATGAACATTTAACACAAATGTAGCCAGAGCTCAATATATTATTATTAAGCACATTAAAAAAATGATTCTTTTGACTTTTCATTAATATTTGATCCAAGGACCATAGCTGAACTGTCAGCAGTTATTCCTTTTTTTCTTGGCTACACTGTGCAGCTTGCAGAGTCTCAGTTCCCAACCATGATCGACTCCAGTGAAAGACCGGAATCCTAACTACTAGGCCATAAGGGGAACTCCCAGCAATTCTTCATTGACGAAATTCACTCTGCAAAAACTACTGAAGAGAAATGTGCAATATGATTAACAAATAAAGGCATATTTCTAGTTTATGAAAACATGGAAGTGTATTTTTTTACTAAATTTGGCATTCATTTATATCGCAGAACTAGTGAAATCATAAGAAATGCAAAATATAAGATTCCTCTGTTAAGTATTATCCTGTCATTTCAAGCCCAACATAAAGAAATGGCCTTGTATAGTATAAAAGTGAGCTTCTATTGTTTAATTATTCCTAATAAAAAAATTCAAATATTCATCAGTGGATATCAAATAAATAAGTCAAGTGACATAATTCTTTATTCCCACTAAGAGGAAATCAGACAAATAAGACATTACGTTCCATTTCAACCAAGAATTTTAAAAGTTAAGAATAAGTGACGAGAGACACAAGTGAAAAAGATATAAACAAATTCTACTAGTAAGATTTAAATATGGTACTATACAAAGATTTAAATATTTTCTACCTCATGCTATTTGTTACTGGAGTGTAAAGAATCAGAACACTAGGAATTTATATTATCAGACATTATTTTACTTTGAAATTAGGCCTCCTAATATAAAACAATATAACTCATGTCTCTCTATTGCTTGTCCCTTGGAATAGTGATTCTTTAACACGAATTTGATTTCTCTCTAAAAGGGAATTAATTCTAACTAGTATTTTCAGATACTCAAATTATTGATGAATTCATAGGTGAAATAACTGCCTGCACCGGTCAGATGTGGAGAAACTTCACCTTATATTTAAGATAATTACTTTTTAGGCCAAGAGTCCTCCCACAAATTTTAATGCTGCTACTTATCTCTAAATCTAAACATATGCCTGCCAAAATGTAGCAATCTCTTTTTGAAGTGTTCGAAAGACATGCAAAATAATATTATCTTAAATTAACATCTATAAAAGCAAATTTATAATTACATAACTATGAAATGATTCCATGAAAATGTTTAGCAGACATTAGATGTACAAAAATGATACAAATTAAAGCTTTTTTACTAATAGTATTTGAAAGTTACAGACTAAAAATATTAATCCTATCCATTTCATAATAACTGTAAGTAACCAAGTCATAACCTCAAAAAATTAAGAATACTTAGAAGATGAAACTTATCTTTTTGATACTAATATTTAATAACTAATAAGTAGTTAGTTTTACTTAAAAGGAATCTACTCTTTAACTAATTCTTAACACTGCCATTTTGCTTCTTTCTTTTACAAAACAGTTAAATGCCCTCCAATTATAAAGCGAGGTTAAACATCATAATAATTTACACTAAGGTAATTTTCATGGAACTTTAAATTTTGAAAAAGGAAAACACACCTATTCAACAGGAAGACACAATCTTCTTTATTAACCTCACTGTATATTCAGAAAGGATTAAAAAACACACACATTTGCTGGGCCACAAAACGGTACCAAAAGTATTTCCTTACAAAATAACTTCACAAACCAATAGTCCTGGACTGACACAAAGACATATATTGACATACATTACCATGAATTAGTATACAATTCCAAATGTTTTTGCAGCAAATTTCTAGCAGACCTTTATTTCCTTAATGAGGGAGTGTACAACTTCTTTAACTCTTTAAAAATAGTAATAAAAAATTACAAAATAACATAAATGTAGAATTAAGGCTGAGACTATATAATCTAGTATTAATAAAGTCAAACAATGTTTATAAAACTGCTGCTGCTGCATATTATATATATACATATAATACACAAGATAAATCTTTAGAAATTTAAAATGCTACCGTCTGTTAAAAGTTAACCCACCAATGTAATATTTTTCCATGTATCTTAAGATGTGAATTCCGAGATACCTGTGCTTTTCTATTTTTATTCTGAATTACAAGTTTCCTCTCATATTTACAATTAAATACCTAACCTCTAGAACTTTCCTTAGACACAACAATTACAGTTGTTAAATAAGTTCACACAAAAGTAATAAAAAGGTCTGCTCTCAAGAAATAGTTCTAGCATATTTGTGATAAACATACTGAAAAACAGTACATACACTTGTCTTCAGGATTAATAAATGCTATGTACCAGCGGTACAGTCACTGATGTAATTGCATATTTTCCTCTGACACATTTGCAAGATAATAACAACCAAAGGGCCCGACAACTGGAATAATTCCAGTAAGCCCACACTGTCCAGTGAGATTGACAAAACTGAATGGTTGCTTCCCACCCTGTTTGGCTAAACATGGAAATACAAGCCTAGATTCTTGTATCACCCCCAGAAATATGCAACACCCTCTTGGTCTTCGGAAACAGAGCTGCAGAAGGCAGGGCATTCTTAGGGAGACTAATGGCCTCCTCTTCTGTCATCTCTCACACATCAGTTTTGGTTATAATCCTGATTAAAGTGGAAAAAAACACAGTTAAATTCTATATACCAAAGTTCTCCTCCCCTGTAACTCCCTCATCAGACCTAGGTGGTTAAATACGCAGTGGAACTGTGTTCTAGTAATTATAGTAATTCTTGGTATAAACAGACATAATTAAATCCTTGTATGTAAGCATTTCTTTCACATGTATGCAACAAATAAAAGCTTGACAGAAAAGCAGAAGTTAACATATACAGAGGAAGAGATAAATTCTGTGTAGCATAGTTCTTTGGAGTGGTATATCCTACATCCAAATTTTGCAGATAATTGGTTATTTTCCCCTTTCCTAAAATGAAATTACCATTTAAAATTTTTAACAAAAATTATAATGCTTATTAGAGAAAGGTCACAAAGATAAACCAAAAACATTAAAAAATACCCATAACTCTGGATGAACATCTTAGTATATATTTATGCAGGTATTTTCTTACTCAGATAAATATTTTCTTTTTCTTTTTGNGGGGGGGGGGGGGGCGTTGTGCTGGGGTCTTCGTTGCTTTGAGTAGCTTTTTCTCTAGTTGTGGCAAGCAGGGGCTACGTTCTAGTTGTGGTACAAGGGCTTCTCACTGAAGTGGCTTCTCTCGCTGCTGAGCAGATTCTAAGGCGCACAGGCTTCAGTAGTTGTGGCACATGGGCTCAGCAGTTGGGCTCATGGGCTCAGTTGGGGCACAGGCTCAATAATTGTGGCACACAGCCTTAGTGGGATCTTTCCAGACCGGGGATTGAACCTGTGTCTGCTGCACTGGGCAGGCAGATTCTTTACCACTGAACCACCAAGGAAGCCCTATACTTTCTTTTTAAACAATAGTTCCCTGAACTGTCATCTCCAAATAAAAGACATGCAGTTTTGGTAAAGAGCTAATCTGTAATCTTTATGAGCAGAAAATCGATTAGAAAACCGAAGTCTCCACTAAGAAAATGAGTCTACTGCATAATATATACTGCTACGTATATTCTGTTGATTCTAAAATCCACATTTTCCCACATATAACATCTCTGAAATCCACCTTATAATGTCATGAGTTAATCTGCAGTGTTTTCTTTCAGTGCCTCATGGAATAATGATGCTTCGAGTAATTACTGAATTCTTACAGCTGATGAAATATGGTATATAATCCCTATAAAAGCCAACAATATATAAATATGTAATACACAAACACTAATAATAACATATTAACACATATATTATGCTGCTATTTCCTACTGCTGAATTTGTTTTCCATTGTATGGATGAAATCACTATTTCAATATTAAAGATACTTTCATTTCAAATGCAGCAACATTTTTGATACAGTGTGATTTACAGAGAACAGGTAGAGACTGGGGATGAGAAAATTACTAATTAAACCTTGATTTAAATTTTAAATCAAAATTTAAAGTGATATTAGATTTCCCAAAGATAAGCAGGATATAAACAGGAAGCCACAGGCTAGAATACAGCAAATTTGCAACCTACATCTTCTCATCTGCCACACAAAGCTTGATGACAACAGCTTTTTTATGTTTGTTTTTTGTGTATGCAAAAAGCTGTACTGACAATATGGATCTCTCTCTGAAAACATTTACACTCTTCCCCCTTTTCTTGTTATTCCACCAATTTGTTATGAATTTTCTTGGTGTTATCTTTTGTCAGTCATTGTACTGGGCCTTCAACAGGCCCTTTCATCCCTGGAAATTCTCTTCCACATGCTGTTTCTTCTTTCATTGATTCCCGATAGTCTGAATTGGTTCTCTACATCTCCCCCTTTCTCTTCATATATTTTTTCCCCCTCCTCGCCTGGCTTCTGCTGCTGTCCTCTGAAGGTTTTAATTTCAGCAATGGGATCTGTAATCCTGTTCTGGCTATATTTTTCTCCTAATAGCCTCTTGGTTTCACGAATGTAACTCCTTCCACAATCTAATCACAAACTACAGTTTTTATTTTTTTTTTCATTTATTTTTATTAGTTGGAGGCTAATTACTTACATCACTGCAGTGGTTTTTGTCATACATTGAAAAGAATTAGCCATGGATTTACATATATTCCCCATCCTGGTCCCCCCTCCCACCTCCCTCTCCACCCGATCCCTCTGGGTCTTCCCAGTGCACCAGGCCCGAGCACTTGTCTCATGCACCCAACCTGGGCTGGTGATCTGTTTCACCCTAGATAATATACATGTTTCAATGCTGTTCTCTTGAAACATCCCACCCTCGCCTTCTCCCAGAGTCCACAAGTCTGTTCTATACATCTGAGTCTCTTTTTCTGTTTTGCATATAGGGTTATCGTTACCATCTTTCTAAATTCCATATATATGTGTTAGTATACTGTAATGGTCTTTATCTTTCTGGCTTACTTCGCTCTGTATAATGGGCTCCAGTTTCATCCATCTCATTAGAACTGATTCAAATGAATTCTTTTTAATGGCTGAGTAATATTCCATGGTGTATATGTACCACAGCTTCCTCATCCATTCGTCTGCTGATGGGCATCTAGGTTGCTTCCATGTCCTGGCTATTATAAACAGTGCTGCGATGAACATTGGGGTGCACGTGTCTCTTTCAGATCTGGTTTCCTTGGTGTGTATGCCCAGAAGTGGGATTGCTGGGTCATATGGCAGTTCTATTTCCAGCTTTTTAAGAAATCTCCACACTGTTTTCCATAGTGGCTGTACTAATTTGCATTCCCACCAACAGTGTAAGAGGGTTCCCTTTTCTCCACACCCTCTCCAGCATTTATTGCTTGTAGACTTTTGGATAGCAGCCATCCTGACTGGCGTGTAATGGTACCTCATTGTGGTTTTGATTTGCATTTCTCTGATAATGAGTGATGTTGAGCATCTTTTCATGTGTTTGTTAGCCATCTGTATGTCTTCAAAAGAGTTCAGCTGAATCATCTTCCAGGGTTGGTTTTGTTATTTATCTTGTATTTCCCCTCACATGTTGTTGACCCCCCTCATATGCATGATGACTCTCAGCTGTACAATTACATTTAAGAAAAAGGACTGTGCTGCTGGTCTGGATTTAGTCTACTGTTAATAAAAATAGAACTGTTTTCCCATTAAGGCTGCTCTCTGAGTAGGAATTTTAAGGGATGAGGGAGCAGGGGAGTGGGCAAGAAGGCTTTAAGGGTGTGGCTGGAGAGCCAACTAGCAGGTTGCTAGTTTGTAGATGCTGGCAACAGACAAGCCTCGAGGGTGCCACCAACTACATCGGAAGCCATGATACCAACTTTTAATTAACTAATTAACGTTGTTATCTAACTTCCTGGTGAGAGTGTTAGTACCGAGAAACAAGAGAACAGAGCTCTCAAAGCCTGGGGCTGAAAACCTGGCATGGTCTAGACTCTGTTTTCTCTCCTTTTCCATTTCGCTCCCTCCTGTTTTGGGCTGGACTTCTCTGGCTGAGTCCAAGGTTCCACCAGGCAGACTGTGTCCCACTGTTTCTTGATTATTCCCAGAACCTCCTCCTTGATATTCCAGCCTTGTTTCTATTCTGCAATCCCCAGAAAACCTCAATCAAATGTGAAGGCAGAGGAAGACAGATTCAGACATGCAGTTTCTATCTATACACTTTTCCTAAGAAGTTTTAAGAGAATGACAAGGAAGCCAAGAACCAAGGGATTCAACCCAAGAGAGCAGCCAAGGAGGACCCAGAAGACCCACAGGGTTACTAGTAAGCTACTAAAGCAGGTGGAAGAATACATGATCAAGTTACACAGTGAAAGAAAAAAGAAAGAATATTAGAAACTCCAGAGACATTAACAACATCCAAGAAACAGTCTAAATAAGTACTGGATTAAAATTCAACATGATTTTAAGAACTGATGGTTTAGATTTACTTGACTCTGATGTTTGGAACACTGGTGGCCTAAGTAGGATCATGGCATTAGAATCTTACAGAGGGAAATGTAATCATAGCACACAATTCTGCCTATATCATCATCAGAGCCATAATAATATATATTGCTTATCACTTAATAACTTTGAAAAAAGCACAGAGGTCTTCGTTGATGGTTGCAGGAGAGAACGTAACCAAATAACCACAAGAAAGGGAAATTTCTAAAATAATTCAGAACAATTTAGCCCAAAAGTCATGAGATGGGCAATGCAAGACAGACCTCCACACCAAGGTGCTGGGTGGGCTGCACTGTCTGAAAACTGAAAAAACAAGACTGACATACGTAAATGTGTACCAAACAGGGAGGCAACAACAGAATAACTAAAGCAGTTAAAACCAAGGCTGCCTATGGGAACCAGGATGGTAAGGGTACAGAGGAACAACATCTCATCACCAGGAGCTCTTTCGATAGCTGTGCTGTCCAGTCTGGTGGCCACGAGCCACGTGTGGCTCCAGAGCACTTGCAATGTGGCTAGTCCTAACAGATTTGCTGTCCTCTGAATTTTGAAGACTTTGTATGAAAGAGAATTTTAAATATCTCATTAATAATTTCTATACTACTGGCAGTATATTGCAGTGACAATACTTTGTACACTGCGTTCAATAAAATATACTATTAAAATTTAATCTCGCTGTTTCTTTTAAAATGGTGCCTAGAAAATGTTAAATTATATGTGTAGTTCATGTTATACAGTATACTAAATATATACATCATTTGATTTATATACATGCATTACTTTAATGAAAATACCACTACTATTACTAAATACCATTACTAACAAACTAAAAAAAGAAACTTTAGCCCATACCACCTCTAAACTGCTACTAACAAGTTCCAGATCAACGGCATCGGCTGTGGTTCTGCAGTGACTGTAAGTCTTAACTGTAGTAAGTCCACACAAGAGAGCCTATAACATGGACTTTAGTCTAGAATTGCTTGGCAGGAACTTCCTCACTTGGTCTCTTAAAAAACCGGAAAAATGTTCCCTGCCTACCATAAAATACTTCTTTACCATTTATGGCAAGCCTACAGAAAAGCAGAAGAAATAATAAACTTTTGCCCTTTCTTGTTTTCATTTGCTGTCACTTTTTTGTCTTCTAGTGTTTTAGAATATATCCCAGACATCATATTATTTGTTAAATACCTCTGTACATACTTCTAACTGTATATTTATTTTACTGTAAACTCTATGATGCTGCTATACAGAAAAATCACAATTCCTCAATATATCTAATATCCAGGTGATTGAAAATTTACCCAAATTTTTTCCAAATTATCATCTTGAAGATTCAAATCCAGGTCCAAAGAAGCTGTACAATATGTACCTGACGGTTACACCTTTCAGTTACTTTTATTCTATAACCAATGGTTCATCCTTCTCCCTAGGTTTCTTTGTTACAGCACGCGCGCTTCTCATCACAGTGGCTTCTCCTGCTCTGGAGCAAGGGTTCGAGGACACACAGGCTTCAGCAGTTGTGCCGCATGGGCTTACCTGCTCTGTGGCACGTACAATCACCCTGGACCAGGGATTGAACCCATGTCCCCTGCATTGGCAGGCCGATTCTTACCCACTGTGCCACCAGGGAAGTCCCTCCCTGTATTTCTTTTAATGTCACTGATTCATTAACAAAGTCATCGTTTACAGTGTCCCATTCTTGACATTCTAGATTTGGCTAATTGCTGCCTGGTGGCGTCATTTAACTTGTTCCTAAATTTTCCTTCTTTTCTGTATACTTTTGCAGTTAAATTGAGGGCCCTTCTCCAATTCATGAGAGATTTACGCTCTAACACCTTAAGGTATCTGTTCTATGCAATGAATTAACCTCCTTTTATTCATCGAGAATGCCAGCTGTGTGTTCTGTCCCAGGAGCATCACGGTTTTCTGCAGTGCCTAATTCCTGCACAGAACTCCAGCTGAGAAAGACTGAGTGGAAGCTTCATTAGATTCAGGTTATTTCCCACTGAATCACATAATAGCAAATATCCTGCTTTTTAATCAATGGGTTCAGGAGTGTCAATCTGATCTTTCCATTAAGTTCCCCCCTTCAATTTTTTATCTAATCATTTGTGTATCCATAGATTATTATTGCCTAAAACCTATTATTTGATTAGGAATGGCAAAAAAGTGATGTTTTCATTTTATAAGACTTCTTATATACTTTATTCTCATATAAAGAACTTTATAAAGAATAACTTCTATAAAGAACTTTCTCCAGTTATTTGGTTACCCAGAATGTTCATGTAAGGAAAGAATGAACATGTCTTTTCTATATGAATATTATCAATGTTCACCGTAAGGATCTGGTGTCATTTTTTCAAGATACTATTTTGGGAAGAGGCATAGTATGGCTTCCGTCTAGCTCGCCAACCACATCTTAGGGGCTCCTCCCTCTTACCCACTATCCTTTAGGCTCACAAGCATCTTTACAGTTCCTCAGACATGCCAGGCGTGTTTTCTCAGAGCTTTCACGCCTCTTCTCCCTCTGACTATAAGCCATCTCTACAGAGCTGGATTCCCATCCTTCAGTTCTCTGCTAAAATGCATCTTCCTTGACAGCCAATCATGTTCTCCTATTGTTCTGTATCACTTCGTCCTCTGTTCTTCTGTAAAAACTTAACATCATTCTGTATTTTTACATACAGAAAAAGGCTTACTTTTTTTTTTTTTTTCAGTTCAAACTCATTTCCCTTTTATTAAAGTCCAAGTTACATTACATGGTTTGGTACTCAACAAAGGAAAACTTGTTCGAATAAGGTAATATGTTATCATCAGTATTTCCAGGTGACTGTTTACAATCAAGTAGCATTATCAAGAAAAAGGCTTACTTTTTTGAACTGGCCCTCTTCTGTACAAGATTACAGACCTCCTATGGGGGCAAGAACCATGTCACATTTATTTACCCAGGAACACAGAGCACAAAATAATCAAACAGTTACAATAAACACAGAATACATAGATGGATAGGGCATGGAAATATACCAATTCTAAATATCATGGTCTCAGTGGAACTCATCAAAGGTCAGTAGCAGAAACTTACGCAGGTAGAGTCTGAATGAACGTTCGTGATAATGTACAAGAAACCCCAGTACTATGGGCCTTTCTGTGGGATGGCCTTACTAGTATCTAATCTGAAATGGACAATTTTCTTCATTTAGTTAAGCTGCAGGTGACTCTGCTGGCTTCTTGGTGAGCTGTGCAAATGGTATGTGATTTTCCAAACCATAAACTATAAGCAACTTTTAAATGAGCAATGCATGAGCGATTCTGCATAGTCCATACTTGTCAAGTTGCTGAGCCTATAAAGCAGAATGCAATGTGTTTGAAAGTTTTCAAATAATCTGCAAAAAAATCATTTTAGAAAATGATTTTTTAGAATATCCTAGGAGGAAATATAAAATAATTCCATCTTATTTTCATTAGCCATCACTCAATTCGGTTAAAACGAAAACAGAATTAATTCTGGTTCAAGGCAGGCAAGTAAACACCTCATGCTCATTTTAAAGTATGATGAGCCAAGAGCTTTGAGGGCACAGTAGCCTCACCTGTTTTGTCTTGCAGCCTCTCTTCTTATTCTTTTGGGAGGAACTGGACAGTCTGTCATTGGATGAGGCAGTGAATCATTACATTTACGTGTGGGAGTCATTCCTGCAAAGACAGAAAGAAAACAGAGAAAATTAACTTTTAAAAGACCAGAATTATTATAAGCAATGAAAGCAAATACCTCTTAATTTATAGAAGAAGAATTAATAAATAGAATGCTTCTTATTACGCCTGCTGAGAGAATAGCTTACAAACATTTGTCAGTTCACCTAGAGGTCAAGAATGTCTATGATTTAAATTCTGGGTCATTCATGCTCTTTCTTCATGGAGCTCAGTTTTCTCTAATCACACACACTATCTTCATGCAGAGAAGGATCTCGCAGAAAGTACAGTACCTAGTTTTTGCTCTATCAGCTTGAGATTCTTTTCATGTTCATCAAGTTCTTGTTTTTTCCTCTTCATGTCGGGAGTGTGAAGGTACTTCAGCTGCCCGTTAAGGTCCTCGTTCACGCTGCCCAACCTGCACACAGCAGCGCGGTACTGCTGAAGAAGATCTACAAAGAAACCAGACATTCGATTAAAACTACTGATATCATATCAAAGCACTATTTTAGGAAAGAAGAGCCAGCAACACCGGGTGTTGTGTTACGGTAACACAAGGAACAACTACTAACGTTCACAGTAAACAAATGAAAGAAAAAAATCACAGTTTAGACCCTGGCACAAGACTGGTGCATATTAAACCTTAATCTTCTTCAGCTGCTTGACTTTAATAAATTTATTGTACATGTATTAACCTTAAAATGCATTCCAATATACATTAGGTGCAGACAACTACTGTTTGGCTCCACTTACATGAGGTAACTAGAACAGTCAAATGCAGTCAGAAGGACACTGAGGAGATGCCAAGGGCTAGTGGACGGAAGAGGTTTGGAGGGCAACGGGGACTTAGTGTTCAATGGGGACAGAGTTGCAATTTAGGAGAGTGAAAAATTCAGGACATGGATGATGGTGAGAGTTGCACAACATGAATGTACTCAGTGCCACTGAGCTGTATAGTTTAAATATGGCTGAATAGTATATTTTATGTGACAGAGGATAAGATGGTTTGACGGCATCACCAGCTTGATAGACAAGAGGCTGATCAAGCTCTGGAAGTTGGTGATACACAGGGAAGCCTGGAGTGCTGCAGTTCATGGGGCTGCAAAGAGTCAAACATGACTGAGCCACTGGATTCAACTGAATGTGACTTTTACAATTAAAAAAAAAATCACCCTCTCTGTCAGTGTTTACATCCTGTTTGATATTCAGTATTCAATCTAATTCCACAAAAATTTGGGGTGGGGGGAAGAATGCATTAAACATGGCATTATTAGAAAATTATTGCTTCCAACAGACATGGCCATTTCCTTAAACACCGCTTTCAAATACTCTTGAAACTTAGCTTTCAAAAAACTTAACTTTCTTTACTTTGTTTAAAATACATTGGTCAAGTTTGAGACTATTTATTGCCTGTAGAATTACTAGACACTACAGGTTAAATACACTGGCTATACTTTAGTCCATGGGCTAAGAATGGTTTATACAGTTTTAAATTATTCCATTCTAAAGGGTTATATAAATATGTTCATAACACCCTCAATTTTGTCTCCTGGCTCACAGGCCTAAAATGTTTACTATTTGACCCCTTGAGACTCTAGAGTCACACAAAAATGTTCAGTATTCATGGGAATGGGCATACGAACACCCATATGTTTAATAAATATATACAGCGGGTTTATATATGAACCTGTGGAAGAAATCAATTTAGTCAAGAGTACATGATATATGAGATTTTCTATACTTTAAGGGTCAATAACAGTATTTAAAAAAACTATCCAGCTTTCTGGGAATGAGTAAGCACACACACACCCCTACGAAAACTTATGAGCATACTCATATATATTTAAATATGAATTCCATATGTGTAATTCAGTAATGACAAAGTCCTTATGTGTCTTAATTCCTTATGACTTATCGGGAACTCAAAGGTAGCCACTAAAAAAGGTCTGGTTTTCTGATTTGATAGTACTTCTAATTTCATTTTTCTATGTGCATAAAATAGTACTTATTTTCTATGTGAATGAGGTACAAAATGATGTCCAGACCCATATGTCAGGGATGCTGCCTAATTCAGAAGATAATATACAAAAATTTTAAGTCATTAAGGGTTGAATCCTACTTAACTTTCTAAGTCATGAGGTTCTTTTACCTTTTAAATACTCAAGAAACAGTATATTCAAAAGCTTTATATTAATCAACTTGTTATTTATAAAACTGAAAGATGGAGAATTAAATACTTTCTATTAAATGGAACACTAACAGCAAATATTTTATGCCTAAGATGGGCAGAAGCAACTGAACTCAATATGCCTTTGCTGTTTTTGTTCAGTTGCTCAGTTGTGTCTGACTCTTTGCAACCCATGGACTGAAGCACATCAGGCTTCCCTGTCCCTTACCATCTCCCGGAGCTTGCTCAAACTCATGTCCATTGAGTAGGTGATGCCATCCAACCATCTCATCCTCTGTCGTCCCCTTCTCCTCCTCCCCTCCAATCTTTCCCAGCATCAGGGTCTTTCCCATCAGTCAGCTCTTCATATGAGATGGCCACAGTACTGGAGCTTCAGCATCAGTCCTTCCAATTAACATTCAGGACTGATTTCCTTTAGGATGGACTGGTTGGATCTCCTTGCAGTCCAAGAGACTCTCAAGAGTCTTCACCAACACCACATTTCAAAAGCATCAGTTCTTTGGCACCCTGCCTTCTTTATGGCCCAACTCTCACATCCATACATGACCAATGGAAAAATGACAGCTTTGACTAGACAGACCTTTGTTGGCAAAGTGATGAGTCTGCTTTTTAATATGCTGCCTAGGTTTTTCATAGCTTTTCTTCCAAGGAGCAAGCATCTTTTAATTTCATGGCTGCAGTCACCATCTGCCGTGATTTTGGAGCCCAAGAAAATAAAGTCTGTCACTGTTTCCATTGTTTCCCCATCTATTTGCCATGAAGTGATGGGACTGGATGCCATGATCTTCGTTTTTTGAAATGTTGAGTTACTAACCCAGCTTTTTCAATCTCCTCTTTCACTTTCTTCAAGAGGTTCTTCAGTTCCTCTTCACTTTCTGCCATTAGGGTGGTGTCATCTGCGTATCTGAGGTTACTGATATTTCTCCCGGGAATCTTGATTTCAGCTCGTACTTCATCCAGCCTGGCATTTTGCATGACATACTCTGCATATAGGTTAAATAAGCAGGGTAACAATACATAGCCTTGATGTACTTCTCTCCCAATTTTAAACAGTCTGTTGTTGCATGTCTGGCTCTAAGTGCTGCTTCTTGACCTGCATACAGGTTTCACAGGAGGCAGGTAAGGTGGTCTGGTATTCTTATCTCTTTAAGAATTTTCCACTGTTTATTATGATCCACACAGACAAAGGCTTTAGTGGAGTCAATGAAACAGATGTTTTTCTGGAATTCCCTTGCTTTTACTATGATCTAGCAGATGTTGACAATTTGATCTCTGGTTCCTCTGCCTTTTCTAAATCCAGCTTGTACATTTGGAAGTTCTTGGTTCAGGCACTATTGAAGCTAAGCTTGGAGGATTTTGAGCTAATGTGCCTTAGCAATTCCCAATTTTTGATATGAAATGGAATTCCTATTTACCATGGTGTTTATAAAAAAGTCTTTAATTCATTTAATAAAATTTCGCCAGAGAAAAACCAAAAATTCATATTTAATTCTGCTTATAAATGATTTTAGAGCTCATACATTATATGTTGTTTGAAAATTTTAATTATATAGGAAAAAACTAATGATGCTTTACTATGAAAATAGTGAAAAAAATACTTAAAAATATAAAATTAGTTCATATGAAAGGACAAAAGCTCAAATTACAATGTGTTCATTTCTATATGCTATTTATTAACAAAGATATATAGATTATTTCAATGTATCCAGGGAAAAAAACACTACGAAAAATAATGCAAAATAGTTGAAAATACCTATATCTGAAGAGCTGTTACTAGACAAGTATTTGGGGTTGCTAAGAAAGCAGATTCAGAAAACTAAGATCATGGCATCCAGTCCCATCACTTCAAGGCAAATAGATGGGGAAACAGTGGACACAGTGGCTGACTTTATTTTTCTGGGCTCCACAATCACTGCAGATGGTGACTGCAGCCATGAAATTAAAAGATACTTACTCCTTGGAAGGAAAGTTATGACCAACCTAGACAACATATTAAAAAGCACAGACATTACTTTGTCAACAAAGGTCTGTCTAGTCAAGGCTATGGTTTTTCCAATAGTCATGTATGGATGTGAGAGTTGGACTATAAAGAAAGCTGACTGCCAAAGAATTGATGTTCTTGTACTGTGGTGTTGGAGAAGACTCTTGAGAGTCCCTTGGACTGCAAGGAGATCCAACCAGTGCATCCTAAAGGAGATCAGTCCTGGGTGTTCACTGGCAGGACTGATTTTGAAGCTGAAGCTCCAATACTTTGGCCACCTGATGTGAAGAGCTGACTCATTTGAAAAGACCCTGATGCTGGGAAAGATTGAGGGCAGGAGGAGAAGGGGATGATAGAGGATGAGATGGTTGGATGGCATCACCAACTCAATGGACATGGGTTTGGGTGGACTCCAGGAGTTGGTGATGGACAGGGAGGCCTGGCGTGCTGTGGTTCAGGGGTCGCAAAGAGTCAGACATGACTGAGCAACTGAACTGAAGAAGGCAGAAGCAATCTTCTCACCACTGGAGGATGCAAGCAGTGAGATAGGTAAGTAGATTTTATCAGTAGCATTTAGTTCTCTTCAAACTTTCTGTTCTGCATTGGCAAAAAAAAATGATAAATACTTGTAAACTGGGTAAAAAAAATTGGTAAAAAAATTTACTAGAACTTCTGCTCTGATCTGTTCCAAAAGCATTCAGCAGGGGTGAACAGGAAGGAGGCAAGCTGGCAGAGGGGTGGGTGTAGATGAAACAGGAGTGGCTAGTAGACAGGTCCACAGGCATTCAATCTGCTCAATTTCCAGTTAAGTATAAAACAAAACAGAACAAAATATCTTTGTCCTGAAAACCACAAACCTTCAATAATCTTGGTTGCTACCTCTTAAAAATATTAAGAATATAAAAAAATTAAGAATAGTTTTACTTAAAACAACAAAAAACCCAATAAATGGATGGAGAAGTTAAATATTAGAATTAACAAATTAAGCATGACATAATAAAGCATAAATAATGTCTAGACTGGCCAGGTGCATACTATGTATTTGGAGTATATGAAAGTGTTAATGAGACTGATGATGTCACAATTATAAACTACACATTGATTACTTATTGGAAATTTTAAAATGCTTTTTCTTTCTTCAGTTGCTACTAACAACTCTCCTTTCTTACTTATATCCTGGCTTCTACAATGTTCAGAGTTATTTTGTTTTAATATTTTAAAAAAGTTATTTCTACTTATATGATCTCTACAGAAAACTCGGGCTAATACAGAAGAGAGAGAGATTGGGAAAAAACTGATAGGTCTACCACCTCACTTTTTTGTTTTCATCCCACATGCCTGCAGGTTTGATTTTTAACATGTGTGATTTCTGTAATTCTATTTTCTATGTACTTTCCAAATGAAATTTTAATAGACATCTCTCATAAATCCAATTAAAGCATTTAACATTTCTTATGTTTTCCTTGAAAAACAAGGCTATACTATCTATCTGAGAAAGGAAAAAAAAGCCCTGTTTGTATTTAGAACTGTTTACTTAGGCTTCTTTCCTATAAGATCAGTTATTGTTCAAAGAAAATGAGTATTAAAAATAAGTTAAAAAAAAAACACAACACCTATTGGTAACATTTTGTGATTATAAAAGTGACACACACCACAGAAAAGGGTAATGGAGAAGTAAATTATCTCAATTATACAGGAAAAAATTATAGGAAAAAAATGTTTTCTTTCTACTCTCCTGTGTCACTGGACAAATGAACGCATACACTATCCTGAACTTGGGAAAGTTACCTCACCTTTTAAAGACTCAAATTCCTTATTTGTAAAATGAGAACAGCAGTAAATGAAATACAAGTGATAAGCTTACTAAGGTTATGTGGGACATAAGCCCTCCAAAAGAAACTATTATTATTCCCTTGAAAATTGCTTATTCATGTCATCCATTTTTCTGTTAGTCTTTGTCCTTTCTCTTGCTTTTTAAAGCCTGCTTTTAATAAGACTTCCTACAACACCTTTGTCTACCATATATGAAATTTTGCCCTAGTTTATCATTTGCCCTTCTATTTTCTTCAAGGAGCTTTAAAATCATGTAAACTTAAAAAAAAAAAAAACACTATAAAATGTTTTCTTTTCTCACATCTGCCAGTACTTGTATGTCAAGAAGCCCATTTCTCCAAGGTAGGTGCTTCTATTTTAGATTGGCTGGTCAGCGAAGTCCATGAAGGTGTGACATTACACAGCAGGAAAGAAAAGAAGCAAACCATGCACATATCTGGGGCAAAACCACTGTAGATAAAGGGAACAATAAAGTGTTCCTTTCAAGATTAAGCTTTCTGATTTCTACCCTACTGTGCTAAGAACTTCCTGAATACAGCTGAAGAGTGGTCACAGAAGTTTTCTTTGCCTGTGCCATTTTTGGAAACAGTTTTGCTATCAGTTTCATAATATAGCCTGAGTGCTCTCCATATTTATCTATATTCTGAAACAAATTATATTTGAAATTCACTCATGAAAAACCTATAGGATGGAGTTAGCTTTCTGAATACATCCTCAGGCAATGGCCTATAAGTTTTCTGCCTTATTTAAATCAATTTTGTTCATTTGATTTGTAATTTTCCGGCATGTAGTCCATTTTATTTGGACATACTAAATGTATTTATAATATTACAGAAAACTAAGAAATTTCTGTCTGAATGTATTCTTGGAGCCATTACTTTTTGTATTTATTTTGCCCAAAGACCACCTTCAGGAATTATATATTATTCGATAGAAAGGTTTTCTTTTTTCCCCAACTCATTCGGCTGTACTTGTTTCTTGAGATGTATTTTTTCCTCCTCTCATTTGAGTTGAATCCTTAAACTTGTTTTTCTCATTTAATAATAAAAGCCTGTGGATTTACGTTTGATCTTGGTTTTCATGCCTCCTACATGTAATGTGTAACATTGTTCTCTTTAATAGTTAAAACTCTTTTGACAAAATAGTTGTTTCTAAATATCTACTATTTGAGCTAGCTTTGGGAGGAAAGGAATAAGTTATTTTTAGTTCTGTTACATTATATTAAAAATAAATCATAAGTAAATTTTGCTTTTTATAATTTGTAGTCTCACTGTAGCTGAGTAGCAATTCAATCAACTGAATTTATGACCATTTTTTGTGACGTATTCTATAAATACCTAAGGTACTGATATTACAACTTATTAGATAGAAAATGTTTTTGTTTTTTTTTTTTTGACTAAGGACCTGTCATGGATTAATGGTTTCTCATAATAAGGTTTCTGTCTTTGTACAATCAGCAGTTTTAAGAATTTTGATTTTGTAATTTACTGCATCAAGTTCGTTAACTCTTGGGCCTCTAGTATCAAATATATCTGATATAAAAATGAATTCATCTTTGTGCTTTTAGTGCCATTGCCTTGACACTAATACTGCAACTTGTGATTTCCTCTAGTCAAGTTTTACATTACATCTTTGTAAATCCCCCATAAAGGCTGTGACAGAAGCATTCTCTGAGCGCCTGTCTTCTGCGTCCTGACCACTCCAGTGTCTTCCACGTGGCCCTGAGTGGCAGGTGGCGCCTCCTGTCCTCGGACCTGTGACTACACTGACCTTGTCTGTCTAAGCCTCTCCCATGTTTCCTCTTGCAGCTGCACCTGACTCTCTCATGAAAAATACAAAACAGCCTTCTTCCTAGCATCTTTTTCAGTTACTATCTTAAATATAGTTGGGGGTTGAAGTAATAACCCCAAGCTAGATACTACCCAAATTCCTCAGCAGTATAATAATAAAGAAATAAACTGTCGTGTATTTACACAGTGGGATACTATCCTGCAATTAAAATGAACTACAACTACACACACACACAACACAGGGCTGAACAAAGCCAGACACACAAAAATCCATCACTTGTAGAATTCCATGTAGATATAAGTACAAAAATGGGAAAAACTAATCTAAGCTCTTTTAAGTCAAAAAAATTGTTATCCTTTTGAGAGGGATGGGGCTATGATTGGAAGAGGCCTGGAGGCCTTCTGTGGGGCTGATAACGTTCTGTTTCTTAATACAGAAGCAATGTTCATTTTGTGAAAACGTGTATGCTTTGAAATGTGCACTTTTCTCTATGTATACTATACTTTAAAAACCCACACAATGTGTATATTCATACAACAGAATATTATTCAGTCTTAAAAAGAAATTCTGACACACACTGTGACACACACAGAGTTAATTACAACACTGACGTGCCTGGAGGACGAGACGCTGAGTGGTGATAGCCAGCTGCAAAGGGACACTCTGATTTGACACACACAGAGGTGCCTGGAGGAGTCAAATTCAGAGACAGAAACCTCTGTGGCGGGCAGGTGATGAGACGGGAGGCAGGGAGTTGCTGCTTAATGGGTATGGAGCTTCAGTTTTACAAAAGGAAAAGGTTTCTGAAGACTGGTTGCACAAGAGTGTGAATGCACTTACCACTAATGAGATACCCATTTAAAAATAATTAAGATGATAAACTTTGTTACAGTTTAACTACAATTTACTATCTTAAGTTAGCAACGAACTACTTTTTGCTGGGAAAGTAGATATCCAAGCATATCAGAATTATATACAGTTAAGAGCAAACAGCTCTTAGGTGATGGCCCATTTGGGACCCTCCTGTAAAGTATAAGCACTTCAGAACACAGACATACAATTGTATCAGCTGACTAGAAACAAGGAGACAGAGCCTACAGAAGGGAGGTCGCATGTCACGTACACCAGAAAGATGAATCTAGATAGTTAACAACTTTGATATAAAAAGAAGTATTATGGTTTGATGAGATACTTGTTTATTAAACAAGGAAATATTTCCTTTATTTCAAGATAAGAATGAGAACAGGAGGGAAAACCTACTTCCTATATATGTATTTCAAAACTATTTGCTGTTAGAAAGCTAGAAGTACTGGATAAAAACATCTTATTTGTATGTGTTACTGGTTAAGTTTCAATGTTAGAATCTCAATAAATAAGGTCCAAATAAAGGGTTAAAATCAAATGAGAAATTATTAAGTACTTAATTTAACCTACCTATTTGCTCCCCTAAGATGAGGCACTGTTTTGGTACTGGAGCTCCAAACACCATTCCCCGGAGTTTATCCATTGGAGGAGCTTTATTCTGAAGGCCCCCAAACTTCCCATTACTTCGAATGCGATCTCCATCTCTGGTCAGCAGTGTAGGACAGTGTGTAATTTTAACAACCTATTGTAAGTAAATGGATATAATTAGTGAGTCTATAAAATTTAACTCAACTGCTCTAAGAAAGGATAAATCATTTAAGGGTTCTGAGATAAGAAATGACAATGATCATGGTACTATTTTTGCAAAATTAATTAGCTAGTGTTTTGTAAGATGACTGGGGGCGGGGGGGGGGAGACAAGAGGCAAAGAGATGAATTAGATTACCTCACAAGTGTTACCTAAACTAGAACAGAGAAAACTCAAACAGAAAAAGTGAAATTGAGATTGATGGCTTGATTGATAAGAGGAAGGAAGAGAGACGGACAAGCCAGAGACTTGTGTGCATCTAGAAACCCAAAGCAGTATCTGGGCTGTATTACTTAGTTTAGATTCCTTCTGTTAGACATAAATTTTCCAGATGACCAAAGGGTAGCAAAAAGAATATTGTATTAGACTGAAGAAAATACAAACTGAAGAGCAAAGGGATGACTCTTCAGAGGATGTCAGCTGTAGGAAGAAAAAAAGCCAGTGATCTGAGAGCTGGGGGAACTAGAATTATGTAGTAAAACCTAAGACATGGAAAGGGAAGTAGAAAGTGTTAGTCGAGAATTAAATTTTTCAGAGAAGCTAGGGAATAAAAGAGAAACACTAGATTTAGTATTTCATGATCTTCAGGAATATGCTTTCAAAAAAAAGTCTAGGAGATATACACAAAAAATGTTCAAATTCACTGGTAACCCTGGAAGTGAAACTGAAATAACTTGGAGCTCAAATGAGAATTTTCACTACTTAATATGTTAAAAATACACACACAAAACACACACCGACAGAATGTTGGAGAAAGGGTCTTCTTGTATTAATATTAACCTGCTTTGGGACAGCCCTTCTCAGAGGAAACATGACAAGTGCTAAAAAGATGAACAATCTGCATGACCCAAAAATTCCACTTCTAAAAATATGCCAGAAAAAAATCATCACAGATGTGAACAATGTACACTGAAAAATCCTTTTAATGATGAAAAGTATCAAACTTGCACATTCAATAAGTTACAATAAAGTATGGCACATCCACACAATGAAACAGGATGCATACATCAAAAAATGACTGAAAAAGAAGACAATTTAGCAACATGTAGAAACACCTAATTCAATCTAACACAGTAGATCAAGCAGTTTCTGAATTATAAAAGATTAAATACAATTCAATTTTCAAAATGAAAAGCAATAGGACATGCAATAGAAAATTACGACTAATATTTATTCTTTTAACATAATTCCAAGGTAACTGACAGATGCTTTCCCAAATTAGATTCTTCTTATAAAATTTAAATAAAATGGAATGTCTACTTGAAGAAAATCTGTGGTGAATTCTTTGGTGAAGTGAATCTTTTAGTAAAATAAAGTATCACATCTTACTTTCTTAATTTTGGTTTGGATTTGTACGCTTTCTAAAAATGAACATTAAAAATACAGACTAAAAAAATACAGACTGAATTCACATACTATTACCATATTATTATTATCCAATAATCATATATATAGTAAATCAAATATCTGTGATTATTAAATCAGATTCAGGCAATGATTTTACAGATTTAGTACCATCTTAAATAATAAACACATTCAAATTTCTTGTCTTCTCTTGTTAATGGACTGACAGTATGAGTTATAGGCCTGTGGTTAAGGCAACAGTTTTCCAGTTCTCAAATGGCACAGAAGAAAGGGGAAATGACAAGCTGTTATTTAATGGGTACAATTTCAGTTTACAAAAAGAAGTTTTGGAAATTGGCTCAACAACAATGTGAACATGATAACACCAGTGAAACTGCATACTTAAAAATGATCTAGATGCTCAATTCTGTTGTATGTATTTTACTGTAATTCACCATTAAAAACAACTTAAGCTCTCACTAGGCCTCTGCTTCAAGGCCGCTGCCACTGACCTGAAAAAGGTCAAGACAGCGTTTGCAAATTCAGTGAGTAAACAGAGTTACAGTTCTGGGCAATACTTGCAACGGCTATAAGGATTAGCAAGGAATGGAATCAACAAGGGGTTGAATCAGTATAAATGGCATGAAGAATTTATGAAGAGAAAACAATAAAAAGACTACTGAAACCTAATGATATGACCAAGAGATATCATAAAAGCCATTTCTTAGAAGAGTTTGAAAACAATATTTGGTAAATGGAGTAATTTCATTCAAAACTTTGGAAGCAAAGACATCACGTTGAAGAACTATGCTGGAACTATGAGGAACAAATGCTGTCCCTGCTTTTGTCACATATGGTCTATTACTTTTTTGAAGCTATGAATTGATGTTTTTCATTGGTTCTTCAAAGTTTTCAGCCATTAGTTCTTCAGTTATTACCTATGATCCTTTTATCCTCCTCTTTTTGGCACTCTGATTAAACTTTTTAAAAAAAGATTTTCTAACTCTTATCCTTAGTGATTCTCTACTATATTCCTTCTCTCTGGGCTGCAGTTTGGATAATTTTTCTGACCTATCTTTCAATTGACTAAATTTTCTATTAAGCTGTTAAGTCTGCCCAGTATTTAACTTTGATTATACTTTTTATTTTTAGATGCTCTTTTTGATTTTTTTCAAATCTACTTGCTCTTATATTCAATATTTTTTCTTAAAATATATTATGAAATATTTAAAATGTTTTGACATTTTTATTAATAGATATTTGTTATATATTAATAAACATTATGTATTTATAATGTATTTATATATTTTAAATATTTTAAAATATTTGCTCTTATGTTCAGTATGAAATTACTTCAATTTTAAGATAAAGGTGAATTCTTTCAGAGAGAATTTTGTTTGCTCTGGTGACATATCTAAGGACACTACAAGTCCAGCATTACATGAAAATCAAATGTTTCCCTGAAGACCATTCAAGTATTATGAATGCAAGTTGCAACATACATGACAACCAATTTGTTAATGCATTCTCTAGGAAAATCAGAAATGCCTGGAGTTGAGATAGAAGAGGCAAGCTCATTTCTTTTGTTCAGTCTTATGCCAAGGGTTAGCCCTCTCGGGGTTCTAATTTCTAACCAGGAAAGAGGTTCTTCAAGCAGATTCCACATTCTGGTATGTCTTACCCTCTGAGCCTTGCAAGGGAGTGACAACTGATGCTCAAGTTCCATTAGTTTGACAAATATTCTCAAAGAAAAATTAGGCTTCGGTGTTATGTTCATCTCTCTGGGTTCTCACCTTCACTTAAGAATTCTTACTTTCTTGCCAGTTCTTAGAGTAAGATATCTTAATGATATATAGCTAGAATCAGCCTTTTGAAATGGCCTGTTAGTTCACCTCTGCTAGCACTTCCTTCGGCTATCTGAGTTGTCTAGTCCATTTCCGCATAACCCTCAAAGCCTAGCACTGTGCTAGTGATCTGCTGGGACCAGCACTTACTGGCTCATGAGAACCAGGTCCCCCTGAACGCCTCAGTGCATGACCACACAGTCAGCTGGCAGTCAGCCAGGTTAGGGGCATTCACACTGCGGGGACTGGCAAAAGCCATCACTCGACTCGGCAGAGCTGGTGATTCAACAATTAACAGCACTCACTGTGTCTCACACACTGCAGGTGTCCAAATAACAGACTCAACTACTGACAGAATCTTCCATTACTCAACTTGCTAATCCATCCTCACTAGTAAGCTACTCACCTTCTCCTAGTCGATTATACATTGCCACAACTTCTAATGGGTATGATTTCTGGCTTATAATTCAGGACATATAAACATGCTAATCACCGTTGGAATACAGCAGCTTCCTCATCCACAGCCATTTTCTGATATAGTATATTAGAGCCATTTTTAAGTTCATAAGGAACCATTCATGAAGACGCCAAATACTCTTCCCCAATTAGTTGTTTAATTTTCAGTAATCTCACTAATTTAGCTCTCCTAAACTGAAGACACACTTACTATTTCTTCTAACTGGGCCCACAGAAAATCTGTTCTGGGTAGTTCTAGTTTTGCCATGAATTAGTACTATGACTTGAAACAGAACCATTATTTGTTTTGTACTTAAGGTTTCTTACCTAGATTATTAGACTATATGATTTTAAGATATCTATGACTTTATAATAAACTATTTAAGGGTACTAGATCATATTTTAAACTGACTTCTGTTTTCTCCTCAGTAACTACTTTCACTTTCAGCTAAAATATTTTGCAAGCCTATAATGTTTACATACATGTTTATCACCTGCTATTTCCAAGTCCCTAACACCATATTTATTAAATTTAGTACTTCTTCTGTATCAACAAATTCAGACCTTTGGATTTCAAATCCAAATAGATCATTCCTTTACTGAAATTTTATTCACTTATTTTCTTATTTTATTCAGTCTTGACAACAGCCCTCTGAAAGGTCCTTCTTCATAATAGATTGCCTTTCTTTCCTCATTAAGAAAAACTTATTAAAAGTAATATAGAAAGGTCAATCTTTCTTAATAAATACAACAGTATACAATATATTCTCCCATCTTGTTTAAACAGATGGTGCTGCTAAGTCGCTTCAGTCATGTCTGACTCTGTTCGACCCCATAGACGGCAGTCCACCAGGCTCCTTCGTTCCTGGGATTCTCCAGGCAAGAACATTGGCGTGGGCTGCCATTTCCTTCTCCAATGCGTGACAGTGAAAAGTGAAAGTGAAGTCGTTCAGTCGTGTCTGACTCTTCGCGACCCCATGGACTGCAGCCTACCACGCTCCTCTGCCCATGGGATTTTCCAGGCAAGAGTACTGGAGTGGGTTGCCATTGCTTTCTCCATCTTGTTTAAACTACATAAGCTTATTTTCAAAAGGGCATAACTTTGTACATTATCATTTTGCAACTTTTCAACGAAACAATGTATTTTGCACGTCTTCCTCATTAGGACACGTCAATCTGCTTATATATCTTTTTAATAGATACATACTATTCTACTGTATAAATTACCATAATGGAGTGGTGCAATCCTAACCGATGGCCTTTACACTGCTTTTAAAGTTTCCCAATAAAAATTCTTAAACATTCTAATGAATATTTTTGTGACAGCATGTCTGTAAGATAAATTATCTTAATATATGATGATATAAAGAAGGTGGCATCTTCTTTGCCTCTCCCAGGGAAAGGAGAGAGTCTATTCCAAACTTCCTATTCCCCCATTTGGATCTGGGCTGGCCAGATTCTGACCAACCAAATATACTTCCCGACACTGGGACTTAAGAGACCTGTAATTTCTGTCTTCACCACTCTAACTTTCCTTCTTAGGACCCAGATGACACTGATAAAATCCCCAGCAGCCACAAGGAGTGGCTTGTGTGGAGAGATCTAAGTCTGCCAGCCTACAACCCCTGCCATGTGCCCAGCCAGTAGTCAGTTATGAATGAAACAGTATGAATGGGAGATAAACTAAGTAGGAATTAATTCATTTTCAGAAATAATTTCAAATATTTCTATTCAAGAACTTGCTGAGTTGGACTGTTTTTTCTTCCCAGCCTGTTTGGCCAACAAAACGTTGAAAAAGAAACGGAGAGCCTCTGGGCTAAGATCAAACCCAGTGTACAGTCAGTATAATGTAGCCTTGGAATCAAAGTCAAGTGAAGGATGTCCCTACGTTAAGACCTCAGAAAGATTTATGGCACTGCTTTCTAGATCCTCTTATCGAGAAAAAGGTTTCTAAAAACCTTAATGGCATTACCTCACACACCCGTGAGGCGGGCTGAGAACCACGGTGCAGGTGGCAGCCCCAGTGGAGGTTCTGGCCAGCTATCGCTAAACCACAGCGGCAAGCAGCATCAGCTGGCAGCTGTGTGAGGGAGGCGCTTGGAGCTTTCACCATCCCAGTGCAAGTAGCCAACACTACTTGGAGAGACCCAGCAAGGAATGAGAACATGCTGCCACTGCTCAAAGCCACTAACTTTTGAAGTGTTTGTTATGTAGCAATCGATAAACATTTGTATTGCTAAATGCTCTGCAAAGGTATTATCAGATGCATTGTATCCCTTAGAGTCCTTGTGTTGATATCCTAACCCCCCAGTTCTTCAAAAATGTGACCTGAATTGAAGACTGGGTCTTAACAATCAAATTAAAATGAGGTCATAACAGTGGGCTCTAATCCAATGAGTAATGTCCTTAAATAAAGGGGAAATTTGGGTACATATACATAGATGCAAACAGATGCAGGGAGAACGACCATCGGCCAACCAAGGAGAAAGGCGTGGAACAGACTCCTTCCCTCATAACCCCTGGAAAGAACTGGCTCTTCTCACACCTTGAATTTGGATTTCAAGCCAGCAGAACTGTGAGACAGTACATTTCTACTGTTTAAGCCACCCAGTCTGTGGTACTTTGTTACAGCCCTAACAACCAATAAACAAGGGCTGCCTCAAATTGTGTTTCCAACGACATTATCTGAGATAACTCTTTTAATACCACCATTAATAGACATTGATGTTGAAACTCACAGCCTGCAAACATTTCCTCTTAATTTGCATCTTGGCAAATTCATTCATATATTTTGCTCAGATTCACGTTGCTTATCAATTTATAGGATTTAAATTGATATTGCTGTCATTTGCACATGTATCTCAAAATAAAATTCTTTATAGATCTTTAACATATTAAAATTTTAAAACACATAGTAAAACTGGAACTACAAATTAAAAAATAATTCAAGTACATACCTCTTTTCTGTAATGATTGGCAGCATCCAAATTATCCAAAATAATAGTGTCTCCTAACAGCATACCAAATACTAAAAAATTCAACAAACAAAATGTTAAAATTATGACATCTTTTTTGGTCATATTAAAATATTAACACAGACTTCTGCTGGTGAGCACACTACTGTGCACCCAGAAGTTGAAATACAATGACTGCACATGAAACAGTTGAAAAAAAAAATGACATGTTTTAAAAAATTTTTAACATATATTATTATAAAGTTTTCTTAGAAATAATGCTAACACAAGAATTGTATTCAATACTTTATTCTAATAGGAAAAGTAAGAGAAGTAAATAATAATACAACTATCATTTATAAACTAAATAAGAACATAATTTTCCATAATCAGTAATTTAAGTATCTGAATCACAAGCATAACATCTGTATAAAAAAAGTCATGACTTCCTTTACCTGTTTCACAGTGTTCTACGTTATCTGGAAAAGTTAACAAGTCTCGGGCAAAGACGGGGTCTCCAATGGGTTTAAAATACAATCTTCCATTTCGGTAATGAGGTAGAGGTCTGAATTTAAAAAAGGTTTTAAACAAAATATGTAACTTATCATCAAAAAATATGTGTATGATGAAAAACATATGAATACACTGATTATCTCTGTTATCACAGCTTCCTACGCACAGTAATACTCCTAAATGCTTAACTATTATGCCTTTGGAAAGGAAAACAGTATTTACCATTAAAAAAATACCTGCTTAGTTTTATCTGTCCTCAATTAGTTTGTAAAATGGATATAAACTTTGTTTATTTCTGACAAGAAGAGATGCAGCCTCTCAAGCTGGCCCTAAACTAGGATGCCAATGATATGACTGTCTCATGTGGAGAGTGGCCCTAGAATGGCTGAGGGCACGGGCCAGGCCAAGGCTGAGAACATGGCAAAGAAGCAGCCCAGTACACTGGCACAGTGTACAGAATGACCAACTGAAATCCAGGGATAACAATGAGATTCAAGAGATGGAGGCTGACTGGGGTGTCAGGGCTTCCCCTGCACACATAGGGTAGCTTTCCCCAAATTGTGCAGGTAGGAGTAGAGGGTGGAGTGGCTTTAAGAGCTAGTTAACTCAATCCCAGTAGGAGGCACAAGACCAGGAAGAGAGGATAACTAGTTTTTAGAGCAAGCATTAGCCTTAAATAACAAATTTCATACTTTTTCTAAATAAAAGATTCTTAATGTGATCCTCAGGGATAATGGAAAAAAAATAGAAGACCTCCTGAAGGGAAAATTAGTTTCAGAAAAATTATTACTCTTTTCAACACAGTCACTACGATTAGATAGGACATCCCATGTTATTTAAGATGGGTACTGACTGGGAGCAGAGTGGGAGATTTTAGAAGCAGACAGATTTGAGTTCAAATTCCAGCTGTTTCCTTGATTTATGTTTAGATTACAAAGTGAAATAAAATGTCAGTTTAATGACACAGTAAGCTCTTAATTTTCACTTCGCAGGAAATAGATGGCGAAACAGTGGAAATAGTGTCAGACTTTATTTTTGGGGGCTCCAAAAATCACTGCAGATAGTGACTGCAGCCATGAAATTAAAAGACGCTCACTCTTTGGAAGGAAAGTTATGACCAATCCAGATAGCATATTAAAAAGCAGAGATATTACTTTGTCAACAAAGGTCCATCTAGTCAAGGCTATGGTTTTTCCAGTGGTCATGTATGGATCTGCGAGTTGGACTGTAAAGAAAGCTGAGCGGCGAAAAATTGATGCTTTTGAACTTCGGTGTTGGAGAAGACTCTTGAGAGTCCCTTGGACTGCAAGGAGATCCAACCAGTCCATCCTAAAGAAGTTCAGTCCTGGGTGTTCATTGGAAGGACTGATGTTGAAGCTGAAACTCCAATACTTTGGCTACCTCATGCGAAGAATTGACTCATTGGAAAAGACTCTGATGCTGAGAGGGATTGGGGGCAGGAGAAGGGGACAACAGAGGATGAGATGGCTGGATGGCATCACCAACTCAATGGACATGAGTTTGAGTAAACTCTGGGAGCTGGTGATGGACAGGGAGGCCTGGCATGCTGCGATTCATTGGGGTTGCAAAGAGTCGGCTCGGATACAACTGAGCGACTGAACTGAACTGAACTGACTGAAGCTCTTAATTTAGTTTCCATTCTCCTTCAAGTCCCATTCCTACTCAACTGTAGGCCTTGCAATACTTTGTTTAGGAATCTGAGAAAGTTCTTGGTCAATATTCTGTTATTTATTTTAATTTCTTTTTTGCTTTGCTATCACCATTTTGTTTGAGTCTTTTAAGGCAGCTTGTTAAAAATAGTCAAAACTAGAGTACACATAAAATACTTAAATGGCTAACTGGTTTGCATAGTTATGCTGAAAAACTTATTTTGAAAAGTAAATGGGAAAACAATTAGAGAAAACAGATTTATATTAAAACACAGATGTAACATCCTAACTAGATGATCTCTTACATTTCAATTTTGCTAATGGCAGTTCCAATAGAGGCCTTCTCTATCTAAATGATGGCTGTTTATTTTTACAGGACTTACAACAGGACAAAAGACATTGATCTATACTCTTACGCCAAATAAAGGAGTTCAATAGTCTGTTAATGATAATGACATCTCACCATCCTTCCCTTCTGTGTATGTTTGTATGTGTATCTGTCATATAAACAAATAACATTTAACTGGCAAATTAAACCTGGCCAGCCTATGTGATCAAATACACTGCAACACTGATCTTAATGAAGATCATATTTGTGAGGAAGACAAAAATTAATGTAGATAATCTGAGTCACTTCTCTGTTTTAGGCTTTCAGAGAAATTTTATTTATTTATTTTTAATTTTTTTTTTTTAGAGAAATTTTAAAATTCTATGATTTGATAAAAAATAGAGCAGGTTTTTTTTTTTTTTTAAATCACTACTTGCACGTTTTTCTAACCTTTTCCAATCTGGAAGAGTCTTCTTATAAATAGAATCGAGGGGCAACACCTGCTGACGACCTTGGGTTTCATCATAAATTCGACGTGCAGCATCAGTGGTCAGGGTGACCACACAGTCCATGTCACTTGCCAGATGCCAAGAGATAACCATTGCAGCTCTATCATCTTCAATCTGTGCCAGGTGTGCAATCTAGAAGCCATTTTAAAAAATCAAGTTAAGAAACTTCTAAATATATTACATATTTTAAAAGTCAACATCTAAACAGCAAAAACACTTTTTCTGTGAAACATTCATATGAGTTAGCAAAAAATTCTCAAACTGTAAAAGCTTACTGGCTTAAATATTTTAAATGGTCTCTTATGCTATTTAATTTCAAAAAACTATTTCACAGATTAAACTACAGTAAATTTTGCCAATAACCAAATAAAAATATTTGGCATATTATCAGTTAGGCGATGTACCTTTTTTTTCACATTCATCTTTCTACTACTGGGTGTGTCAATTGTTAAAAGCATAAAACACACTTAAACCTAAATATAGCTATACCCTTCTAAGTAGATCATTTATGCCGATGATTTTTTAGAAAACAAATCTAAATATCACAAATAAGAATCGTTTCTTCCGTTTTTATAAACTCTGTAGGGCTCAGAATTAACAGTCCCTTCCCTATCTATAAAAACAGTTGACCACCGAACAACTGTATGGAGATTATGTATGGAGTGTACAGAGGTTAGGGTCACCGACCCTTTGATCAACTGGAAATCTGTATGTAACTTCACAGTCGGTCATCCATACCTAGTTTTACATCCAAGGATTTAACCATTAGGCAGTACTGTAGTCGGTATTTAGTTTAAAAAAAAAAAAAAAAGTCTGTGTGTAAGTGGACCTTCAGTTCAAACCTTTGCTACTGAAGGGTCAACTGTACAACCATCCATCTGTATCCACAGGGAACTGGTTCCAGGAATCCCCTCAGATCCTAAAATCTGTGGATACTTAAATCATTTATATAAAATGTCACAGTATTTGCATATAACATTAAATATATTTTAAACAATTTCTAGATTACTTATAATACCTAATACAATGTGAATGCTATGTAAATAATTGCCTGCATGTGCATGTGACAAACTCAAGTTTTACTTTCTGGAACTTTCTAGAATTTTCCCCCTCAAATATTTTTCCTCTGCAGTTGACTGAATTCAAGGAATTAGAACCTGCAGATGCAGAGGAACCACTGGATTTTAGTCACAAGTTTGTTCAAAGTTTTCTTCCTCAAAGTCCAACATTGCTCAAAGCCTTGCTCAAAAGCTGAATTTTTGTGGCTGATTTGAAAAGTCATTTATTACACTGGTATGGTTACATTTACCCTTTATTCTTACCTGATCCGGTAGCAAAACACCTGCCCTAACAATGAGAATGTTGTGTCACTGTTAAAAACATCACAGTGTCCACCCTGTAGAGCAATTCCCCCTTATCTGCAGTTTCTCTTTCCCCAATTTCAGTTACCCGGTCAATAGCAGTCTGAAAACAATAAATGAAAATTTAAGAAGTAAACAGTTCATAGGTTTTAACTGCACACCATCTCAGTAGTGTGATGAAATTTCACTCCAGCCCGCCTGGGATCCCCAACCACTGATATCGTCATGGCTCCACGACCCAGTATCACACAAAACCTAAGAAAACGAGACAATAAAATGTACTGCCCCATAAAAGGCTGAAACACAAACCTTTCCCAAAACATCTCCGCTGCCTTTCGTATAATTTGGAAGAGTACATGATCTTCTGGGTTTTTTCTTTAGTTCTTCCTGTTCTGATAGCTTTCTTTTCAAAAGTGCTTCAATGTGTGGCATCTGTAATTTTATAAAGAATAATTAACTGCAAGGCCAATTAAAATGATCTTGTACAAGGTAGAGAAAACAGCAGAGAAAAACCAACAATTTGGACAACTCAATTACACAGGAGTTACTATGTAGCCATTCTTTTCTTTTGAGAATATGATCATAGAAATGTAAAGCATCAACCTCACTGACTCTTTCTTCTTAGTTAAGAATTATATGACCTATAATAAGACTTACGAGTTATACACAGAAAGAATATAAGCTCTAAAAAATCTATTGTCTTTTGTCACTCTCTCTCATTTTCTTTGCCACCGATTATTACTTAGGCCACTTCAGTGCAAGTTCTCAACTTGGTGTATTATTAATATAACTTACTAGTATCACTAGATCAGAAACACAAACTGCAATTTCTTTGAAAAGAGCCCTCCATTATTGTTAGCCTATTTCAATGTCCAGTAAGTGACTGGATTATAATCCCCATATGGCTTAGGACCCCAAAACAATAGTGTCAACATTCCTAATAAAATATGAATGATTAAAAACAAATTATAGGCTAGAATTAAAAAAAAAAACTTTTCACATATACTTGGAAACTGTACCTGCTGTGTTGTAGAAATGTCAATATTGTGGTTTTTCAGTTCGTTTCGCAACTGGGCCTCTTTTAATTTTGCTTCTTCAACTTGGCCTAAAATTAAAAACAAAAACTATCAATTTGTGATAGCTCTTATAATAGTTTTTGAAAAATGTTTTCAATCCCTTTTTTCCTTTTAATGACTGATGCTAAAATGAAAAACGGTAATTACAGAAATCTTAAATAAACTAAAAATCTAAAATTAACGTTCACATCTAATGTACAAAAAGAAAACACAAAATGAATGCAACTGGAGGTATTATAAACTGCAAACTACAAGTAATCTTGGGTAAGTTATTTAATTCTAATCCACATGAATATATGTAATATATACATAATTACGTAAGGTTATTCTAAGAAAATAAGACTTTTTAAAGAACAATTTTTAGTACTACAAAGTATGTATTATTTCATTACTTAGTTCATATTATCCTCTAAATATCCCTGATATGTGAAAAAATTTGACAAATGGAAAGCAGTGATAGTGCATCACTAACAGTACAGACATTATTAAAAACTGTAGCAAATATGCCATGTATTTATTAAAAAACAAATTAGCTATTTCTCTGCTACAGATGTTTGTAAATTAAACTACACACAGTCAAACTAAAACTTAAATTACACATCACTTTTTCAGTGATATTGTCATCTAGTATCTTTTGCCAAATGCTAAAGCTAGATATAAACATTATTATCATGCCAAAACCCTTACACTTACATAGATTCAGATTCCTAATAAAAATTGCAAAATTTTGTAGGTAAACAAGAAATATGTTTATGTAAAGACAAGAATGCTTCATCATAAGACTGAATGATGAGTAATATAAACCACCACTCCTATCCTTTTGCCGTATCCTGCGGTTTACTTCTAAGTCCAGGGAGGCAGACAATGTTTGTGTCCCATGGACTCAACCTTCCGTCTCACCACTACCCAAAGCATCATTTTCTATCACTTCTGAACACAAAACGACTTACACTTCATCTCATCAAGAAGCTGCTTGCTGGTATCAAATAAAGTTCTGTACACTGTAATAGACTTGGATAATTGGTCCTTTTCTTTTGTAAGTGCTGCCATTTGTTGCTGCTTCTTAACATCTAAGAAAAAACATTCAGGTAATTTATTTCACTTTTTAAATTGTGACTTTTCCAAAATGTCATCACAAGATCAGATAACTAGTAAGCACCATTTAATGGAAAGCAAAACAGTTATTCAAAGTACCACAAACTCAAGAGTTTATCTTCTGATTTCCTAGAAACTTACCATTGTAAAACATAAATGGTAGGATATATGATTCTAACGTTCTTGATAAAGCTGGCAGCCGAGGCTCAAACACAATAAAATATTCAGTACTATCCCTTCCAGGACTGTTTTCTGCTAGCACTAGACTCTGTATAAAGAAAAGAGCAGTAAGGAAAAACAAGTTTTGAAAAGGTATCTGTAAATATACAAATGTTATATATCTCATTGTGCTCTATTTTCAAGTGGTAAATTTAAAAGGCAAAACTGACTGACCTGTGAGATTCACTAAGCATTCACTCAAACATCAGCAGCACCATCCAAGACATAAAACTCTTTGGTGTTGGTTTGAAAGCCAAATTATCTTATCAATAAATAGCTTATGCAAAAATTATATACAACAGAAAACTACGAGAAAAAGTATCTTCCAAACCAGAAATATCAATGGCTTCTTATATCTTGACCAGAAATGGCTTGATTTCTATCTTTAATTTGAAGCAGTGTGAAACAACTGATGGTGGGAAAGTTATAAAAATAATCACAAAGAAGTACACAAAGCCCAGTGCTGAGTTTAAGTTACAGCTGTTACCATGGAAGCAGACCCACCAGTCCCAGGTGACCAAACAAGAGGTCCTGAAAAGTTCTAAAGATTTGGGCTTTTTAATGTATTTTTATTAATTAATGCACACACAGAAAAACTTCTGATATATTTTATAGCATATAGCTAGTAAATAATGCAATACAAATATCTATATCCTTATTTAGGATATCTTTTCAGTCTTACAAGGAAACAGTGGGTACTAGCTGTTTCATTTTTTAGACCATAGTTATCAAGTTCAGAGAAATAAAATTTTTAAAAATCTAAATCAACAGAACACCATAGAACAATCCATGAAATAATAAGTCTATCATTAAATCAATGCCCAATCCCACTTGGTTTCTGAAAGCTGTTTTCAATGTACTTATATGAATATAAACACAAAAATAAAACTGTTTACACTTAGAATATAACAAACTTTACTGTAGCAATTTGCTTTCAGCACTAATTTTGATCTGTCAATCAATTCAAGTAAATGTTTAGTTACCAATTTTTTACATTTATGCATAGTATAGATATAATATACTCTAATATTCTTTCACTGGGTGATGAACATTTTTAGTAAAAAATTTTAGCTAGTACTTATAATGCAGCAAAGAAAGAATCTTTATATACCTCTTGGTATGTTCTCTAGACTAGCCAGAGAAATATAATGATTTGTTAAAAGTTTATTTTAATAGGTAGTATCAAATTTCTCTTGAAAATGTCTACATCAATTTATCCTCTCATCATTAGTGTGTAATATCCAGTTCCCCTGATGTTTGGCTAACATTTATTATCAATCAAGCTTTTCTTTTTTCTAAAAAATGTATTAAAAACAACCAGTTATTACTGTTTTAACTAGCATTTCCCAGATTACTACTGAGGTCATGCTTCCTGTTTATTAGTTATTTATACCTTCTCTTCCACTCCTGTTTATATTCTTTATCATTTATTTTTCTACCAGATTGTCTTTTTTCTTATTGATTTGCAGGAAGTTCCTCAGAATGTTTTAAAAGTATGTTCAATATACTGTACTAATGTACTATTATACCAAAATATTATTAACCCTCTATTTACATATTTAAATAGAAAATCTCATCCATGATGTCTTATTTAAGGAGGCCTTTCCTATCTCAAAGGTATACAGTTTGTAATCTATGAGTTCAGTTTACCAAAATCCATGGAATAACAGAATTGAAGAGAACTCAAGAGTCCAAAACTGGATTCATTTACAAATGGCAACTTGAAAAGCAAGCAATGGACAAATACATAGCAGAGTAAAATTTAGATCAAGAAGGCAAATGATAAAAAATTTGAATAACACAATCAACAAACATGAATAAATATAAATTAAGATTAAAGCTTTAAAGAAAGCAGTACACATTCTTTTCTAGCAAACGGGAACATTTATCAATGACTGTGTTCTAGACCCAGTGTCTCCTAAATGTCCCTAATGAAAAGAATCACCTGCACAGATCAGATCAGATTTCACAGCCCTGCCCCAGACCTACCAAATTAATACATGGTCAGGAGCCAAGTAGGACCTGAGAGATTTCTGCTTCTTCAACGTGATACTAGGAACCTCTAGTGGACATTCACATGCATGACACGGATCTGACAGAACATGTAGCTGTGGGAGAATAATTTATGTCACCGTCTCAACCTCAGAAATGCGTACAGCAGGGTAAGCAAACGCCTGCAACTGTGGCCAAGGAAACAGGACAGAGGTAACCTGGATATAGGGAGTGGGCACCTGTGTTCTTCCAATACAAACCGACTCTGCATGTTCAAAATGTCTTCCCCGCCCTTCTCTCTTTTTCAACTTGTGGTTTCATTACCTAATCTTTGTTAAGAGTATAAGAAAATTTCACTTTACCCTCAACCATGATAAAAATAAAAGAACAAGTGTAAATATAAGTAGCAACTGACACTTTCCCTCAATGTCAAGGAATGAAAAGCAGCAGCATGGATGCAGCTGACTGGAAATCCTACTACCTGAAGAGAATCTTGGCCCAGTACTGCCAAGTCTTTCAAATTCTCCAAATAAACCAGGAATTTGGAGATGTTCAGCTTGTTCATTGGTCTGGCAAAGACCATTACAGCATTACAGAAAAAGATCTCTGTCTGAAAATTCAGGAATTTTTAAAGTGTTGAAAACTAGTTAAAATGGAAATGCTGTAATGGTCAATCTTTGCCAGACCAACCAACAAGTCGAACTGTAGACCAGGTACAAGATGGCAGATTCCCCAATTGTAAGCCTAATATTGTTAAAACAATGTGAAGAAAGCTGATGGAAGCACTGCTGATAAAACTTTGGAAAGAAACTAAATTTTCACTTTAGGATTGATCAAATAAATTATAACCATCAACACAACAATGTCAATTTATTCGTGAGATACAGATATGTGTATGGATGTCAGAGTTGAACCATAAAGAAAGCTGAGCACGGAAGAATTGATGCTTTTAAATTGTAGTACTGGAGAAGACTCTTGAGAGTCTCCTTGGACTGCAAGGAGATTAAACCAGTCAAGCGTAAAGGAAATCAGTCCTGAATAGTCACTGGAAGGACTGATGCTGAAGCTCCAAGACTTTGGTCACCTAATGTGAAGAACTGACTCACTGTAAAAGACCCTGATGCTGGGAAAGACTGAAGGCAGGAGGAGAAGGGGATGACAGAGGATTGGATGGCACCACCAACTCAATGAACTTAAGTTTGAGAAAGCTCCGGAAGTTGGTGAAGGACAGGGAAGGTTGGCATGCTGCACTCCATGGGGTCACAGTCAGATACAAGTGAGCGACTGAACTGAACTGACAGATACACAGCAAGGATGTATGAAATGAGAAAAGATTTCACTAAAGTAGAGTTCTATTGTATTAATGAAACTTTACACCCTCCTCCACATCTACATAAATCACATTCACAGGACATCCATGCAGTGTTAGTTTATATACACAAAAGTGTGGAAGGTTATACACTGAATTGCTAATCATCAGTATCTTGGAATGGTGATAGTACAGTGATTATTTTTTGATGTTCTCTCACTGGGTATGCTTTATATAAGCAAAGCTATTTCCATTTTGGAAAAAAAAAAGAATGACAAAGATAAGCTGGTTTTACTAAACTTTTCTAGATATGTGTACATTTTGCCTAGGCTATGTTTGATTCTATTTCTATCCACAGGATGCTGGCTTTTCAATGAAACATGATTAAACTGTCACTGAAGTTAAAACAATCCAGTCACAGAAAACAGTCATCCACAGGGGAGAAGAAAAATAGGGTCTTTCTTTCTAACAGTAACAGTGATCATGGGTTCAATGTACAATAGCTCAGAACAGAAATCAAAATAGCTGATTTTCCAATTTAATGCTATAATTAGAGTATCATCATAGCTATACATACAAAAGAACAAGTATAATAATATTGTGGTTTAAACTATTAAAAACCAAAACCTTATCTACTAGAAGACAAAAATATTACCGTGATTTCAGCTGAACCTTTCACAAAGGGAAATTCAAGTGTTCTAATTTTCCCATTAAAGAGAGGTATGTCATCTTCCTCATTAGAACCTTTAATGGTAGCCATTACAGTGCCAACCAAGTCAACTCCAGTATGATTGTTGTAGTCATCCTTAAAGTAAACAATGAAAAGTTTCAGAAAACTAATTAAAAGAAGTGGAAAAAAGATCAAACAGAGATGGACATGGGAAAATCAGAAATACGACCTATTTCTAAAGTTAAATCACCCTGATCCTTCTTACTCCAAACACAGAATTCAGATCTCAGAGTTAGAGGTCTACAGGCAGGAAATAATCCCAGAAACCATAAAAGAACCAAAAGTTTCCACCTAGTACAATGATCCCCAACTTTATTAAAAGGACTCACATTTTAAAAAGTGTTATGTACCTTCAGCATCTATTTAAGATCAAGGGAAAACCAGTTTAAGAACCACTTAAGTTTCATGGTCTAAAACAGAAAAACACACTGAAGGTGTTAACAACTCTATTAGCCAAATTTTTCAAAAAATGAAGTCCCACTAGTGTGTTTTACATGTTGTTGTTAATATTCTTAGCAGCCCTATTTTTGCCTACCCTCTGGGTAACCAGAAAGTTTTAAGGAGCTCATTATGATCAGTCATGATGGCAAACCTCTTCAAAATACATACTTAATTACTTCCTGCCCCTCATTGAAATGGACCCTGAAGAATCGACTTACTTAACACATTCATAATACTTACATGAAATAGTGGATTAAAGATATACATTAGTAAAGGTGGGCAGATTTCTGCATTTTTTAATCACTTCTACTTAGTATATCTGGATTTATTTTATGTATAATTGAATTCATTCTCTATTTGTATTTTAGTATAAAGATACTGATAAGCATTTCATTAACTTGCATAAATTTTTCCTATAAACTTAAACAGAGTAATTCAGATAGGATTCTATAATAACTGTCTTCCACCTTGAAACTAGGAATAATTTTTGTTACCCTTGGTAATTTGGAAGTAAATAAACATTACCGTGATACGAAGATACAAATCTTTGACCAGGGTCCTACTGGCAACTGAGCGAACATTTGAAACAGCTGGTGTAGCTGGCTGAACTTCAGGAACTAACTTCACAGGTTGATTAGGTAGAACATCCACTATAATCTAACAAAAGGAGCATTCTAATTAACAACACATTAATGGTTTAGTATTTAAAGATGAAGAAACAGAGCATATCCTAAATAAAATGAAATACTACCTTCCAAAACATATTTCCATTAAATTCTTAAAACCAATCAACTTTTAAAAACTGAAAATAAAAGGCGTAACAATTTTTGAATGTTAACCATTTAAAAACAAATTTAGAAACACTTAACAATACATGTAGTTGTTAAAAAAATTTAGTGCACTAACAATAATGAATGGAGATGATGTATGTTAAAACTACCTTAAAACTTTATTATCTAGAATCCTGAAATGTTATTAATTGAAACATTTTCACATACAACTGAGAGGAGCAACCCTGACCATGATACAGACTAAAATGTTTACTAATCAAGTCCTCCATATAAACAGGGATAAAAAAGTAACTTCGTATCAGGTCAAGTTTAATCAACATAATTTAAGTATATATTATTCTAAAATTCCTGAAGATGGCATTATTTATATCTTTCATCCAATAATCAAACCACTTTTATTTTTTATTTTTTTAGTTCTACCAGTTTATTGCTACAAACCCATCTCCCTCCACCCTCGTGCACACATGCTCAGTCATGTAATCCCATGGACTTCAGCCCGCCAGACTCCTCTGTCCGTGGATTTTTCCAGGCAAGAATACTGGAGTGGGTTGCCATTTCCTTCTCCATCAAACCACTTTTAAACAAAACACTTCAAACACTTCTCAACCAAGTAAGAAAACGTGAAGCTAACTAAAGCTAACTGCCATGCATAAAAAAAGTAAACAAACCTGCTCACTGTTAAGAATATTTGCTTTATCCATCGTAAAACCAAACTGGATACAGTATGTCCCCACTTTGTTAGGAATTGCTTTATCCCTAAGTTAAGAAGAAAGAGATAAGATCACTGGTAACTTTTAAATAAAAGGGAAAGAAATTCAAAGCATTAACATTTCTTTTCTTTCCATGAAAAGTAAACGAGTAAAAAGAGAGTTATTTTACTACATTTAACTTCATTCATCAAATACTTCCTGCAACATCAAGCTTGCTATCAGTCCCTCTTATCTAGACATTCTATCACAAAACATCTAGAACAAAAACTCTGGATGTGGCAAACACTGAATATAAAGTTGATAAAGTAGTAAACACAATAAATGCTGAATTACATATCAAATGAATTTAGTTTCATTTCCACACAAATTTCCATCTCAGTTTTATATTTCAAGTTTATAAACTATCCAACTGACCTTATGTTGCTTTTCCATTTATATGTTCTAAATAAGTAACTATGTAACTATATATGTATAAAAGATATTTACTGTAACTAAATTACCAATAAGGAACTTAGTAAGAGGTAGACTTGCTAGACTATTTTGGCCACAAACACAATGAATATATAAATGATGGAGCAGTCAAATAAATAAATAAAATTTAGGAGTGAAACAACTATATACCTGTATCTATCCATATATATGTATATAAAGGGAAAGTAACACCCACTGCCTCACCAGATGATGAAATCTAATGTCATTCATGATCAGTAGAAGTTCTTTTAGTAATGATTACAAATGAACAACCTGATAATGATACCTACCCAAAATAAAGACCCTAAAGCAAACATCATACTTATGAGTGAAATGCTGAATGTCCCTTTTGGACTGGGAATGATTTTAGAATAATCACTTTCATTGTATCCATTCAACATTTTACTCTTAAGTCCTAGCCAGTGAGGTACAGCAAGGAAAAGAAATAAAACAACCAAGGATTAGAAAGCAATAAGCCTATCATTATTCAGAGATGAGTGTGTAAATACCTAAAACTTCATTTTTGTTACTGGTCTGTAATAAGATAACAAAACTCAAAATAGTTAGATTTTAGTAATAAAATATAGTAATATATTATATAGTAATCTTACATTGCCTTGATAAGTGCACACAGAAAGGACTCAATTCCAGTGTGATTACATTAGATTCAAATGTGTTAAGTTTCAATAACAAAAACCCCAGAAGGCAAACAAACAGTAAAGTATGGGGAAAATAAGTCAATCAAAACTGTCCCTGAAAAACATCAGGAGGCTGATATACTAGACAAGGACTTCATTTTAAAGATGCTCAAAGTATTAAAAGAAGATGTGAAAAAAGTCAAGAAAGTAATGTAAGGTGAAGACCAAAATATCAATTAAAGAGAAAACTTAAAAATAGAAACCAAAAGCAAGTTCTGCAGCTGAAATGTACAATAACTGAAGTGAAAATTTCACTACAGGTATTCAAAGGCAGATTCAAGTATGTAGAAGAATTAATGAACTTGAAGATAAGACAGTGTGTAAATTATACAGTTTGAAGAACAAAAAGAAAAAAGATAGAAGGAAAGTGAACAGAGTGTAAGGGACCTGAGATGCATCAGGTGGACCAACATACACATTGTGGGAATAAAAGGAGAAAAAAGGGAAAAGGATGGCAGGGACAATTTTTTTTAAATGGCTGTTAATTTCCCTAGTTTGATGAAAGACATTAATATAAATATCCCAGATGCTCAAGGATTTCCAAGTAAGGTAAAACCCAAAAAGACCAACACCAAGACACACTAACACAAACTTTCATAGGACAAAGAAAAAGAATATTAGCAGCAGCAAGAGGAAAGCAAATCATTATATACAAGGCATCCTCAACAAGGTAATGAATTTCTTATCAGTAAGTTTGAGAACATTGGCCTACTGCCTTCTGACTTCCAAAGTGTTAAAAAAGAAACTGTCAACTAAGAATGTTACTTTCCCTGCCGCCGCCTCCGCCATTTGGAGCCACCAGAGCGCGGCCCGAGGCGGTCCTCAACCGGATCTGCGGGCGCAGTGTCTGTGGGCGCCTAGCCCGGCAGGGCCCATGTGCGCGCGGCCTGCCCCAGGCTGCCCGGGCTTCGCCTCCGCCCGGTCCCTGGCCTCTACCCGGGCCTCCGAGGAGCCGCCGCGACGCCCGGCCCGCGGGGCAGGTGAAGAGATTATACATCTACTGAATGAAAAATTTTTTCTTAAAGTTGCATATACTCCAAGAAAAAAATCCCAAATGTTTTTATATTTTGCCTAAATATAAAATTTAAACAAGGAGTTTGCACAGGAAAAAAAAAAGTTACTTTCAGCAAAACTGTCCCTCAAAAGTGAGGGAGAAATTAAAACATTCTCAGAGAGGAATTCCCTGGCTGTCCAGTGGTTAGGACTCAGTGATTCCACTGCAGGGAGGTAGGAGACCGGGGTGGGGGTCGGGGGGCAGGGTTTGATCCCAGGTTGTGGAACTAAGATCCTGCATGCCATGCAGCATGGCAACATTTTCATATGAACAAAAGCTAAGAGAGTTCATTACCACTACACCTGGCCAAGAAGAAATGGTCAAGGGAGTCCTACAAGGTAAAACAAAATAATAATAGATAGTAACTTGAAGCTATGTGGAAAAATACGGATCTCAACAAAGTTACAAACACACAGGTAATTGTGAATGCTGGTATTATTGTAACAACAATTTGTAATTGTACCTTTTGTTTTCTATTTGGCTTAATAAACTAATACATTTAATAAAATAAAGCAATTTATTAGTTCAAAAGGCAAAAAGACATTTCTAATACATGAAACCTTAGACACCATGTATCCAAAACCATTTACAGATTTCAAAGTAGAGAAGCAACACTTAAAGTCACATAGTTAAATAAAAAACACTAGTTCAGTTTTTTTATTTTGTAAGATCTTAAAAGTTTAGAATTATAGAAATCTATATAATATTATAAATGCTCTGACCACAGAATTCTTCTGAAGTTTTTGATAGTTCTGAAAGCAAATAGATAACAACAATCTTTCCCAAAATCATTTTGCAAACTTTGCAGACAAAATATTTTCTCAAAAACTTTCCTGACCAAAAATTTTTTAAAAATAACATTTTCTATTTGATCATAAAATATTTCTCCTTAGCTAAACAGGCACATGTTGCCAACACTGATTAACTCTGTAACAAAATATGCATTAAAATATGAACTGATTTAAGAAATACCTGAAGTAGAAGCAGCCATCTTCTTTGTCATTATCCTTTATTTTATTACAACTAAATACTTCTACCTAGAAGGAAAAGTGGCAAAGGAGAAGAGGAGAGAAATCACAAACATTTAGCATAATATATTTAGGATAGAAACTTACTTTACTTTTACCAAGTATGAATCCAGATCACATGTGCATTGATAAGTACACACAAACACATGTATACATATATATATATCTTTATCATTTGTGACACAAAAGTGAGATTAGTTATAATGAAAAGATATACCATTAATTATTAAAGGACATATAACAGATCTTAATGGTGGTGACATAATTTTAGGTAACAGCAGCTTGGTGGGACTCATGGTATAAATTAAGGAAGCTAGTTTCCTAAACAGATGATTAAACTGAACCATAAATCCTAAAAGGCATTATTAAATCAGGACCCCTGATATAGTTTGGTTTATTTTCCAATTTGAGATTTATTTTAGTCGGGCACTATCTTGTATGGTAGCCCATAATGACTACTGAGCACCTGAAATGTGACTGGTTCAGATTGAGGAGATTTAAGCATAAAATATGTAGCAAATTTCAAAGACTTGGAAAGATATGAGCATGTAAAACACCATTATTAAATTTTAAAATACTGAGTATATGGTGAAGTGGTAATTTTTTAATATATTAGTTTAAAACTATATTAAATTAATTTTATTTATTTCTTTTCAATGTGGCTACTAGCAGAATTTAAGTATCACATGTGACTAGTACTGCATTTCTATTGGATTGTGCAGCTTTAGACTCAAACTGTCTGTCCACTCCACTACTCTGTACTCTATCAATCGTATTTCTTTCTCTCACTTTCTGTATTATCTCTTTTTTTTTTTTTAATTAAAGCCTTTAAAAGTTTAAATTTAGTGTGTTGAAAAATTTTTTTTCAATCACCATGAAATGTAGGTATCAAAATATAATTCATTACATTTGGAATTAAAGTGTGGTGTGTTTTTTTCCCCCAATTATTTTTATTAGTTGGAGGCTAATTACTTTACAATATTGTAGTGGTTTTTGCCATACATTGACATGAATCAGCCATGGATTTACATGTGTTCCCCATCCTGAACCCCCCTCCCACCTCCCTCCCCATCCCATCCCTCTGGGTCTTCCCAGTGCACCAGCCCTGAGCACTTGTCTCATGCATCCAACTTGGACTGGCGATTTGTTTCACACTTGATAATATACATGTTTCGATGCTGTTCTCTCAGATCATCCCACCCTTGCCTTCTCCCAGAGTCCAAAAGTCTGTTCTATACATCTGTGTCTCTTTTTCTGTCTTGCATATAGGGTTATCGTCACCATCTTTTTAAATTCCATATATATGTTAGTATACTGTATTGGGTGTTTTTCTTTCTGGCTTACTTCACTCTGTATAATGGGCTCCAGTTTTATCCCTCTTTTGGACTGATTCAAATGAATTCTTTTTAATGGCTGAGTAATATTCCATTGTGTATATGTACCACAGCTTTCTTATCCATTCGTCTGCTGATAGGCATCTAGGTTGCTTCCATGTCCTGGCTATTATACACAGTGCTGCGATGAACACTGGGGTACAAGTGTCTCTTTCAGATCTGGTTTCCTCGGTGTGTATGCCCAGGAGTGGGATTGCTTCTGTATTATCTCTTAATGATATTTAGTGGTTTTCTGTCTTGTGCTACTGCTCTTTAGACTTATTTCTGAAACATACCCTGGTATATTTTTTAAAAATCTAAGTGATGGAATGGGTTACTTTCTAGTTCTACAGGATATACACACTGCATTTTATATTAAACTACATTTAATTTTATGTTAAATCTAAGAGCTACTTTTAACTTCTAAAATGCTTTCTATGACTTACATTTGCTGGCGGTCGGTTCCCACTGTTTGCCAGTTTCCACATTTTCATGGAAATACGTGCTGGATTAATATTTTTAATGATACTATCATCTTCAGAAATAACAGTAATCATAAAATCTGTAATGGGGAACATTAAAAAGTTATTTTCTTTCTAGTTCAATTAGTGGATTTGGTTAAATAATTGTATGTCTTTTTTTTAAAAATTGTATGTCTTAAAGCATACATCTTGTTTAAATGTTAATAATAAAATTCTGATGAAGAAAGAAAACTATTTTTAATTAGTCTTCCCCAACTATTTGTCTACAGAACTATACAATCATAACAGGTACTGGATATAGATCAATAGTGCTAAACCTCCCACAGAAACCTAATGAACACATCTTTGATCCTTCAGTATTGTAAAGATGCTGATGTACAACTGTCACGTGTTTGTATAAACACATTATGTTCCTAGTTCATGCCATAAATGATGCTATAAAGTGAGAAAAAAAAAACACATCTTTGCCATTAATAGTCCTTTGTCTTATTTTCACAGTCTGCCAAGCAAGACCAAAAAGGTTAGACTGTGTTATCTGCAGCACAGGGAACTATATTTAATATCCTGTGACAAACCATAATAGAAAAGAATATGAAAAAGAAAGTGTGTATATATATGTATACCTGTGTCACACTGCCATACAGCAGTGATTAAGACAACACTGTAAGTCAATTATACTTCAGCAAAAATAAAAAGTTAGACTGAAGACAAAGCAATCTAGGTCAAGTGGTTACAAATCTATATACTTTATGTAGTCTGCGAATACAGTGTTTACTTTATGATTTTTCAATAGCATACCATAGTTAAACCAGTAATATTCCCTTATATTTATCATCTGTAATATTCATTGGTCATCTATTACAGTTTTTACACAGGAAATAGGACTTATCTTCTCAAACAGATTTAAAAATTTATGTACATACATAATTATTTTAAAATATTGTTAAATTTCAATTTAAACTTTCTCGTCTGCTTCTTTCACTGCACAGGAATTCATCCATTCAGGAAAATCAAAGTCTTCAAGAAAATGACCTATGCAAAGCAAATGTAATTTCCTATTGACTTGACAGCTGCCATATTACACAAGAAATATCTGCTTAGGTGACTGTCTCCTACATTAGACCAAACTCATTGAAAATTGCCATGTTCATTACTGGAACTAAGAATCTAGCATAGTGGGTGGACATAGCAGGTATTCAGTAAATGTCTGTTGTTACAAAGTGTCTTTAAGCATAAATTATGTGATGCGTTTCTATCCAAATTAAGTTGAACAGTCCTCACTTTCGTTTAACAGTGTAGCATAGTTAGTGGAACACACCCCCGCAGCTCCTGCCACTCAGTACTTCATTCTTCTTTGGCAGAATCTCACAGTTCAGTGAATGAATAAACACACACTGAACCACTTTAAACTATCAGCTTATACATGCGCTTTAAGTTCATTCTTGACCATTAAAGGAATGTAGGATATAGAGGAGAGCGAAGACAAAGCTAAGCCTAACATTCTTTCTTTGCTATTAAAAGTCCACAACATGATTGCTTTTTTATCACGCTGAGCACCTGGGATAAATAATTTACCCTGTTAATCTGAGAGGCAAATTATCACCACAAATTTATTTTAAAACTGAATTACTCACCAGTGAAAATTCCCCCTGCTAAAAAGGAAGCATCTTTGTCATATTTAACATTGAGACGAATGGGTTTTTCAGGGTCTGGAAGAATCATTAACTTAATTATGGGTCCTTCTATGGTATTCTTGTTATAAATGGCTTTAACCTGCATAATATGTTCTCCTCTAAAAAGAAAGAAAAAAGGAGAGGGGGGGAGGGGTTCAAATTTTGTTAGTTATAATTAAAAATTCTGAGACAATTTATACAAAGTTTAACTCATTTAGGAAACCTCTCTACTCCTGTCTCATTCCAACTCCTGACGAAAACTAAATAGACGGCTATGTATTACTCTTAACTTCATCAAGTAATAACAAAAATCAATCTCTATAATACCAGTAACTATCAAACTTTCCGTTCTTACCTAGGGGCAAAAACACTGAACACTCCCAAATTAGCTCTGCCCCTTTCATCGGTTTTATGCTGTTGGTTTGAAGGAGTGAGCTAAAAACAAAACAAAATGGTTAATTAGAAAATTCTAGGAATCAAATTCTTTTCCTCTATTACTATTTAAAAAGCTACATTTGCACATACTCTAAAATCGAAAATTGTCTAATTTAAACTAGCTGAAATAATATGTAATCACACAATCCAAAGGATAACAATCATTCACACTGATCAGTTAAACTAGAATTTTGTGTATTTCAATTCTTAAGTTGCAGAATTCAGTGTTCACTCTTTCAATAACACTGCTATATCAAGTGAAGTTTGGTCACATAAATACAGAAGGTATATGCCAAAATTGGGGGGTTGTGGGAGACAGTGCAGGAGAAATAAACATAAATACACATACATAATTTTAAGTCAAGGCATAACACCATGTCCATGTTAGTTACTTCATCCTCTTAATGTTTACACAGATGTGTTTCTAAAATCTTTGTTGCAATACTGCCATTGTAGTGATAATTAAGCTTTTACTTTTAAATGATTAACAATCAGTAGACACACTTCCTAATCACTTGTTAGAAGAATCTTTCAGTCCTTTGCAGATGCTTCTCTAAAAACGAGGATCATACTCTTATTTGGGGTACAATATAATCACTGTTTAACTCTCTTAGAAGCAAACATTAAGAACAAAAGTAAATTCGAAGACTGTAGTAGCAGAAAATCAGATTCTCTCCTAAATCCTAATACTTAACTTCTGTTTAACAGAACCTAAAAATTAGGTGATTGTGGTAAATGCAAAAAAAAAAAAGCAATCGTTGGAGAGACACAAGTGAGAAAAAGTAATTTAACTGCTAAAATAAAACCCTGCGTTTGCATCTGTCTCATTTACCTTCCTATCTATCCTCTCTCAACCTATCTTTTTCAGTCTTTCTTCCATCTGGGTCCTAAATCTTTGCTGCTAAGCCAGAAGTCAGTCTTCTATCTCAGGCTATATAACAGAAATACTGTAGTCCTTTTTGACAGGCGTTAAGACTTTTGACCCTTTTTACTTTACCTTGAAAACTAGTCCATTGGATGACAAGTCATTCCTGGCACTTTAACCTCCTGTATAGTTTTGATTTACTTTTTTTTTTTTTGGACTGCACACGTGGTTTATAGGATCTTAGTTCCCTGACCAAGGTGCACCCATGCCCCCTGCAATGGAAGCAAGGATCCCAAGCACTGGACCACCAGGGAATTTCCTTCTGTACAGCTTTACAGGTAAACAAGTTGAGTCCTGTGACATCCTTACTCAAATTGTTAACTAATGGATTAATTTCAAGAGAACTGTGTATTTACATAATACAAACTGTTCGCATCTACTAAAATTATAAAATCTCTGGAAAGATGCTCAAGCATGGCTGAATATAATTCCAAGATCTCTTCTCTGCTGCCAACAACCTGGCTAGGACAAATGAGTTCCCTTTAACCAACAGGAAAAACTTGTCAAAACATCACCTCGCAAGGGCCTGACAGCATCTTCCCCTTCCCCTTGCAGGAGGGCATCCAACTTTGTGCAAGACATCCAAAGTCTCCTCTAGATCCTAACCTGACTATTCCAATACTCGTGTTAACAACTGGTACCTAACCCTGGTACCAGACAGAATGTGGTCCACTGGAGAAGGGAATGGCAAACCACTTCAGTATTCTTGCCTTGAGAACCCCATAACAGTATGAAAAGGACACTGAAAGATGAACTCCCCAGGTTGGTAGGTGCCCAATATGCTACTGGAGATCAGTGGAGAATTAACTTCAGAAAAATGAAGGGATGGAGCCAAAGCAAAAACAACACACAGTTGTGGATGGGTCTGGTGATAGAAGCAAGGTTTGATGCTATAAAGTGCAATATTGCATAGGACCTGGAATGTTAGGTCCATGAATCAAGGCAAATTGGAAGTGGTCAAACAGGAGATGGCAAGAGTGAACATCGACATTCTAGGAATCAGCAAACTAAGATGGCCTGGAATGGGTGAATTTAACTCAGATGACCATTATATCTATTACTGTGGGCAGGAATCCCTTAGAAGAAATGGAGTAGCCATCATAGTCAACAAGAGTCCGAAATGCAGTACCTGGAGGCAATCTCAAAAACGACAGAATAATCTCTGTCTGTTTCAAAGGCAAACCATTCAATATCACAGTAATCCAAGTCTATGCCCTGACCAGCAACGCTGAAGAAGCGAAACTTGAATGGTTCTATGAAGAGACCTACAAGACCTTCTATAACTAACACCCAAAAAAAGATGTCCTTTTCATTATAGGGGACTGGAATGCAAAAGTAGGAAGTCAAGAAACACCTGCAGTAACAGGCAAATTTGGCCTTAGAGTACAGAATGAAGTAGGGCAAAGGCTAATAGAGTTCTGCCAAAAGAATGCACTGGTCATAGCAAACACCCTCTTTCAACAATACAAGAGAAGACTCTACACATGGACATCACCAGATGGTCAACACCAAAATAAGATTGATTATATTCTTTGCAGCCAAAGATGGAGAAGCCATATACAGTCAGCAAAAACAAGACTGGAGGCTGACTGTGGCTCAGATCATGAACTCTTTATTGCCAAATTCAGAGTGAAAGTGAAATGGGGAAAACCACTAGACCATTCAGGTATGACCTAAATCAAATCCCTTATGACTATACAGTGCAAGTGAGAAATAGATTTAAGGGACTAGACCTGACAGACAGAGTGCCTGATGAACTATGGACAGAGGTTCACGACACTGTACAGGAGACAGGAACCAAGACCAACCCCAAGAAGAGGAAATGCAAAAAAGCAAAATGGCTGTCTGAGGAGGCCTTACAAATAGCTGTGGAAAGAAGAGAAGCGAAAAGCAAAGGAGAAAAAGAAAAATAGTTCCACCTGAATGCAGAGTTCCAAATAACAAGGAGAGATAGGAAAGCCTTCCTTAGTGATCAATGCAAAGAAATAGAGGAAAACAATAGAATGGGAAAGACAAGAGATCTCTTCAAGAAAATTGGAGATACCAAGGGAACATTTCATGCAAAGATGGGGTCAACAAAGGACAGAAATGGTATGGACCTAACAGAAGCAGAAGATATTAAGAAGAGGTGGCAACTATACACAGAACTGTACAAAAAAGATCTTCATGATGCAGATAATCATGATGGTGTGATCACTCACCTAGAGCCAGACATCCTGGAATGTGAAGTCAAGTGGACCTTATGAAGCATCACTACAAACAAACCTAGTGGAGGTGATGGACTTCCAGTTGAGCTATTTCAAATCCTGAAAGATGATGCTGTGAAAGCATCATTCATGCATCAATTGATGCATCACTGAAAGCATATTGATGCTGTGCACTCAATATGCCAGCATATTTGGAAAATTCAGCAGTGGCCACAGGACTGGAAAAGGTCAGTTTTCATTCAAATCCCAAAGAAAGTCAATGCCAAAGAATGCTCAAACCACCACATAATTGCACTCATCTCACACGCTAGCAAAGTAATGCTCAAAATTCTCGAAGCCAGGCTTCAACAATACATGAACCATGAACTTCCAGACGTTCAAGCTGTATTCAGAAAAGGCAGAGGAACCAGAGATCAAATTGCCAACATCTGCTGGATCATCGAAAAAGCAAGAGAGTTCCAGAAAAACATCTATTTCTGCTTTATTGACTATGCCAAAGCCTTTGACTGTGTGGATCACAACAAACTGTGGACAATTCTTCCAGAGATGGGAATACCAGACCACCTGACCTGCCTCTTGAGAAATCTGTATGCAGGTCAGGAAGCACAGTTAGAACTGGACATGAACAACAGACTGGTTCCAAATAGGAAAAGGAGTATGTCAAGGCTGTATATTGTCACCCTGCTCATTTAACTTATATGCAGGGTACATCATGAGAAACGCTGGGCTGGAGGAAGCACAAGATGGAATCAAGATTGCCGGGATAAATTATCAATAACCTCAGATATGCAGATGACACCACCCTTATGGCAGAAAGTGAAGAACTAAACAGCCTCTTGATGAAAGTGAAAGAGGAGAGTGAAAAAGTTGGCTTAAAGCTCAACATTCAGAAAAGTGAGATCACAGCATCTGGTCCCATCACTTCATGGCAAATAGATGGAGAAACAGTGGTTGACTTAATTTTTCTGGGCTCCAAAATCACTGCAGATGGTGATTGCAGCCATGAAATTAAAAGACGCTTACTCTTTGGAAGGAAAGTTATGACCAACCTAGACAGCATATTGAAAAGCAGAGATATTACTTTGTCAACAAAGGTCCATCTAGTCAATGCTATGGTTTTTCCAGTGATCATGTACGAATGTGAGAGTTGGACAAGAAAGAAAGCTGAGCACCAAAGAATTGATGCTTTTGAACTGCGGTGTTGGAGAAGACTCTTGAGAGTCCCTTGGACTGCAAGGAGATCCAACCAGTCCATCCTAAAGGAGATCAGTCCTGGGTGTTCATTGGAAGGACTGATGTTAAAGCTAAAACTCCAATACCTTGGCCACCTGATGAGAAGAGCTGACTCATATGAAAAGACCCTGATGCTGGGAAAGACTGAGGGCAGGAGGAGAAGGGGACGACAGAGGATGAGATGGCTGGATGGCATCACCGACTCCATGGACATGGGTTTGGGTGGACTCCAGGAGTTGGTGATGGACAGGGAGGCCTGGCGTGCTGAGATTCATGGGGTCGCAGAGTCGGACACAACTGAGTGGCTGAACTGAACTGAACCTAATCCTGAGCTTCCTGGTATCCAAGCACTATGTTTTCCCCCAAACATTACAAGGCCATGTTCATGCTTGCTGATTTCCCTAGAATAGGTCTCAGTAGAGGTCCAACAGCTCTGCCCAGGTAGCTCTCCAAAAGGTAAGCAGAGCACAGCTACTCATGTGACTCTCTTGCTTCACCCTTAGAGCTTTTAAGTTTCCCAAATAACACCTATTTCATAACCCAGACTGCAGGTCACTGTATCTAACTTCATTCACCTTGTCAACATTACCCGTTCCTAATCTGAAATTCAGATATTATTAATACTGTGTAATAAACAGTCATAATTAGAGACTGCTGCCTCTTGTTACACTGTCTGCAAAATATAAACTGTACTTCCTTCAAAATAACTATTAAAATTTTAGACTGACAAAGTAAGCAACAAACCTGGGCAAACTCCAGGAAAGAGTGAAGGTAAGGGAGGCCTGGAACGCTACAGTCCATGGGACCACAAAGAGTCAGACACAACTTAGGGACTGAATAACAAAAACAAAACTAAGCAATAGTGAAGATTATAAAAGGGTATTTAAAATTAAAAAAAGGTAACACCTAAAGACATGATACTGAGAATGAAGGCCAAAATTTTAAGTGAGAATTATTTAAGGATGTTTAAAACTTACCTTTAAATTGTTAGCTTTTACAAGACTTATTTTAACCTGTGGCACAGGTGCTGGATTATCCCACTGATCACAAAGTTGAACAATGAGAGGATTCTGCAATTCTCTTCCATTAATCACTGGAATGGACTAAAACAGATACAAATCTTTTAAGAAGCACTAAAACATGACAAACAATATGGTTACTATTAAAGTGAAACGATCACTGAATTTATCTGTTTTACTCACAAATAGCTCCTTTCATCAATTAAAATAAACTTCTGAAAGTCAATTACATTGTTGCTAATAATCCTCTTCTTATAGAATGATTAAAAATTTAATAAAAGGGAAAATATATTTGACATTACTGGCTTCCAGAGCCAGTCAAGAATTCTGAAAATTACATATTGCAAGGACTTCAATGGAAACAGAAATTTATCTTAGGCTCTCATATTTAGCATTGGTCAATCTACAGTCTAACTTCTCCATCAATTGTTGGCACTCTGTCAAGTCTACATGAAGCAGTGTGGACAGCTTTCCAGCTCCTAGTCAAATAGGACTAGTCATGGATAAACTTAAACAAGACAGTGTAGACTTAAAATGACTCTTGCTTTTCCCTTAATCCAAGTAAGGCCTGTATGACTCCGGGAATTTGTTTGCTGACCTAGGTATATCAAAGAAAACTCATTGTCAAGCAAGAAACCTGTTAAAGTCCAATCCTCTGTGTCAGATGTTAAAAGTTAGAGAAAAAAAGAAGATAGGAAAGACATAACTAGCAAAAAAGGAAAGTGATTTATCACCTCTCCTACTAGTAATGTTCCCTCTGCTTCCTCCATCCCTTCAATTATGTTAGGAGGTTGCTAAAAAGTGGGAGAAACATCAGTAATGTGTTAGGAACTTTTTTTAAAAAGATACCCTTGAAGCTGGTTTATGCTTGACTTGCAAAAAAATTTTCATGGATAGACTATATTCTGTGTGCTAAAGTTAATAAAAAGCCTGAATACACAAGAAGTGCTGATGTTTCCAAATGTAAACACAGCAGGGTCTTTATTTATAATTACATAATTGTCCATCTATCAAACAGCCTGTAAAGAATATCTTCCAGTAAACAACAGCCCAAGCTGTTAGCTGAAAATTCTTCTGGGTAGTGGTGGAGAAAGGAAATAACCTAAATCAAATGTTCATGATTTGCCACTTATTAATACTGTTGTGCAATATAACATTTCAGAATTTGCTTCTTCATTTGTAAGGAAGGACAATACATAATAATGTTGTTGAAGATTAACTGAGAACATATATGTATATATAATTTTTCTATTTATCATGCTTAGGTGTTAAATTAGTTCCCCTTTCTATTTAAGATCCTGTGTGTGGAAGAGGGAGGTAAGTCAAAAATTAAATTGGAAAATTCTAGGAAAACCACACATTCAATGATTACATTTTCAGCCTTACCCACATATAACACATCTCTTAACAGAGGAGAATTAGTTTTAGGTTTTATTTTTAAAGCTTTTGGATTTCAATGATATCTGCAAATAAATCTGGTAATAAATTTTTGAGTTAACAAGCTGTCATTAATTTTTATATTCCCCTCCTACAAAATCATTTAAAAACATGAACATGTAAAGATTTTTTCCACCTCAAGGGTACACAATTATTCCATGATACTGTCAGTCAACAAATTCTTTATTGACATCATTAGGTTTCTAATAAGGCATTGATTTATGCAGTAAATATGCTTCTATATGAAAATAAGTGCACTGTCTTTGCAGTACAACTCTTCAGTCAACAAGTGTTAAGGAAAAAATAGTTTTTAAATATTTTTTAAATTTACAAATCAAAAAAGGACAATCTCAAACTACAGCAGAGATATGTAAGCTTTTCTCAGATGATCAGTTCCTTTGTGAGATAATTTCATCTACTGCCATGGTCATGTGAGATGATTTTCCATTAGAAAAAATAACCTTTTGTACCAACAGATAAGGCTCTGCCACACCATAACTGAACACCAGAATGTGAACATTTTAAAATCACAATTCTAAAAATTTAATGAAAATTGAAAGGTAACAGATCTGACAGACATTTGCAAATTAGTATTTAAGATATGTATAACTATATGTATAGGGAAGCAAACTTATGTTTTTAAGAGTATAATGAATGACTTGATATCTGGTATGCATTTAAAAATTACAGCAAAAACATTTTTTTAATAAGCCAGTGAGAGAGAACAATGAAATAAAATTGGTGAAAATCAGTAACTGTTGAAACTGGGGGTTATCTATTTTTATTTTAATGCATATTTTTAATCTCTATAATAAAACTCTTCGAATTTGAAGTATCACTTTTTTTTTAACAAATGACACAGTGATAAATAACAAAGTATTAAAATTCATATTACTTTGTCTTTTTGTTATTGTTACTATTGTTACTACTCCAACAACAAAATATAACTTTGATCTACTAACATTCTGAAGCAGTTAGTAGGTCAAAATATTGATATTAAATTCTTTCAATCAAGGCAGGAAGGTACTTACCTCCTTTAACTCTGGCCAGTCTACAAGGAGAAGTTTAGCTGGTGGCCCAGAAACTAGCTGCACTCGAATAAAATCAGAAAATTCACGCCAAGTAAAGCAAAGATCCTTATTTCCAGGGGGACCTGGAATAAATCTGACTCCTCTCACGCTTATACTTTGTGTATTTTCCTAGTGAGGAAAAAGCACGTTGAAAAAAAAAAAACAAAACACCAGGAAGATCATGTTTAGTTTTCAGAAAAAAGAAAATGTTGTCACTACCTATGTGCACACAGATGTGTTTCTGATAAAACAACAGCAAGTAACACACAAATGCCAATATTGGCGTGTCCTGAATTTCATTTCCTTCAGACAAGAAAGTGAAATTCTCTTCTGTAAGGGAGAGATCTGAAAGGTTCAACCTACGTCCTTTTTCCTTATCTTTTCCTAATTTCCCTCTTCTTTACACTTGCACTGTCTCCTTTCTGTTCTCCGAATAGCACGTATGTGCCTGTCCAACAAGCTCCTTCCCTGTTTGCCACATTTTTTACCTACATGTTGAGATTACCAAGGGAATGTGCTTCAGAAGAGCAGTACATTTTATGAAGATGCGGAAATAATCTTAAAAAACAATGGCACATTAAAATCAGTATTTTATTTTAGAAAGACTTGAAAAATAACTTTGGTATTAAAAAAAAAAAAAAACTGGAAGGTTCCTGTTTTATGCAGAGACGAGGGGTAGACTTCTATTGTTTCTATGAAAGTGAGTCAAGATAGTACCTATCAGTCATAAAATGACAGCAGAACGGAGGTCAATTTGACTGGAGAATGAGCCACGGAAGGAGACAGGTGTGCTGCAGCAGAATACTATGGCGTACTTTAGGCACCCAAAGGAGACAGAGTCTAACCTCATAGTATAAAATGCTGACAGGGGGCATAAGATGGGAACTGACCTCGATTTGGTCAGGTGGCACAGGGCAGAAAAACCCAGGAGGCCTGCCTGGGAATGAGACTGAAGAATGTGAAAATAGAGAGTGTACATAACTCTTCAATGAGCTACACTACAAAAAGGAGGAAAAGAGGGCAGTACTAGACGGACATGTTTCAGGGCCAAAGGAAGCTGTGAGGGGTGAGGGGAGAGAGAGTATGGCATGCTTATATGCTGATGGGAATCTAACCGACAGGGAAAAACAAGATGTAGGAAAACAGGTTAGGAACAATTAGTTGAAAGAGGATGGGTGTCTATGCATAAAGTGACAGGAAAAAGAAACTGTTCGTGCACAACAGTGGTTATTATCTGACTTCATCTACACAGAGGGTGAAGCTAGACAAGAAAGCATCTGAAAGTCATAGATCAAACCTTATCTTTTACAGTAAACAAAACACCATCAGAAGTTCCTCAGCAGTGCTAAAATACTGTGGAAAAGACGTTCTGAAAACTAGAAAATAACAGCATAGTAGGTTAATGGAAACAAAAACTCCGGTTAGGAGGGGCAACCATGAGACTCTCATGATTATTCTGTTGGGTAAAAGGGATAATGGAGGCTGCAAGAGGATGAAGAGGTTTAAAAACCACTAAATGCCCTAAGTGGATTCAACTTAGAATTCCTTCTTTCTGACCTGCTCTAGGCTGGCAGGATCCTTGAAGGCTCAACTCCAACATCTTTTCTCGAAAATGGTCTTTAATCTCTCCAAGAAGAGTACTTGTGTTTCCTTGCTTGTTTTAAACAGAAACAATTTCACCAGTATTTTTATTTTTCAAGCTAATCTCAATTAACTGCATATCTGCACACTTTCACAACTAGAGTTCTCCCAGGTATCCTATTTAATGCAGGGACTGAGCACCAAGAAATTTTACTCAAATAGCTACATGAAAAACAACCTTTGTACACATGTCAAAATACTTAGGAATGAAATGGTATGATGTATAGAATTTGCTTCAAAGTGACAGATAAGGGGGAAGTGATGAATGCTGAAGCTGACTGGTAGGACCATGGGAATTACTTATACTATTTATGCTATTTTTGTGTATGTTCAAAATTTTTGTGTATATCTAAATTTTCATTAAAAAAATTACTTCAATGCCTTTTACAATTTTTCATTGTAAATACTGCAGTCAAATCTCTCTTATTTTTGTGTTTCCCAAACTTTCTGTTATATATAATCTGAATGGAATAGTCAACTGTTAACGGTAAACAGTCATACCTGAAAAGTAGTTTTCAAATGTGGGCTATCAAGTCCAATCCCAGCAATTCCCAACGCAGACAGAGAACTTGGTGAAAATGCTTGAATCTGATTCCCATACTGATCTGTAACAGTTACAACTAAAAAAAGGGGGAGGCAGTTAATTTTACAGTATCTTAATTTAACATGATGTTGATGTCACATGTTTTACCATGAATATTTGAAGGAAATAATTTAGTGTCATGTAATAATCTGGATATAAGAAAAATATAGCATGTGAATCATACTAACATTTATTTTATGCTCTTAGTATTAACCATTATAATTTCTAACAAAAGTCAACATTCTTTTCAACTAACTGTTTTCAGTTAGGTCAGCATAGGCAAAGATAGGGAAAATGCTTCAACGGTTTCAACAGTGGATTTTAAACCATTAACCATATATAAATCCAAAGTTTTCCTTTCAGATTATGTATGCCAAAACATGAACATAAGGACATATTATAGAAGTGTTTTAAAGATAGAAAGTAGGTCATGCTAACCTATTTCTCCTTGAAGCTCTTGACCCATCTGTACCGTTTTTCCTCCTTTTAATTCACATTTTAGATGTTTAGGTTCATCTGGAAGTGGTCTGAAATTGATTAACAAATTAAAGGTCTTAATTACACCATTAATTGTAGAAAAAAGTTTCAACATGCTAAGGAGTAACATATGTAATGCTCATTTTCTTAAACTTAAAAACAGTATCACTATTAATCCAAAGGGAAATAGAGAAAAGACAGCTTGCAAAGACAGTAGAGAATACTGACCAAAAAAACAAATGCATGTTAGATCAGTTATCTATCCTGGATTAAAAGGAAATTATGACATGAGAGCACTGAAAAAAAAAAAGCAATGGGTTGGTAAGAATGACTCATCAAGAAATCTAGCTCTGACTGAAGAGTTGTACATCTGATAATTTTATCTCAGACATGGAGCTATTCTAAGCATTGGAGTAGTATGGAAATGTGTACAGAATTAAAGTAGAAAAGGTTAATAAAAAAGAGGCAGCCAAGGAACTGAGAGGCCAGGGTGAAGGACAGGTCTTCTATATATTTACTTAAATTTCCCCCTTTTCTATCATGTAGACTCAGCTTTGAAAATCACCACTAACTAATGAAAGAATTCCTTCTGAGCAACACACTGACTGATCACACTGCATCTTTTTTATTTCTCACATCTTTGTCATTTTCTAGGAGTTTTCACTGTTGCTTGTCCTAGGAGGACATTCCTTTAACAAAAGTTCTCGTTCTGACAGATACTAGAAGGGCAAGTTAAGTAGAGGCTGAGAGTGATATTAAGAATGAATCACTATCATCAGTGAAGCTTTATTCCAAAGACAACCTGTTTCCAAGAAGTTGTGGAAATTTCTACATTAAAAAAATTATATGTATGCTTTGGTGAAAAGCATTTTTGTCACCATATGCTGAATATCTCAAAACATAATATGCCCACAAACCTTACTGTAAATGCACTTTCCAAAGACACATGATCGTCTTGGAATGAAACCTGGCAATAGCGCATATCTTTCACAGATGTTGGTACTTGTACATCAGGAAGCAGACCCTGCAGTAAGTGCTCTTTGTTAATCTCAGGAGTCCAATTAACCTAGAAGGGAAATTATATACTTAAGAATAACATAAAGTTTACTCGAATGTCTTCCAACTGCGAGTTATCTTACCAAAGACTCTTAAAAAATTATAATCTATCCTCCCCAACTCTAAGGAAAAAGGAAGGCCCTTTATGACCATAAATGATGGTGGTTCATATATTACTAAGAGAAAAGTTATCTTTTTCACTGTCTTCCCTTTTAATACTGCCACATCTTTCAATGCAATGAAATAACTACTACTAAATCATTCCTTTAGCACTTCGCCACAAGATTATTACTCTGGTCATTATAGTTTTAAAAAACTATGGGAATCAAATCATGTTATCAATTCTGAGAAGTTATAGTCAATTGTTTTTGTTTTTTCAAAAAGAATCTTGCTATTACAGGTTTTAATTGAGATATAAGTGGACCCTATTCAGCAAGGTGAGAAAAGTTAAATTCACTATGTAATTACCATCCTGGCCACATCTTGATCTTAATCCACTCTCAAATGTTTTTAGCTCTAATTTTAACTTTACATCTCTTAAACTCCATATTTTGTTATTTGTTATCCATTTTTAAAGCTGACTACCCCACTCTATTTTACTTTTAAACTTCCAATCCTTTCTATTTAAGAACTTTTAGCTCAACTTTATGCTTTTAGCCTTTATAGCTGTGATTCTTAAATCAATGATATTCTAATATTGTGATCCTAGTTTACACTGTTCTAACTTTCTTAGTTACCTTGTTATCTTTGTAAACCATTCTTTATATCTTTTTTCTTTTTTTAAATAGTGGAAGCAGAAGCAGGAGTTGCACAAAATGGCTGGCTTCCCTCACCCTAGCTGTGCTCTCTGCTCAGAGAATTCCTATGTCTGCTCAGAGAATTTCTCTATCAGTTTGGGTTGACTTTCCTCGGTAATAGAGAATTTTCTAAAGATTACACAGTCACTTTAAGTGTATACATTTAGTAGAAGTATAAATATCCTTTATAGTCAATAAAGGTACATGTTTTAAAATATTTGGAACCCAAGAAATAGATCATGACTAGAATTGAGGAAAATGTGTCAAAAGCAGGCCATGAGCTTAAAGAATGGCAAAAAGAAGGTTATATACAGAAAGAGGCTCTCAAGTCAATGTTTATTCTTAATCTTAATAAGAAACTAAACTGGAAACAACATTATGAGAAAGCAAGGTATGAGTTCAGAAGCCAGGTTGCTAGTACCACTTTTAAACCACTTGCCTTCAGATCTGCTGAGAGATAAAAATGGCTTGCCTCCCTTCCAAGCAGGATAAGGACTATTTCTCTCACAATCCTCCCTTCTCTTATTATGGAGGGAAAAAATAAACCGGTGGAGCAAGGGCTATTCCAGATAAGGTTTTAAAAATCATGTCAGCTGAACCCTGATAAACAATTCTTACAAGATATCAGATCCTAATCTTGGAGATTCAGGATGGCTACAGAATTTAATAGTGCAAAAGAGGAGAATTCTTCGGTGGTACAGTGATTATGACTCTGTACTTTCACTGTCAAGGGCCTGGGTTCAATCCCTGGTTGAGGAACTAAGATCCCACAAGCTGTGCAGCATGGCAGAAAAAAAACACCACCATTTTAATTGTGTTGTTAGGTGAGCTGTTCAAGTTTCAGCATACAGATTCACCCTTTCAAGGTACAAATGCTACATTTAGATGGCAGGTCTGAGGACCATCTGAAGCTAGTGAGAACTGACAAAACCACTGTGTACGGATAACAATTTTAGAGACTGCTATACCAACTTCAAATGGCCAAACCAGGGGTCTGGTTCGTAGTTCACAGTACTGTGGTTCACAATACTGTTCCACCGTTTGCCTTCAGCAGACCTTTTCTTTAGCGCCTTCAGAATAGCTACGAAAATACTGCTCTGGTCAAGTGGAGATCTTAATTGTGAACAGAAATACAATTCATCAGGACTGGATTTTTGTTTAGGTGTCAAAATCATTTCTCTAAGCACAGATTTGACACATTCAACATTCCAATCTAGTGCATGTTTAAAAAAAAAACAACTGTATTTAGCCTGGGATTTTAAATAACAATGCTGTTTTGCTGGGATGAGCACCTTCTTAAGAGGGCAGCCTATATATAACTTGTTCTTCCAAGCAAAAAATGTACAAAATTCTTGCAAATAATCTATTTGAGATACCTACTTTAATTTTCTCTGCCAAAGCTGATGTTATATGGATTTCTCTTTCTCCTTCATCATACATTTGAAAAATAAGATTATGCATAACATCTCCAGCTATCCAGTTAACCTCATCCTGATGTTTGATCTGGATGGCCTTCTGTCCTTCCACACTGAATATCTGTAATCTGGCAACGTGGCTACTGGGGAGCAACTTGATAGTCTTCTCCACTGGTGCCACATCTTTACAACTCTGGGAAGAGAGAAAAACACAAATACATACTGAATGAAAGCATCCATACTGAAAACATCACTTTTGGCTTTTATGGTAAATCTTTCATATTGCTTAGGAATTTATCTCCAATATTATGGGAGATCATCTTATATATTGTTAACAATTATAGGTTCTCTCATTAAGAGGACACTGTACTGTTAGCAAGTCCATATTTTATACCATCAAGTTATAGTGACAGTGGTCACATTCTCAAAACCTAAAACTAGCATATTTGGACTTAAAAGAACATTCCTCTTGGTAAATCTGCTTAAAAGTGTTGCAAACCTCTGAAAGTTTAATCATGTGACATAGAGTTGGTGTCAGCATTTATTAATAAGAACAAAGGTGTAATAAATTAAGAATTTTCTATAAAATCAGAGGCAAATAACTGGCATAAAATATATTACTTTAAGGAGTTTCTAGAGCTTTTTCAATTCGTTTTTTACTGGGGTAAGTGGACAGAGTTGCTTGTAGCTAGATAAGGACTCTAGATGCCCCAAAGGCTGAGCAGTTTGTAATTTGTCATAGGCACAGCAGTGTTTCAAAGATCAGCAGAGATGAGCTGGTATGCTACATAAATTGATTTTAGACACATGAAATTAAAACACTACATAATCATCTCAGAATCTAGGTATAGTTCATTCCATAGAATACAAAAAATTCAAGTCTAAACCTAAAATACCTTTACAATCCTGCTTCGTTAATGTCTCCTTCCTCATCTACTTGAGGTCATTCTATCAAAGCCCATTCACACAAATAATGACACAGTCAAAATTACTACTTCACAGAGTATCAGGCAAAAAACCCATCTGCTATTATAAGCACATATTATTTGCCTGACTTAAAATTAAGAGTCACTGCTTTGCGATAACATTTTTAAAGGGCATAACACAGGTATACTGTGGTCTTTAAGTGCCTTGGACTCTTGGTTTTCAGATTGCTGCTGCTCTGCAGCATTTACATAATTGTATGTAAATGTTCCCTTGCTTTCAAGACCATCTTTCTCTCTAACAACAAGTCTTTTCTTTCTAAATTGTCTAGATCTTTTGCAAGACAATATACTCAAACACACAATGCTCACATTACTGAAAAAAAGGAAACACACAACAAATGTTTTAAGATTATCAAACATAACTAGTTTCAAAAGAAAAGAATTATAATAAAGTCAAATCATCTCATCCTAATTTTAAAAAATAAATAAAAGTTTTTACCCTTTTGAGGCTCAGGATGTGTTAGCTGATGTATAGTTAGTTGGAAAAACATTGGTTAATCAACTGATTGGGTAAATCATCATCTACCACCATATCAATCATGAAGAAATCACATACAGATATTTTACTCGCATAAGTATTTGTTATCTCATTCAGCAATCTTAGGAAATCATATGCTTCTATCAACTGCTTGCCCTCCTCTAGGCTGGCCTCATCTTCAGCCATGATGAACGCCCAGTAACAAGTGTCCTACTGGCACATCAACACAGCACTCTCTTTATAGAATAATACTAAGAAAAACCATGTATTTAAATTATACATACATATTAAATGTTAATATATCCTTCAGTGGTGGTTCAACAGAGATATTTATTAAACTTTCTAAGAAAAAGGTGTAAACTATAAGAAACAAACAATAAAATAAAACTGATAATTGTTACACTCTAATAACAGGAAAAAATAATTTTAGGAACATATAATCAACAACAGCTATAGATATTATAAAAGGTTTGAGCAAGAAATTTCTAATATCTGATACAAAGTGTTATTTACTATACCATTTCATTTTTGCCTTTTCTTCCCTCTGGCTAAAAGAATCACAAATATCTCATCTTAAAAAGTCAAACAACTTTACATGAAATATTAAAAGCTATTAAAGAGTATTCAAATAAAAAGTCAATAGAATACCAATGAAAAACAATAACAACTTACAGGTATTTCAATTTTTGCTTTAAGTGTCTGGTCTTTTTTAATATTCTGAACTTGAATTGCTGGTCCTGATAAAATACTAGTTCCAGAACTACTGCAATCCACAACATAGACTGGAAGGTTTGGAGCACCTGAAAACTATTGGAAGCATACAAAATAATTTAAGATCCCAATCAAATGTAACTGGTTACTCAATAACTTCAATTTTCAAATAATATAGTTTAGCTACTATTTCTGACTATAAATTAAGAGTACTGTAAGTATACTTCACTAATATCCCAGACAACTTTGAAAGGAGTAAGTTTCTACAATTCTAGATAAAATGTGCTGATTTTGGAAGAAAAATCAACTTCCTTAACAATAATTCTTTCTTTTACTCTACCTATTTGGGTTTTCCTTTCCTTCTTGAGCTCTTTTACTCATATTCATTTACCCATCCATCCTTAATCCTAAAGGATAATTTTATCATTTTGCTCATAACTGAATACTTCATCTGAAATGAGGAGGATGGACAAAGGAAGGAGCGGGGAGGAATCTGTAGTTCTATACTTGGCATAGTTGGCATCATTATTGAATTAGAGATGTTGAAAATTATTGGCAATGAGATAGCCCACAAATTTCTGCATGGAATAATCATTACACAGTCTAGATACTACATAAAGCTTACTATAAAAGAGTCAAAAGATAGAGTGATTTCCAGTTACTACAATGGCACTGAAAATCTACACATTCTTATCTTGTGATAACTTACCTTACAATGAACAATCAGCTTTGGTTGTACTGTTATATTGTCTGATTCATCCAAAACTTCCACCTGAAATGGGAAAGCTGTTCCATTTTCTATAACTAAAATTTCAGAATCAGGTTTCACTTTAATTCGATGAGGAGGACCTACCAGAAAATTATATAATGAAAATGAGATTCAGGTTTCCAAAAATGAAATGCTAAAATAGCAAAAGAAACAGCTTTTAACATTTTAAGTTTTAATATCTTTTAAATAATGCTGAGAGAGAAAGAAGGAATATCCATGGTTAATCATTTCTACCCCTAAATGAATAGATTCTACACACAACCCCCAAATGCACTGATTCCCAATTGTATTAAATGTTTGAGGTCTAGACTCAGTTTTATGGACAAGCTAAGACAAATGATAACTCATGCTAGAAATCATCCAAATGTGTAAAATACTAAAAAGATCCTGGAAAACAGTATTCAAGAAAAAAAGGAAAAGTTTATTAAACTACTTTTTAAATTTTCTATCTTTTACACAATGACTGATTTCTCAGGCACACTACATACCTCTATTAGGTAATTTTGCTCAAAGGATCAGTTCATGTAATGACATAACCAGATAATTTACTTGTTAGATTGCCCACAACCCTTTGATATCCTAAGCAAGCTGCACCATAATTTTCCTCTAAACTAATAAAAGAGGTTTTACACTTCAATAGCAGCATGACCTGTTGTGCCCTATAAACACTGAGATTTTAAAATACAATTTATACTAAATACTGGGAACACAAGTTTACAAAGAATAAGTTATATCAGTTAATATTTGTGTTTTAATCATATGCCAACTCTATTCTCGGAATCCTTACAATGACCTTGACCAAGAGGGTACTATTAGTATCATCCCCATTTTATACCAGAGGAAGCTGGGATCCAGAGACTAAGCATCCTGTCCAGGTCATGGCTACAAGGGGCAGACCTGAGTTACTGACCACTCTGACTACACAGTCCCACTTCCCACCTCACAACCATCACTCTCAACTTCTAAAAAAAATTGCCAGCACTATCTGGTTAATAAGAAGTTCCCCTGAGATTTGAATAACCCATATGTTTTAGCTAACCTTTCAAAATAAAAGCATCCTAAGTATTAATACGAAACAATTTTTTTTTTATTTCTACCAATGGGCCACTCTTTACTTCTTTATCAATCCATGCTTGAAGGAAAGCTCAAACTACAAGAATCTGTGAAAGGAAATAGCCAATATGTTTCTTTTTCATTAAAATCAGTATAAAAGGTTTTTAGGTTGATAAATCATTACTCAAATTAACATAAAAGCATAAGAAACTTTTCTTCTTAAAATATGAAATATTTAGCTATATCAGAAAAAGTAAAGGACAGATCCAGTTCTAATGCAAGCCTAATTGTACATCCTTAAGAATAGCTTCACAATGTGTTTTCAGTATTCACATTATTCTTTCAGGATTATCTTTAGAACTTAACTCAAGTCTTCCTAAATGTTACCCTGTTTTTTAATTGATTATTTCTGTTAGTGTTATGCATGACATTCAAATGTATTTTCAAGGCTTATACCATAACCAACCAAAAAACACTTCACCTTTATAAGTGTCATTATACTTTATCATAAGAATATCATTTAAAAGGAAAATATGAGGAATATTTCTTAAAGGAATATTACCTGGAAGTAATCTAATTTTTAAAATCTGTGAGTCTTCTTTTAAACCCGGCAGAATAACCTTCAGATTAAAATTCTGTTAAAAAAATTATTTTAATTAAATTCAAATCCTAAATAAATACTCAAGTAATTTACCACCTCAATTCTGACTTATTTTTTGCTTTTCATTTTCCTATCATTAGAGAAAGTCACTCAGCAAATTTATATTGACTAAAATTATCATATGTATGTATGAAAGAAATGCAGGTGAAAAAATTGACTAATATTGCTTCTTTACAGACAATACTATCTTCAAATTCAAAAGGCATACCCTCTGAATAATTACCAGAATTAAGCTGGGTACTATAAAAAATCTGGAAAGTAGTAAAATAGAAAAACCCCCAAATCTACACATTTCTAAATATAATGTCATATTCTAGATTAGATTCCGGTATAGAAAAATACAGCGGAGAAACTGGCGAAATGTTGAAGTCCAGAGTTTTGTTAATAGTATTATATCAATGATAATACTGGATAAATATGCAATGCTTATATAAGATATTTAATAGAGGAAGCTGAGTGAAATACATGTGAACTCTCTATACCATCTCTGCAACTCTTCTGTAAAAATAATTTCAAAATAAAAAGGTTTTTAAAACCTAGAAATCTTTTTAAGTACATTTACTAAAGTCAAAATTTCCATGAACTTCAAGTTCTTCTTCCAGAAACAGCTTAATTCAGGAGGATGGAAAGAACTTGCTCTTTGCTTTAATGCAGTAAACTCACATGCTCAATTTTAAACATTATTTTGGCAGGGAAAATTTTTAAAATATATATTGAAGGTAATGATACATTGGGGAAAAAACTAACATATCACTTAAGTTATTAGCTAGTGTTCACATTAGTCATAGTAATCTATTAGCTACTCTATATACTTAAATGAAAAATTACCTTATTGCAGTTTGCCTTTACCATCCCTAACTATTCCTCCCTCTTCCTTTATCCAAATACCAAACTCAATACATTTACAAAGTAAGCTAAAGTTTCTCATATATCTGTTCCTATTCTAAGAAAAATATTGAAAATAGAAAAAGAGCTAGAAAAGAAGCAACACAGTACTAGATAAATGTCGAAAGTGGCTTTGACTATGAAAAGACTGGAATGGAAATAAAGACAGTTGAAAATACTTAGCTCATAACCATTTCAAAAACAACAGTAGCAAATATGCTGGTCTTCCTCAGAGATGAAAGTGGTAATGATGTGTCAGGTGACATGATGCTGATTAATTCCTAAGAACCTGACGTTACTGTCATCTTGCCACAAAACTAGGTTATTCAATTTTAAATATCCAATTTCATTTTTACTATGTAAGAAATAAACATGCATTATAACACATACATACAATGCTTACCTTGCCTTGACAAGAGTTTACAGGGCCCTTAGCTGTAACACCTCGAATGACACAATTTGGTCCTTTGGTTATTTCTTCATAATGTAAAGTTAAACCACTGGAAAAAATAAATTATTTTTTAACTTTTCCTCCATTATCTACAAATAAGCTGCAAATGTTCTTTTTTCGGGGGGGGGGGGGGGGGGGGGGGGGGGGTGGGCCTGCACCACACGACTTATAGGATCTTAGTTCCCTGACCAGGGACTGGACATCGGTCCTCAACAGTGAAAGCACACAGCCCTAACTCCAAATTAACTGATCCCAAATTGCAAACTCCACACCCAGTCATCAAGATACTTGGCAATTTTTCTTAAAAACATGAATGTGATAGGTTATATTCACTTTACCATGTAACAGAGTTAAGCTTTCCTTCAGTTTTTACAAACTCTTTATCAGATTGTGATGATCACACTCTGGTTTACTGTTTATTCAATCATAAAATTGTTCCCTTTCTCTCCTACCTTTGTGAAGAAGTTTTCTAGGCTGACGGTAGGTTCTGTTTTTATATATTTTCCCAACACAAAGGACAGAGGAAATTCCCAGGATGATCGGGAAAGAAGACCAGAGAAGGACAAACCTAACAAGCTTAAGAGCTGATCCATACAGACCACATCACAAAGTTCCAAGGGAGATGTCTAAGGAATATGAAACTGACAAGTTATCTATGTACAAACATCTTGAAAAGAGACCAGAAAACTGGCAGAGAGCTATTTGGCAAGATAAAAGAAGTATAACAGCTGTGCAATAAAGTAATTAGCACTTACATAATTTTAATAAAGCAAGCACCAAGTACTGATCAAGCCAGAGTATAACTTTACTAAAAAATGTGGGAATAGGAAGGAGGCTTATTTGTAATATAAATGGCAACAAGAGTGTGTCCTCATCTTCCTTAGCCTTAAGTCAAGAGATAAAGCTTAAAACTGAAGAATCAAGAAGCAGTAACATAAAAGTTACTTACATATATGGCAGCAGGTACCAAAAAATTCAAGTAGAAAGCTGAAAGTGGTTCTGAGCAGTGGACTGTTGGTGAGGTGGAGAGGGCAGAACAACTACTCTTTTATTTTTTTTTTTAAATGAGCTTTATCAACCTATTTGATTCTTTAGGCTATATGTGTGAATTATTTTTATTTTAATTTAGTTAACACTGAAAAAAACCAAAAAACCCCACTCGACAAAGATCTTACTTTTACGGCCAGGCCACCAAGACTTTTTTTTTTAAGTCCCAAATCTTAATTACCAATATGTATGTGTGACAGACACTCTGTAAGAATATCTTATCAAGGATAAGATGGAAGATATAATTAAAAACAGGGGTCAACTAACACACAAATATTTCCCATTCGTGACTAGATGGATTACATTTTTAGTGTTCTTTATTTTTAAACAGGCTTCCCTTGTGGCTCAGACAGTAAAGAGTCTGCCTGCAATGTGGGAGACGAGGGTTCGATCCCTGGGTCAGGAAGATCCCTTGGAGAAGGAAATGGCAACACACTCCAGTACTCTTGCCTGGAAAATCCCATGGGTGGAGGAGACTGGCAGGCTATTTTTAAACATACATGTTTGAGTATTCAACTCTTCCATTATGGCTTAATATTCAAATGGATGCAATATGTAAAAATCACTTTTTGCAAAAGAATCACTTTTTGCTCAAGAACCATATTTTGCAACTTAAGAGAATATTTAGAAAAATTCACTTGCAATATTTTTTATAACTGATTTGTTTTTCGGGAACTTAACCATGGTACAAATCTGGACACTAAGCTATATCTCACTAGTCTCTGAGCTTCTAGAGGCAAATCCTATATTCTTATTCACTTCTATGTCTCCAGCTAGCAAATGCCTGGAATACAGTACATACTCAAATGATTAAAAGAGCAAACAATTACACCGAAAGGGGAAAAAAGTACACATCAATAGCAAAAGAAGGCATACATTAAAAAGTGGGCCCCAAAGACAAATTTGGCAGAAATGTGAGAAAAATAATTTCTCCCTAGGCACCTCAGAAACAGGTAATGGAAAACAATGAACATCCTCAATTAAATAATTGGACGCTTTCAGAGCTATTTCTTAATATAAGCCAATCATTTCATTCTATAGGGTTACTAAGTAAAGGCAAATTCCAGGGAAGGACCAAATTTCCATGGAAACCACAAACTTTATTGCTACAGTTTTAAACACAAACCAAAATAAATTATACTAGCAGGTTAAAAGCCTACCAGTAGGTAACCACTAAGCTTAAATGCCCATAATTTCTAAGCAAACAACAAATTAAACATTGTATAGTGTATAGACCTGCCAGGAGACGTCATATTGTACTTGCAAAAAAAAAAAAGAGTAAGACAGACCTATCAGTCTCAACCAAGTAACTGTAACAGCAAAAATTCAGTCCAAACAAACTTTCCTGAGGTGATTCATGTATGACACTACAGCTGCAGAGAACAGCTTGGGACTAACTAAATCCCCCAGGTATCATAAAACATCAACATTTTAAATAAATCTGAAGTTAACTCAACACAAATAATTTAAGCTCAAAGAAGTGAATACTCAGCAAATATGAACATTCAGATTACCTTGCTTCAAAAACTGGCTGAATATCAGTTGACAGTTGACTAGTATGACCAAATTCATCCTGAAACTCCACGGGGATATTGAATGGGACTCCAACACGAAACGGAGGATCCAAAAGACCGAACAAAAATTTCTCTGGTTTACCCTCTTAAAAAAAAAAAAGCATAAAAAGAAAATTCATCAGTCAGAGATTCATTGTAGGTAAAAACATCTATTTACGTACAGAAGATTAAACTACAATAAAGATGGCATTTTAAATCTGAGCAAAATTTACATAAATTATATCTATAATATACCTGTGAAAATAACAGTTAACTTACATGATATATAAATAAGTCTACAAAGAGAGATAAATGTGTTTTTAAACTATGAAATTATTCAAATAAAGAAATGCTTATAATTTTATCAAAGGAAAAAGTAAGGCAAAACACAATATTCAATAGCTATTCAAGGATATATGTGACAAAGATTAAAATATTTTAGTAGATACAAAGTCAATAGAGAAGCTCCATATGAGAAAACATTTGCAGTGCTTGCCATAAAGGATTTAAATCCTAAATACATTAAAACTTCCTATAAACAGCTATTGTTAAAATGTGGTCTATAGTCTAATAGCTTCAAGTCATCCCTTGTGAAATTATTAGAAATGTAAATTCCAAGATTCACCTTATCCTGTGTCAGATACTCTAGGAGTGAGGCCCACCAGTCTACAGTTTAATAAGCCCTGCGGGTGATTCATATAAAACTGACATTTGAGAACTACAGTTTCACACTATTAAAATGGCCATAGACTTTCACAGAATGACAATGTCCAATAAAGGCTAAAGAGATACACAACCTAATAATTAAATAATTTAACCACCAACTAGGCTAAATAAATACTGTAATATAGCTTGGCCAGCAATGAGCATAGGGAAATAGGAACCCTCAGTCTGTTGGTGAGGGTACCTAACCTTTTAGGAGGGCAACTTGATAGAAAATATATATAAAATGTTAAAGCACATATTGATACATTTCAGTTTGGCAACTCTACTTCTTGGGATCCACTCTAGAGAAATTCTAGCACATGTACACAAAACATCATTTCCGCGCCCCCATATGGAGATGTGATTTGTAATAGTCCCCAAACTGAAAATACCTGAAATGTTCATCAAAGAAAACCAAACTACAGCACATCCCTACTGTGGAATGTTCCACAGGTGTTATTTAAAGAAAATGGTAGATTTGTATGTACAAAAAGGAACACTCCCCAAGGTGGCCTTCTGATTAGAGAAGGCAAAATGATTGCAGGCACTTAAAAATCAGCTCTCTAAAACCCCATAATAATATGACACCACAGAGCTTTTTTTTTAAAGAGGCCTAAACCTTCAAAAACAAAGAACAAAAAAAAAACAGTAACAGAATTTGAAAGCTAGAGAGCACATGAACAAGTATAATTCTCCAGGCAAGAATACTGGAATGGGTTGCCATTTCCTTCTCCAGGGGATCTTCCCGACCAAGGAATTGAACCTGGATCTCCTGCATTGCAGGCGGATGCTTTACCATCTGAGCTACTGGGGAAGCACTATGGACCTAACAGAAAGACTCAAAAAATCAAATCCTCAATCATCAACAAAGCTAACAGAGAGCCAATTTAATTCACACTATGTAACATTCAAAAGTCTCAATCACGGCTCTATCAAGTAGGAGTGAAACTGGAATAAAAGAGAAAGACAAGCTCAAGTCTGTCAGAATCAGCTCCTCAGATACCCACCCCTCAATACACAGAGCCAGTCAACTACCTCCTTCATTTTCAGCAACATTTGGAAGTTTCTCCTCTGGGGAAGGTAAGAGTAGGTCCAAGGAGTGACCTACTTCTGAACACTGGACACAGCACTACTGAAAGTGCCAGTTTACTGAAAACAGGCAAATCAAGTGGAAGATTAATACTGAATGTGACTCCAAGGAAGACATACAGATGGCTAACAAACACATGAAAAGATGCTCAACATCACTCATTATCAGAGAAATGCAAATCAAAACCACAATGAGGTACCATTATACGCCAGTCAGGATGGCTGCTATCCAAAAGTCTACAAGCAATAAATGCTGGAGAGGGTGTGGAGAAAAGGGAACCCTCTTACACTGTTGGTGGGAATGCAAATTAGTACAGCCACTATGGAGAACAGTGTGGAGATTTCTTAAAAAGCTGGAAATAGAACTGCCATATGACCCAGCAATCCCACTTCTGGGTATACACACCAAGGAAAGCAGATCTGAAAGAGACACGTGCACCCCAATGTTCATCGCAGCACTGTTTATAATAGCCAGGACATGGAAGCAACCCAGATGCCCACCAGCAGACGAATGGATGAGGAAGCTGTGGTACATATACACCATGGAATATTACTCAGCCATTAAAAAGAATTCATTTGAATCAGTTCTAATGAGATGGATGAAACTGGAGCCCATTATACAGAGCGAAGTAAGCCAGAAAGATAAAGACCATTACAGTATACTAACACATATATATGGAGTTTAGAAAGATGGTAATGATAACCCTATATGCAAAACAGAAAAAGAGACTCAGATGTATAGAAAAGACTTGTGGACTCTGGGAGAAGGCGAGGGTGGGATGTTTCAAGAGAACAGCATTGAAACATGTATATTATCTAGGGTGAAACAGATCACCAGCCCAGGTTGGGTGCATGAGACAAGTGCTCGGGCCTGGTGCACTGGGAAGACCCAGAGGGATCAGGTGGAGAGGGAGGTGGGAGGGGGGACCGGGATGGGGAATACATGTAAATCCATGGCTAATTCATTTCAATGTATGACAAAAACTACTGTAATGATGTAAAGTAATTAGCCTCCAACTAATAAAAATAAATGGAAAAAAAAATACTGAATGTGAAATATCTAACAATCTTTTCCAGCTTGGCTCCCCAAATTATGGCACCTAGGTGTTTACACTCCACTCTGGAGAATCTGAACAGCCAGAGGAAAAAAATCTAAAATTTGCTTATCATAATCTCCCCAAATGAAATAAATGCTCTCAAATGTCCTATTCTTAAACGTGTGTACTAGTAATGTAAGACAGCAACTAATAGGAAAGACCCAGTGCAATGTGAAAAAAAAAGCAACATCGAGGGAACAGGCTATGAATCACGTTTAAAAACATCAAGGAAAAAATACCATTATTAATAGCCTCAGAGAATTAATAAAAATATTGAATCCATGAAGTCAGAAGAAAATGTTCTGAAAAGGAAATAACCTTTTCAAATAAGTATTTATTAGAGAAAAAAATATTTTAGAAACTAAAAAATTATAGCAGAAAGAAAAAAATCAAAAGAAAACATCAAACATCATGTTAAGGAAGTCTCTTATAAAGTAGAAAAATAGAACCAAGCGATGGAAAGTAGAAAACACAGTATACCAATTAAGAAGTCCAATGTCTGAACACTAGATGCTGTAGAAAGAAAAAAGAACAGAAATCAAAGTAACTCAGAAAAACTCCTAGAACTTAAAATGTCAGAGATTGGGACCCAAACTCTAAACTATTCAAACATCTGAGGATTATGGAAGAGAGAGAATGGGGATAGTTGGATTGGGCGTGGGTGTTTAACATACAAAATTCAGGAATCAGAGTAACTTTAAACTCTACCAGTAACAAAGGAAGCTACAAAACGATGATTTCAAAAATTTATAAGGAGCATGATTATCAAGCAGAGTTATAGTTATTTCTAAAGCCAAAATGGTTATACAATTGGTCAAACATCTTTTATCAAATTTTCTATTTTCCTCTTGATTTAAAATGCCACCTTTAGCATACAGAGTTACATATTGGTGTTTTGCTTACCTTTAACAGAAAATTTAATTGCTTTAGATGGTAGTGGCCTTCCTGCATAAGTGTCCGCATTACTTTCATTCAGGACAACTTGCAATTTCAATGTATAATTCCCCAACTTGTGAATATTTTCTGGACAAATTAATAAGAAATTAAAATTCAAGTAAACACAATACTGATATAATTTTTAATATTCAGAGTAACAACTCACCCATTTTTTTAAACCAGTACGGCCATTTTCCTCCATGTTGACTAATATGTGAAATGATTTCTTTATTTCCACTTGAAGCTTAATAAAAGAAAAAAAATTTATATTTTGAGAAACTAAATATAGAACATGAATATGAAATGTCACACTGGCATCAAATATCTGTTGCACATTTTTAAAAATAGCTTTTAAACTTCAAAAGACCTAAAATTATCCTATGCAAGTCAACAGCATAATGAAAACTTACTTTTTCAGCCAATTAAAATTCCTTTAATTCTTAAAAATGTATCTGTAAATAAGCTTAATTGGTACAAACAACAATATAGTTAATTTTTTTTACATTAAAAATCATTTCTTTGCAAGTTTTCTTCAAGATTAAACCACAATTGTGTGTTTACATAATCTCTAAGACCTAGTGTCTATTAAGAGGCCTGATGAAGGAGAAAGGAAACAGAAGGATGATAGCACTTTTCTGAAATATTCTTTGCTATTTATTTTTGTTTTTAGAATCATGTAAATGACTTTAAAAATTCAAAAAATGGAAAAAAAATTCACAAATGGAATTAAAGCAATTCATAAGCAAAAGCAAATTGTAGGTAGGTGATATGACCACATTAAAAAAAATTATTTCAAGTGACTTCAATTTTAGAATATATAAAAACTTTAAACACAAATAACACTGCAAAGAAGTCAAAATTAATCTAATAGTCTTATTATCAGTAATTTTAATTAAGCCTTTATACTGCCTTTCCAGCAAAAGTTGTGTTTCAAAATAAATCAATGACCATAACTGATACAGGAAATTTCTTACTAATTAATAAACCAAAAAGGATAATAAATTGAGATAGTAGGACAATAAATTAGAAGAAATGAAAGAATCATTGGGAAAACCCACTATATTGCATACCAAACAACAAAGCAAAAATCACTAATGGATGAAACTCTTACAACATGGATGAAAGAACTTTATAATCATACCAGCCAAGTGAATTCAATAATCCATTCCAGTAGCACTAAAAGTGGGACAATTAACTATAGCCATCAAATGCCTCCGATGTAATACCAAAAACACAAATTCGCTACAAAGTATTGATTCTTGCTTTAGAAGAGGGAAAATAGTGAACCTAAATCTATTCAAGGTTTGGGGGTAATTTCTAGTCTTCAGGAAATAGAAAAAACAGTAGAACAAGTTAAATAACATTACAAAGAAACAGGCAAGTATGTGCAACACTCTACAGTACAATAAAGTATAGATTTAAAAATGACTGAGACCATAAATTTGTTATACATTTTACCAGAAAAAACAAACCTTTTAATTATTTCATATATAAATATATACCAGGCAGACCTTAGAGATATGGTAGGCTTGGCTTCAGACCACAACAAAACAAGGATCACAATAAAGGAAGCTACATAAATGTTTCCACTTCCCAGTGCATATAAGCTATGTTTATACTATACTATAGTCTACTGAGTGTGCAATAGCATTATTTCTTTTAAAAAATAATGTCAGTCAGTCAGTTCAGTCACTCAGTTGTGTCTGATTCTTTGCGACACCATGGACTGCAGCACGCCAGGCCTCCCTGTCCATCACCAACTCCCAGAGTTTACTCAAACTCATATCCATTGAGTCGGTGATGCCATCTAACCATCTCATTCTCTGTCATCCTCTTCTTCTGCCTTCAATCTTTCCCAGCATCATGGACTTATCAAATGAGTCAGCTCTTCGCATCAGGTGGCCAAAGTATTAAGAGTTTCAGGCTCAACATCAGTCCTTCCAATGTATATTCCGGACTGATCTCCTTTAGGATGGACTGGCTGGATCTCCTTGCAGTCCAAGGGACTCTCAAGAGTCTTCTCCAACACCACAGTTCAAAAGCATCAATTCTTCGCGCTCAGCTTTCTTTGTAGTCCAACTCTCATATCCATATATGACTACTGGAAAAACCATAGCCTTGACTAGATGGACCTTTGTTGGCAAAGTAATGTCTCTGCTTTTTAATATGCTATCTAGGTTGGTCATAACTTTCCTTCCAAGGAGTAATGTCTTTTAATTTCATGGCTACAATCACCATCTGCAGTGATTTTGGAGGCCAAAAAAATAAAAGTCTGCCACTGTTTCCACTGTTTCTCCATCTATTTGCCATGAAGTGATGAGACCAGATGCCATGATCTTTGTTTTCTGAATGTTGAGCTTTAAGCCAACTTTTTTTCACTCTCCTCTTTCACTTTCATCTAAAGGCTCTTTAGTTCTTCACTTTCTGCCATAAGGGTGGTGTCATCTGCATATCTGAGGTTATTGATATTTCTCCCAGTAATCTTGATTCCAGCTTGTGCTTCATCCAGTCCGGCATTTCTCATGATGTACTCTGCTCTAAGCAGGCTGACAGTATACAAGCTTGACGTACTCCTTTTCCTATTTGGAACCAGTCTGTTGTTGTTCCATGTCCAGTTCTAACTGTTGCTTCCTGTCCTGCATACAGATTTCTCAAGAGGCAGGTCATGTGGTCTGGTATTCATAATTTTCCACAGTTTATTATGATCCACACAGCCAAAAATAAAAAGTACTTTATTGCTAAAAATGCTAATATTCATCTGCATCTTCAGCAAGTTGTAGCAATAACATCAAAGACCACTAATCACAGATCATTATAACAAATGTAATTTTTAAAAAGTTTGAAAAGTTGCCAGAATGACCAAAATGTGACACAGGGACATTAAGTGAGCAAATACTGTTGGGAAAATGGCATTAACAGACTTGCTTAACATGGAGTTGCCATAAACCTGAAATCCATAAAAAATGCAGTATATGCAAATAGCAATAAAGCAAAGCTCAATTAAATGAGGTATGCCTGGTGCGCTGCAGTCCATGGGGTCGCAAAGAGTCGAACACAACTGAGCAACTGAACTGATGCTTGTATGTAGTTTGGGGGGTTTTTTTGTTTTTTTAAATAAGAGGGAGGCAGGATGGTCGGAGTTACAAAGAGGTTGGAAGATGCTACACTGTTGGCTCTGAAGATGGAGGAAGGGACCACAAGGCCAAGGAATGTGGGTGACTTCTAGAAATGGAAAGGCAAGCCTTCCCTACAACCTCCAGAAAGTCGCTATCCCGCTGACACTTTGATTTCAGCACAGAACTGTAAGATAGCAAACATACTGTTTTAAGCCACCAAAAAACCAAAACCAAAACCCTGGAGAAATACAGAACAGTGTGTCACAGAGGCCAAAAAGAGAGTACTGCCGTAAAGTGAGGTAGTCAAACTGTTCAATGCTGCTGAGGCTAAAAAGACATTTATATGATGAAAGTATACACTACCACTGACTAGTTTATAAATGTTGGAAATAAACACACAGTGAATAAAACAGTGTATCTGTAAAATCCATGGACCAGACATGTAAGTATATAGTGGTAGAACAGATTATTGAAAACACATATTGAAAATACTTTCAGGTGGTCAAGACAAAAACAAGAGACAAGAATTACAAGGTGACTCAAGTTAGGAAAATACAAGATGAGTGATAATATGTAGTTCTTCTCCCTTTAACAAAGAGTGGGCCACGTTTCTCAACTGAAACAAGTACTTCCCATCCATAGGTTCAGAGACACAGTATTTTTGATTTAGAAGGCATCTTAAGGATTATCCAATCTAAATCCCTAATTCAGTATAAACTCATATGCATACACATCATATCTTTATTTTAGCCTATAGCTGCCTCCATAGGAAAATTCAGAATAGAGTGTTTAAAAAAAAAAAACCAAAAACCCTAAGAAAACAACTGAGTTTTTAAAAAATGAATTATCCATAACACTTTAGAAAGTCTTAACTTCAAAGCACTATCTATCAGATTGCTAGGCCATCAATAAATTCCACAAAGATGTTAAAATATGTACTATATATTTACAAACAACAGTAACGATCCAAACATACAAATTAGCATGTATACTTACAGTGTAATATAACTTTGAGTTCAACCAGGAGTTTCTTTGACCCTCCATGACTTGTTCCTGGAAGCTTCTGCATCGCTTCCCCTTTTTTATTTAATATTTCAATTCTTAATGCACCTATCAGTCCAAAATTAAAAATAAGAACGTCTTAGTTACACCCAATGAATCTGATGAATCTGCCAGGTCTTCACATAGCGTTTTAATTTTTTATCATTTTTTTTTTTACCATGAAATGTTAAGAAGAAAAACATTTTTTCAGTATTTAAAATACACACACACAGAAGAAAAACCAAAAACATACCAATGGGGGTTCCAGCAGGTCTGATCTCATTTGGCAATAATTCATCTCCTTCAGGCCAAGTCACTGACAATCTATCAGGGAGTCTATTATTAAAACAGCATATTAATGTTTCATGAAATGTGTTAATTATGGTCTTATTTTTTAAAATAAAAGTTACTAGAAACTTTAAAAGTTCTAATTTTTTTCCCCAACAGTTAAATCTGAAATTTTTTCCAACAGTTAAATATGAAACTCCAAACCCTTAATCACTGCTGTGGCTAGAAAGTAAAACAAAATCTCTTGGTGTTAAGAGACAGGAATTATCCCCCTTTTTTGAGATTTTTCTACTAATCTGTAGTACAAGCTACCTTTGGGAGAAAGGATAACTCTACAAACAGAAGAATTACCAGTGAGTTCAGTAAGAATCAAAGGAACTGCATTGTTAGCTACACAAAAGCCACAGTTTTGTTTTTTGACTTTTTACTTCTTTTGCTCCTATCTTTACCTCTCACCATTTTCTTCTAGTTACAGGGCAAAGTCATTGCTTTTTAACAAACTTAATCATAGTGCTGATAACAGTGACACTGTAAGTGTAAGCTTCCTTATTTTTCTATAAGACAAATGCAGGATTCTGTTTTGATAGCTAGAGCACTTTTTTTTTAACAGCAAGAAGTTCGTCACAATACATACATCTAAGACTACAAGTGCCTAAATACAAAAGCATAATGCCACACTCAATAATAACTAAAAGGACAATTGCTCTTCAATTTGTCATTTTTCACCATGCATCTTGAAACATAAATTACCTTGCCATTTCATCTTCTACATATTTTTTCACGGCTTTCTCGGCAACTGTCCTATCCAGCTTTGCAATTGGCACAGTTTTTATTTCATCATACAGTGCCTGAGGTTCCTGAATAAGTAAAATTTATACCAACATTTCAAAAAGCTATTTAAATTTAGTCGCAACAAGAATATTGATTTCTTTCAAAAAATATTTTTACCCTAATTAAGTAGATAAATCATAATAACTATTATTATATTATTATATTATATTGTTTATTTCCATTTTTCAGATAAACACCCTAGGCCTAATTAAATACCATTCAAATCTTAACAAGAGCATAGTATAAGGAAGGATAAAGGGCCTCCCTGGTGGTTCAGACGGTAAAGAATTTGCCTGAAGGAGACCAGTGTTCGATCCTTGTGTTGGGAAGATCCCCTGGAGAAGGGAATGGCTGCCCACTCCAGTATTCTTGCCTGGAGAATTCCACGAACAGAGGAGCATGGCGGGCTACAAGCCCATGGGGTCACAAAGAGTCAGACACAACTGAGCAACTAACACTTCTTCATAAGGATAAAGCCCACTCTAATTTTGTTTTTCATTCTTGAGATAGAAGTCTGGCTCCAATGTTTATGTTTATGAGTCTTGAATGAAATGTGCACTTTAAAATTACTGTGAAATTGGCAATAATCTTGTAGCATCTGTTAAACACTAGGCACATAGATGTTAAGCTCTACAAACTACTAAAAACATCAAATATGAAACATAAAAATTCATGCTCCCATTCCTGTAACCAATGGAAAAGCCAAATACAAGTCAAAACAGAATACTGTATCTTTATTTTAAGAATTAAGCAAAATAAAGTAGTAATACCAAGAGACTCTGAAGAATATTTTGGGTTATTTGGGGATCTTACCATTGCAATTTGAACCTCTCCTCCTGTAGCATATACTTCTCCATCATGATCACCATAGAGAAAAAATTTCACAATGCTTCCATAAAAGAGAGGAAGTGTCTTGATTGTCTTGACCTAACATTCAGTTTTAAAACAAGGATTTAGCATTAATATTTACTTAGAAAAACAGGTTTAACAATTACTTAACAGAACTATTTTATACAAGGGGAAAAACCCAGCATCTATTATTAGAAAATTTTAATGAAAAAAAGCATTCTATAAAGTTATATTTGTGAAGCTCTCCACTTATTTGTAACATCTTTGAAAAGACAGTAGCTTCTTCATACAAAAATGTCATAGTTATGCATTTGTCTAAAAGGTCCATAATGCCTTCAAATGAATGCAAGCTGTCTCAAATCCCCATAAAATGGTGCTTACAGGCTGTGAACAGTGACTTACAAAGTTATTGTTTCTTTCCAATAAATTAGCTCAAAACTTGTCTATATTATTTTTTTTCCTTACCTGGCCTGAAAACACCAGTAATTTCCACTAGTCCAATTCAAAACTTCTCAACTACAAGGACAGCAAGAATTTATATCAAATCTATCCTCCAGCCTCATTTCACTTCTGAACTATTTCTCTTCACATGTAACAGTCTGCAGCAACCCAGTCCTGCTGCTTTTCCTGATCACTCCCTCCTTGTAACTTCCACTTGACTTCACGGATACCTTATTTTCCTGGTTCCCTTCTCCCTCACTATTTTATCCCTTTCTTTCTCCTCTGTCAGCTCCTCCTCTTCATTTTCTAGCTTCTAACTGTTGGAAAAGCAGGCTCAAGCCACACTCACTACTTCACAGTGACCACATCTGATTCCAAAGCTTTCGTTATATGATGATGAGAGTGTCACATTTGTGGGTTTATTACTACCTTCATAATAAACCCACTTCATAATAAACCCACTCTGGGCTTCCCAGGTAGCTCAAAGGGTAAAGAATCTGCCTGCAATGCAGGAGACCTTGGCTTAATCCCTGGGTCAGGAAGACCCCCTGGATAAGGGCATGGCAACCAATTCCAACATCCTTGTCTGGACAATTCCATGGACAGAGGAGCCTAGTGGGCTCCAGTCCATGGGGTCGCAAAGAGTCAGACACAACTGAGCAATGTAAAGTTAAGTTAGTTACCTTCATAATTACCTCTGTAAACCTGAGCCACTACCTCTTTTAAGTTCCACACAAAAGTCACTTCATGCACAAAGAATTGTGTGATTTACTCTCTTATTCCAGGCCCATCCTAAGTCAGAAAATTCTCTCCTTTTAAACTATGACAGCACTACTCATTCTCTCTCTTCAGTGATTCTTAGGTCATCTCTATTTTCATGCCATAACAGCCTGAAGGACACAGGACACCCCTAGATCTCTATAATCTCCATAACGCCACCAACAGCACAGTAACTTATAAGCTGCAGACACTAAAAAATTTGATGAAAAACCATTTCTTCATATCACATTAAAAAAACAAACCAGATTCTCTATTTGAGTATAGTGAAGTACAAGAAACAATAAAAATTTTGTTAACTGAGCCTTTGGCAAAAATTGTTTTGTTTTTTTTTCTTAATGTCCTATTAAATTACATAGTTATAATCAATCTGGCCTTTCCTTTCTTTTTTGGCTCCTAAGGAGAAAGACTACCCACATTAGTTTTGGTTGTTGACAAATTCTAATAACTCTAATTTAGTTTCAAATTCTACTAAAAATTAAACCTAAAAATAAGTTAAACTTACCAGCTGTCCTGCTTTGTATATTTTTCCATCCCATTCTATCGCTGAGTAAGTGGCCCAGGGGCCCTGCTTTTTAGAAGGAAGATCAGGACGTGTAATTATTCCTTTAAAAAGGGTGAATTTTATTTGTTTGTCATACTTTTCATGGCAGTCCTTCAGCCATAAAGCAAACTCTCTGTCAATTTTCATTCGCTGCTCCTGTAAAATTTTAAAATGTTCCACAAAACTTAGCTACTCATAAACAAATACAACCACAGACACTTCTTGTTCATTTCATGTTTCCTTCCAAATACCCACTCACCCAAGAAAACCAAATAAAAAACTAAAATATTTTAATGGCTCTTTCTCCCATACAAATTTAGATTTGTATCAACACATCACTAAAGAAAAAAAATCTTTGCTATCATCCTTGGTCCACAGGGTCACAAAGAGTTGCACATGACTGAAGCCAACTGAGCACACACTTGGATCTAAAGTTTCAATGGTCAATATCAACATAGATTTACTTCTCTATTTTAAACCCTAGGATACACCCTCCCCCCCCCCCCAAAAAAAAAGATAAACACTGCCTGCCGTGGAGAAGGAGAACTAACTGATAGGGGAAAAGGGTAAGTGGAAACCTTCTTAATGTGAAACACGCACACTCCAAAAGGGAAATAAAAAAACTTTTATATATTAAGCACAGATTTAAACACATACTTAAACATAGATATGGTATATCTACGGTAATAAAATGTCTTGGGCGGTTATTTAGGGAGAAAAGGTCAAAAAGGCTCTTTTATAAGGTGACAGTGAAAAAAAGGTTGAAAAACATAGCTATGGCAAAACATATTTTTAAAAAAATTATGCTTTATACATTTATTCAAAAATAGATCATAAAATAAAAACTGCCTTCTTGTAATACATAAAAAGAAAATGTGTTATTGCTTATCATCCTTCACTCTGCTGAGAGACACTAGAGATTTACACTCCAGTCTAAGCTGCTATACACTGGTTTAATGCTTGTCTTTAGGAGGAGTAGGGGAAGATAATCACATTACATGCTTTCACAGAAGACAAAGCATAAAGTTACAGAAGTTCATTTCCTCTGTACACCTTACTCCACAATCCACCATTTTCAAATGAAACTGGGGCAAAATTAAAACTGATTTCAGCTTAAGTTTTTGCAACTTGCAGTCAGATGACCAGTATATTAATCATTAAAAAAAATTAGATTTTAAAAAGTTACTCAAATAAGAAATACATATACACGGTAAACACCAAAAAATGGCATATATTTTTCAAGGAAACTTTCCCCCTAATCCGTTCCCAGGTACCAACTCCTTCCTGAATCAGTAGTGTTGTTACTTTGACAACTTGACAACAGTATTAAAATTATTAACTAGGAATGAAACTGTCTGCCTACCAAATTTTTATGCTATATTTCAGTCTCAGCCCTCATCTGTAGAAGATAAAATTACATCAGATTCAGAATCGTTTTTATTAAGAGCAAAATGAATGTCAACATGTTATAGGGATACACAAATACTGTGTTTTATATTGTGTTTACTGTCCAGCAACTTTAAGTTTAGAATAAATGCATCCATCTCTTCACAACTTAACATTACAGTACTGAAAGAGTAGCATCAAGTAAAAGTTTCTGAGGTGTTTAGGCAAAAGGAAAGTACACTAGCTTCATTCAACTTTTCAAAAAAATTTATCATTCTTTTTCTATTGATTAAAGCAGATTTTAATAGTGATCAATCTCAAATCACCTTTTAGCCCAAAGTATTTCACAGTTCTACCTAAATTTTACCCCCAAAGTTAGATTAAAATTGTATATTTAAGGTTACTAATATACAAACAAAGCCTCTCTATTAGAAACAATTCTTATTTGCTCTTAGCAAACAGACATGCTTCTGAAGATTCTATTCACCATGTCAAGGTATTAATGAAAATCTGGTAAGTTTTATCCCAGTAAGAGCTAATCAGTTTGAAATTTTTGAGTGAACACATAAATGCTCATGTACTAAAATGTATATTCTTTTGAGTAAATAAAATGAAAAGTATGCAAATTGCCAGTACAAATCTACACTACAAGTGACTTTTGTTGAACTTAAAATAGAACACTTCTGCAAATATTCAAAACTTGATATTTAAAATCATACCTGTCCATTTAAAATCCTTGTAAAAAGGGTGTTCTTGTCTTTCAGTTTTAGCTCAAGATCCATAAAGGTCAGTTTATTTGTGCTGACCTGGAATTTGTCATTAGTAAATAATGCACCAGATATCCTATTGTAGCACTCAAAAGGCGCAAGCCCTCTCTTCTTAGGAGGAGTACACCAGTCAAAGCTTGAATAGAACAAAATACTGGTTAATAAAAAGATAAGATCATAAAACAATGTAATCTCAGCAAAAATCAGAACTTACTCTTCAACAGATGTATATGGTATTAGCCGTCCATTCCAAAAACATTCAAAAATAGGCCTTTTCCCTCTTGCTGCTTTCTCAAGTATGAAACAGTCATCATCATCATCTTCATCTTTTAATTCTAGGACAAAGGAACAAGTGGAACAAATAATTTTTACCACTGAGAAATCAGTTTCCATAAATGAAATGTTAAAGCTTCTTCGGAGAAATGGTAACAAAAATCCTTATGATCTTTAACATTGTGTTCTGTAAAACCTAAAACTACCTTTATTCTGTTTGCCCTCAAAAAGGCAGATTTTCAAAGTGGCTCCACATTACCAACAGTGATTCTCATTAAAAAGCAATAATTACATACTCATGAATCTGTGTTAGGATTACTATACTAGCTATTGAGCCTGCCATCTGTAAAACCTATTTATAAATACGGGAGCTTGAATTTTGTACCTAAATCTCATCTCACAACTCTGTCGGAACCAGTACACTCACATATCATCTGGAAAATCTACGATGTCTAGAAACAGCAAGTTTGCTTAGCGTGGACAAATTAATAATACTAATTCAAGTTTACATTATGATACAGTTATATCCTATGCTATAAAGCACAACCGTCTACAACATCCTTTTCATATATTCAGATAAATTAGATTCAAGCATTATGGTCTTGATATAGTAATACCTCAGTTATTCTGGCATTAAGTCATTCCCCCTGACCCCCAATAAAGTCTTTTTCTCCAAAAAAAATCTTCACAAGAAGTTCATAAGTAAAAGTTCCTTCCGATCAAAACATTTCACTTGCTCTTAGCGATCCCCTCTGATCATCATACAATTAATTGGCTATTATTTTAAGACATCATTTTTAAGAACTTTAGCTTTTTGTCTATAAGCATATCAAAATCACAAATGACAAATGAAAAACAGGCCAGAGACTGCATGGAAGACAGAGTCACTATGTAATAATATGTATGAACACTTACTAAATAGAGTCAGGTACTATTCTAAGGACTAGAAACAGTCTCTTATTCAACCCCTACAACATGTCTATGAGGCAAGAATTATTATAAGAATTATTATTCCCCATTACACAGATACTAAAGCAGTAATTTGTCAAATTTTACACAATAGAAAGTGGCAAAGACAGGATTCAAATCAGGAAATCTGGTTCCAAAACACAATACTAAGGATATACTAAGGAACTATCCTGAATGAGAAAATGTAACACTGTTAATCTATGAAAATTGAATGTGAATCCGATAATCCCATTAGAAAATTGTTATTCAAAGTACAGTACAAAGTGATTCCAAAGTTTATCTAGAAGAGCAAAATACTAAGAATCATGAATTTTCTCAAAAAAGAACAATAGTGTCTTGTCCTACTGATATCAATATACACTATAAAGGACAAGAGATTCACTATAAAGGACATGTTATTCATGTATAAAAACATAAAACATATCAATGCCTTATAGCAAATGATCCAGGTTCTATGTACTTATGGGAACTTCATATTATTATGAAAGTGATATATAACATTCAATAATTGGTACTAGGAAACTGGAAACCCACATGGAAAATATTAAGTTAATCCTCAAACAAAATAGAAGATTACAGGTATATTAAAGATATAAACATAAAATGATAAAAGCTACAGAATCTATTGAAAAAAATCATAAAAAATGAGATGTACGAAGCCTTTCTGCAGCAAGGCCTATCAGAAAACATAAAGAAAAAAACCAATGTGACTATATAAAGTTTAAAACTACTTTATAAATATCTACAAAGATAACAGGAAGACAACATGGGGAATAGATAAAGGATTACTATACGGTACATAGCTAAAAGTTCAGTTCAGTAAGAGAAGTATGATATAAGAACATATAACGTTTCTTAGAGCAACTGTTTTATTTATCTGGATGTGAATATACACAAAAATTAATAATTATAAAAACTACAACTACCTTAACAACTTAAGACCTGCATGAGGAAAAAACGCTTTAAAATTTATCTAACCTTAAGCCTAACTAACAATTAAGAAAATAAATCATTATCCTAAATCACAACTTTGTATTTTGTAGCTAAGGTAACAGATTAACATACTTGATGGAAAACATGGATCATCAGGGTAGGTTTCTCTATCATATAAGAAAGGGTGATATCGGATAATCCCTTCCACTACACCATCTCCTTCAACATGAGCCTTGAACTCAAAACTATCGGCTGCTGTATTTATATACAATGTTTGCATGTCATCTTGTATTCCCCTCAGGTTGATAATCTTAGGTGTCTTCCCCTTTTCAAACATAGAAATCTAAAATAAAAATAAAACAAAAACAATTAAATTCGACAGTGACTGCACTTTTGTTCTCATCTATGATCCAACAACAGAAAGGCGAAAACTATTTTTATCTGTATAAATAATCATCTAGCTTAACGAAATACATATATATATTTCTATCTCGGTTAAATAGGTCTAAGGAGCGTCTTAATTAAGAAATATATTACTAAAAAACTGAAAGTAAGCAAAGAAACAGCTGAAGGATATATAAGTCACGAGTTTATTTCATTCAAGCTTTCCTGCTAGAGGTGCGTCTGTCTGTGCACTCAGTCATGTCCGATTTTTTGCAACCCCATGGACTGTAGCCTTCCAGGATCCTCTGTCCATGGAATTCTCCAGGCAAGAATACTGGAGTGGGTTGCCATTTCCTACTCCAGGGGATCTTCCTGACCCAGGGACAGAACTCGCGTCTCTTGTGTCTCCTGCACTGGCAGGTCGATTCTTTACCACTGGCATCACCTGGGAAGCCCTAGAAGTAGGAAGTAGGATAAATCCGTACAAGAAATTCCACCTGACATGTGGGCAAGGATACTGAGAACTCAACATTCAAATGTTCTGTTCTAAATCTTACTTATTTTTTTCTTATTAAGAGACTTCTGTGAACAAAAGGGAAACTGTTTATGTCTTTTCTTCCCTGCTTTTGAGACATGACATTCAGTAATGGTTCACATCTCTATAGAAGACAAAGAAAATAGAAACCAGATACTATAGTAAATAAGATATCCAGAAAAGTACACCTTAGGAATAATCTCTTTACTTAGACATCAAACAAGAAAAATGGTTTGGTAAAAGACAAGGACAGAGAAGTTGCCTATTTACTGATTGACTTTTCTTATCCAGATTAACTTGGAACTAGAACACAGACCTAATACTTAACAATACTTTAAGAAAGAATTTATCTTACTTCAATATCAATGTTGTTGAAAGGTCCAGCTTCCTTTGATATATGTTTTTCATTCCCTTTTGGACCATGGATGTAATAATGATAAATATGTCTAAAATATAAAAAAATAACTTTATACTTTTAATTCACATAAAACTACAGTTCATCCAATCTTCTACCATAAAAACTTTATTACTACTATTTGGCAGTACCTACTAGGTGCCACGCACAATATTAAGCATTTTTAAACATAGTAAACCATATAATGGTAAAAACAATCATAAGATTCAGGTATTATTTCCCCTCATTTTATAAATACAGAAGTTGGGAATGCCAAGAAAATTATATAATTTACTTACGGTCACAGAATTAGAGTGTGAAGAGATTCAAGCCAAGTCTTTTCAACTTCAAATCCCACATACTTAAAGTGTATTTTACCAAAAAGAACTAAAACTACAAGGTAAGAGGCTATAATTCTACTTGCCAGGGATTTTCTAGAAAAGACTAAAAAATCAGGGAGTATACACAATTGGGTATCTTTAACTTATGTCCCCAACATGAGAGTATCATTCTGTCTCATCTTTCTTCTCCTGTAGAAATGAAACAATCTTATGCCAATACTCCTAAAATTAATAAACTCAGCATCATTCCATCAAAAACTACCACTTCAGAAATTTTTGCTATTTTATTTTGGAAAAATGTTTAAAAAGATTATACTCTGGGGAAATTATTCACATCTCTTCATATCACATAGCCCATCTGTAATCATTCCTCAAGCAGTAGTATTAAATATTCTGTCATACAAACTTTATCTTTTCAAAATTACACTAATTGTCCTAGTTTAAAACACTACTAAAATAAAATCATTGAAAATCTTGAGATCTTCCTTCCAACATCTCAAAAATGTTAACATCGTCAGTTGACAAGCATACATTAAGCAACTGTGCTATAAATAGCTTACCAAGTGTGTGCTTCTATGTCATTCTTTTTAAGAACAAGAGTTATGTTATTATGTACACTGAGTTTTTTCAGTTAAGAGAAATAATAAAATAGCTAATAAATAGTCCAAAGTCCTATTTAAAACTGTTACAGGGCCAATAAACATCAGTATTCAAGAAAAAAGGCATTCCAAAAATCAAAGTTATTTCTTCATAAAAAATTTTTAAATGTTAATATTTATGTCCAAAATCTTAACAGCCCTTGATTAAGTAGAAAAAATATGAGATGATACCTTATTTAAAAACATGAATTTTGTACAGCATACCCACTTTTGTGAGACTAATTCAGGCTAATACAAATTATGGACAATCCAGTCTATACCATGTAACTACAGAGAAAAAACTTAACAACCTTAAATATATATACTTCTGATTGGATCTAACAGAATATGTACCCCCTAAAAGTCTTTCTCAAGTAGATACACAAAGATTTATTTTTAGATTACTCATTTCATACAGCACATATGCATATTTTTATTTTAACAGACTTAATATATTCATTCAATAAACTTTTACTGAGCAACTACAATGTTAGTTAGTACAATGGACACACTGGGGATATAACAGTGCATAAAAAACAATAAACATTCCAAGGTGGGAGGCAGACAAAAAAAAAAGTAAAATACATGGATTATAATCCATGCTGAATAGCAAAAGCACAAAAGGGGGACCTGGGATTGATTAGCTGAATTGGATAAACTCTTAAGTTTATTTTAAATGTTATTACAGTTGTCAAAAAGCATGGGCCTCTTATTCGTAATGACCAATATATTACAGGTATGCTAAGTTGTTTTAATCGTGTCCAACTCTTTGTGACCCTATGGACTGTAGCCTACCAGGCTCCTCTGTCCATGGGCTTCTCCAGGCAAGATACTGGAGTGGGTTGCCATTCCCTTCTCCAGGGGATCTTCTTGACCCAGGGATCGAACCTGCATCTCCTGTGGCACATGCATCTCCTGTGGCTCCTGCATAACAGTCAGGCAGATTCTTAACCACTGAGCCCCTGGGGAAGCCAAGTGACCAGTAAATATGTACAGAATAGAGAACTATTTTGATAGCTAACATCAGAGTAATGGTTCCTACGCTGAGGGAAGAAATGGGATAGGATCAAAGAAGACAGCTAAGAGGTCTCAATGTATCTGTAATATTTTCTTTTCTTTTTTTTTTAAATATTTTCTATCTTAAAAAACGGTAAGAAAAAACATGTCCTGGATCAAATGTGAATACTTACGCTAACTGTCTGGTCCAAAGATGGAAATAATTTTTCAAGTACTGTATGTGTTCTGGTTGTACCCCTGTGATAACCACAGCAGTAAAGCTATCTTTTTCCTTCTCCTCTGTGATAAGATGATGTAGAAATCGTTCATCATCATTTGTAATGTGACTAGAATCAGAGGGCTACAAGAGTGAACATAAGTACAGAAGATTACATGCACCTCAAATGTAGTTAACAAACAAAGTTTACATCAACCTTTAACATTCACTTGGATAATTTCAAATACAGGCTTCAAAAATCTTTTGGAAGAAAATCACCAAATACAAATCAGCTGAGTGTGTGACAAAGCTGTGAGGACAGAGCGCCTTTTACAGACATTGCTAAACTGGCATACAAAAAGGAGAATCCTACACCATAATGCTAAACCAACTGTAGAATCATACAAAAAAGGGAAAAGAAAAATGAATACTGAATTTAAAAATACCTCCCAAATTGAGAACACTTACCCTAAAGTGGACTGAGTCCTTGCTTGGGGTACCTACCACTGAACTTGGTCAGGACCAATGCCCAGCTAGTCCACACTCAACAAAACTAGGATACAGTGTGAACCCAGCTGACTCAGCCCAAAGGCACTGTGTTTAAAAGGGAGTAAAACCATCCTGGGCCCCAGTCCACTTTCAGAGAATATCTATAGTTTGTAGTGGGCTGAGGGGAGAAGGGGAGGGAGGGGTATGTTTGAGGATAAGAATTTAAAACTTCTCTGCTTTTACTATGAGTCTGTATATTAAAAACTGCATGCATATGTATGCATATATGTACTATGTAAGTTGCTGTGCACATAAAAACTTACAAAGATAAAGATACACCCTGAACTACTAGGAAGTGACTCTGTAATATACACCCTAAGTATTTATAAGTTCCAATTCCTTATAATGGCTATGAAAATTTTAACAGTCTACACAAAGAAAAATTTATAATTAAGATAAAATGCTACACAAAGAAACTAATGGCATCTTCATAATTTTAACAAAATACTTTAAATAAGCTGAATGCCTAACAGAATGGTCAAATTATAGTAAATATAGCCAAAGATACTACAAAACTATCAAGTATATTGTGCACCAAAATATTTTATAAGATGAAGAAGTACTCGAAATACTAATAAGTCAGAACTCAAACTATAAATATACAATAAAGTTAGACTAGAAAAAATTCAACTAAATATATCATAAGGACTTTTATATGGCATTTGAGACTATTTTTATTTTCTTTACAAAAATTTTTACAATTTACTTTGGAATCAAAATTTTTTTTTAAGTTTTACCTTTAAAAACGGTTTTAAAATTGGAAAACGTTTCAAAGTTGAATGAGTAATACAGCAAACACCATGTACTCACCACGATTCAAATTTAATAACGTTACACTTATTAAAATGAGAGTTTGAATGCAAATTTAATCACTGTTTTCTACTTCTGTGATTATTATACAATAAACACTTAAAAACTCAAACTCAGAGCAAGGAAACAGTTTATTATCTTATGAACAATTTCCAGGAAGCTGAATTGGCTATATGGGAAAAGTTATTTTCTGAAGACTTCAGCCTGAGAAAGCACACAAATGATCACTTTTGCTATTCACAAAATTAAAAGAAAATAAAAATTTAATTTGAAAATTCCATATTTTCAAGTTTTAAAAATAACATTAGTATCTTAGAAATTGAAAAAAAATGTTCTTGTCCCATCATCCATCCAAGGTATAAATTTACAATTAATACCAAAAAATAAAAAATAATTTTAAAAAATTTACAATTAATGAGTTAAAATGTACTGTACCTTTCTGTTTCTAATAAATCCGCTATATATTGCCTCTTTATTTTTCTCTTTCTTCTCAAAATCTTCTTTAGAAAGTAAAAGTTCATGAACATCCTGGGAGTCTGCAGGCTTACTTATCATCTGTTAAATATTAAAAAGATTACTTTTTAAATTCGCAAAATTTAAAACAAATAATACAATTAGACAGTTAACTTCAAAATATTTTGACCAACTTTCACTTTTAAGAAATCTTTTTTACTTACTCTGGCTGACTGTCCAACAAAGAAAACAGCTTGCTTGCCCCCAACACCAAAATAGGAAATATCACTATTTAAACTGCGAGGTACTGGCAGTGGTCGAACATATCCTGAATGATCACTAAAATAAAACATTACATTAATGCAGTGATATTAAACAAACGACTCAGGTGCTAAAGAAAACTGTTACAGCACTTTTATTAAGAGTTAATAAAATGATCCCCAAACCAGATAATACCCTTATTCAAATGTAAAAGAATCAGAGCCAAAAGCCAAAACAGCATCTAGTTCAAAGGCTCTCAAAGTTTGTTACCCAGGCCAGCTGCATCAGTAAGCCTGGAAACTCTAAGAAATGCAAATTCTTGGTATCACCCTCTTAAATCAGAAAATTTCAAATATCTGTAACTCTACAGTCTTCCCTTCAAAATCCTTTACTCATTCAAAATTCATTAAAATACTGTCTCATGACTAGTGGGAATTACAACAAAGAAATTCTCATTTCCATGTGCTTGCTTCTGCTCTGTCGTGTCTGATTCTTTGTGACCCCGTGGACTATAGCCCACCAGGCTCCTCTGTCTGTGTAATTCTCCAGGCAAGAATACTAGAGTGGGTTGCCATGCCCTCCTCCAGGGGATCTTCCCAAGTCAGGGATCAAACCCAGGTCTCCAGCACTGCACGCAGATTCTTTCCTGTCTGAGCCACCAGGGAAGCCTTCTCATTTCCAATGGATCATGAGAAATGAAGAGCTGAGACTCAGCCTCTGATTGCAGCGTAACACCACCGTGGAGAGCAGGCATCCCTGGTCTCTTGAATACTGTCAAGATCTCCAGGGTCACAATTTCCCAATATAAGACACCCACAAAACTGGGGTGAGGCTGGAACCACAACACCAAGTGGAAAGGTCAGAGAACAGAGCTGGCACAGCTGTAAAGAAGAACAGATACACAACAGGAAGAAAAAAAAAAGAATGAAAAGTATCAAGTGGGACTAAAAACAAAGAACTAAAGGATAATATCTTACACAAATTTAAATGTAGTTCAAGAAAGAGAGGAGAGAATGAATAATAGCTGCAAATATTTTCGAATCACTAAAAGGCACAGATCCACAGATTCAGACCAAAAGAGCCCAAACAGGATACATAAAAAGAAATCCACTTCACAGTGAATACTAAGAACAAAACAGAATAACTAGCAAACACTGAGAAGATAAATGGCTTCGCAGGCTTTGATAGCAACAGTATAAGATGGTGGAATATTATCTCCAAAGGGCCAAGAGAAAATGTCAGTAAAGAACTGTGAATGAGGGCTGAATAAAAGAATTTACAGACAAAAACCAAGGGAATTTACCATTAAGAGACTGCTCTAAAGCAATGTTCCTACAAGCATAATCTGACACACAAGGGAATCATATTATTATCAGTACACAGGTTAATTTTTTAAATATATGTTAAAAAATTTTAATTCTTTGTTAGAAAAAATGTTGTATATAACTTGGGGAATTCCACGTCATACTTGAAATACTATACAACAGAAGTGTAACTCTGGGAGCCTCCTTTGTGGTCCAGTGGTTGGGAGTCTAGCTGCCAGTATGGGGGACAAAGATTTGATCCGTGGTCCAGGAGGACTCCACATGCCACAAAGCATCTAAGGCCGTGTGCCACAGCTACTGAAGCCCGCATGCCCTAGAACCTGTGCTCTACAACAAAAGACACCAATGCAAGGAGAAGCCCACACATCACAACTAGAGTGGCCCCCACCTCCTCAAACTACAGAAAGCCCATGTGCAACAACAAAGACCAGCAGAGCCACAAAAATAAATATCCAGAAAAACATCTACTTCTGCTTTACTGACTCCACCAAAGCCTTTGACTGTGGATCACAACAAACTGTGGACAATTCTTCAAGAGATGGGAATACCAGACCACCTGACCTGCCTCCTGAGAAATCTGTATGCAGGTCAAGAAGCAACAGTTAGAAATGGTAGTCAAGGCTGTGGTTTTTCCAGTAGTTATGTATGGGTGTGAGAGTTGGACTATAAAGAAAGCTGAGCGCCGAAGAATTGAAGCTTTTGAACTGTGGTGTTGGAGAAGACTCTTGAGACTCCCTTGGACTGCAAAGAGATCCAACCAGTCCATCCTAAAGGAAATGAGTCCTGAATATTCATTGGAAGGACTGATGCTGAAGCTGAAAGTCCAATACTTCAGCCACCTGATGCGAAGAGCTGACTCATTTGAAAAGACCCTGATGCTGGGAAAGATTGAAGGCGGGAGAAGAAGCAGAAGATAGAGGATGAGATGATTGGATGGCATCACTGACTCAATGGACATGAGTTTGAGCAAGCTCCGGGACTTGGTGATGGACAGGGAGACCTGGCATACTGCAGTCCACAGGGTCAACAAAGAGTCGGATACGACTGAGCAACTGAACTGAAAACTTTGGGAAGGAAGTGATTAGAGATAAAAGTATTCTAAATTCTTTAATACGGGAGAAGTGAGATCTCTGAAGATAAATATGCATTTTTAAATTTCAGAGACAACCAGGAAAATAAACATATAAATTCTAAAATATTAAAAGAGAAAAAACGTAGAACAGTGTTTTCAAAAGCAACAAAAAGTTGCAACCAATTAAAAAAACAGAAATAACGGGATAAAAATATTTTAATTGGTATAAAAAGTTTCCACCTATGTATCAATTTCCAAAATAAAGATAACAATGACCAGGTCAAACAATGTCATACTAGACCTACAAAACAAAGCACACAAACAATAAAGCAACTGCCATACACAAACTCAATCTCCACACAACAAAACATAAACCTGCCCCCACACAAAAAAGCATGCATATATACAAACACCCTACACAATATACAAATAAACCACACAACATGTTTGCATATTTACAGTGCTCCAACACACACACAATGTATATAACACCAACAATAAAAAGAACACCTTAAAGAGACAGAGAAAACAGACACCATATATTCTGAGAAACAAAGCTAAGAATGACAATAGACTTTTCACTGTAAAATATGCAAGTCAGTAGAAAATGGGAGTGGCATTTCTAATGTACTGAAATTTTTTAGAAAGCGAATGTGAAACTTGCTCAGTCATGTCTGACTCTTTGCAACCCCATGGACTATACAGTTCATGGAATTCTCCAGGCAAAAATACTGGAGTGGGTAGCCTTTCCCTTCTCCAAGGGATCTTCCCAACCCAGGGATTGAACCCAGGTCTCCCGCATTGCAGGCAGATTTTTTTACCAGAGTCAACCTAAAATTCTATACTCAACAAAAATTTCTTTTAAAGGGGGAGAGTAAGGAGAGATCCAGACTTAATCAGATATTCAAAAACTGAAAAAATTTACTGACAGCAGTCTTGAATTAAAAAAACTGTTGAAAGACCTTCAGAAATGAAAATTATTCTGTGAATTTAAACAAAGGAATGAAGACTACCAGAAATGGTAAATATGTGGGTAAACATAAACTGACTCAGGGACTCAAATTGATGCTTGTATATGAATGTTTACAGCAACACTATTTACAATATGCAAAAAAAGGTAAAAACAAGAAAAGTGTCCTTTAACCTATGAATGGAAAAACATAGTACAGCTGCATAATTCAGCCATAAAAAGGGATGAAGTTCTAATAAAAGCTACAACATGGGTGAACCTTGAAAACATTATGCTAAGTGATATAAACCAAATGACAAAATGAAATAAACAAAATGACAAATACTGTATGATTCCTCTTAAATGAGGCACCAAGAACATGCAAATTCACTGAGACAGAAAGTAGAACTGTGGTTATCAGCAGGTGGAGGGGCAGAGAATACAGGGTTGTTATTTAATGGGTACAGAGTTCCAGTTTGGGGAACACAAAAAATTTTGAAACTACATAATGGTAATGGTTGTAAAACACTGAATATAATTAATGTCACTGAATAATACACTTTAATGTAATGCTGTATTTTTACCACACTTTTAAGAAAATGACTGTTAAAAAGACACTCATAGAAACAGAGCAGAAAACTGGTTGACAGAGGCTGGGGAGTGTGGGAAACAGAGGCTGGTAAAAGAGCACAAACTTTCAGCAATAAGATGAGGAGGCCTGAGGAGCTAATGTATATAACATCCTAAGTATAGCCAGTAACACTGTATTGTGCAACTGAAATCTGCTAAGAGAGTAGAACTGTGATAAATTAAAGATGTATACTATGAATCCTAATTACCAGTAAAACAACAGAATAACAGCTAATAAATCAATTAAGGAAATAATGGCGACACACATACACATATACTCAATTTGAAATCAGGCAGAAAAAAGGGAAACGGGGGAGGGGGGATAAATAACAAAGATGGTAACCAAGCATACTGATAATCATATTAAATGTAACTGGTCTAAAGAAAGTTAAAGTGAAAGTTGCTCAGTCGTGTCCAACTGTTTGTACCCTATGGACTATACAGTCCATGGAATTCTCCAGGCCATAATACTTGAATGGGTAGCCTTTCCCTTCTCCAGGGGATCTTCCCAACCCAGGGATGGAACCCAGGTATCCTGCATTGCAGGCGGATTCTTTACCGAGCCACAAGGGAAGCCCAGTTGGTCTAAGCATCTCCATTAAAGGGCAGAGATCATTAAATTTCAACACACAACTAAATGCTGCCTAAAAGAAACTCTTTAAATATAAAGAGACAGTAGATTAAAAGGTTGGAGAAAGTTATCAGTTTAATACTAACGACAATGAAGCTGTAGGAAATATATGACTATTAGACAAAGTTAATAAAACAGTTGGAGAAGGAAATAGCTACCCACTCCACTATTCTGGCCTGGAGAATTCCAAGGACTGTATAGTCTATGGAGTCACAAAGAGTTGGACACAACTGAGCAAATTTCACACACACACAATAAGAGTAGCACCAGGAAATGAAGAACAAACAATGAAACAAATATGCAGGTAAATAAAACAGACTACTTTTCTCTGCTTGAGATTTTAAAACTACATTAGACTACTGAAATAAAAATAATGCTGTGTGATGTAGTTCTCAATGTGTGTAGCAGTAACACTTAAAACTAAATAATCAATGGGAGAGAGTTAAAATACCTAAATAATTTGGTGAAATT